AGAAAAACATCCCAACGGAATTATTTATCTTAAATATAATTTGGATGATGGGCCAAACTCTAAATCTTTGGAAAATTATTTACTATCTAAGAGACCCCATTATTCGGACTAATGGATACAGGCACCTCTCCGGATAATCGAAAAAAGTACAAAATAATCGAATTTTTTATTTATAATTTTAGGTACTTATTTGCATATGTATTTAAATAAGACTGAAACCGAAACGAAATAAAACTCTCAAAGTCAATAAATGTTTAGTTAGAAATTTCAAAAGATTTACATAAACATTTCCTTAAAATCATTAAAATAAATAAAAACGCAGCGTTTCTTGTGAAATTTCTAAATTTATGGTATTAAATGCTTATAAAGTTCAAAATTAAAAACAAAAAAAATATTTAAAATTTGTCCGGATAATGGGGTCTCTACTGCACTTTTTTAGTTAAAAAAAATAAGTTTTTAATATTATTTGTGTTGAATTAGAAAGTAAAAAAAAGGAAATATTTTTAAAATAAATCAATTGTACATTGTAAATTTAATTGTAGGTATAGTTGTCAGTTTGACTATGACAAGAATGTCTTCAAGTTTCATGCAAACCATCGCAGTAAGCGTGCGCGGTTAGATTAGGTTATCGGATTACAAGCAATAATAACAATTTGATTTTACTTCTTTAAATAATTGTTTCAACTACAGACAGACAAAAATTGTTAACCTCTACAAAACATATCACATTTACTCAATACAGTCTATAACAAAAGTCATTATGAAACTTATTGAATAAATTGAATTGCTTCAATTAGAAAAATCTAATATACTGAATGTATTATTTCATTTTTCAATGTAAAACATTTTTTTGGGTTCAAATAATTTAAATCATTAATTTTTCATTTGAATAGTACTTATTATATTTTTATTATTATTATTTCTATTAAGTTTTTAGAATTATGGAAGTTTATTAATGTTGATAATATATATGATCTTGGGAAGGTAAAATTTGAATGAAAATTCAAAAGTGTGTCGTTAAAAAAGCGACGTTTCGTTGGCTAAGGTTTAACAACCTAATCAGGCTAAAATTTATTAAATAGATAAATTACACTAACTTCAGTATTTTATAAAGGTCCAAAAGCACTATTTTTTTATAAATTAACAACAATAACATACCTAAATTTTGTCGGCACATAGAGCACATGCCAACACGTCGAAAAATTAAAAGGTTTGTTCAAATATAATAAAAAATCGTTCCACAACATTATTATTTCTATTATCATTAATATTACTATTATTAAATAAACCAATTATTAATAAAAATTTACGCTTTAGTGTTTCAACTTCCGTTCTTAAATTTTTAATATTCTGGTTTTATATATTTTCAGTAATTTTGTAATTTCGCTCCAATATTGCGCTAATCAAATAAAATGTTGATATTCAAGTCATCGATTGACAGTTATTCGCATATCAATGATATTTCTATAAATTGGGTTTAAATCGAGTTATAAAAAATAACTGATATATGAAAATAAAAAAATCTATTTTTAATGTCATGTTCTGCAAAAACAGTAGAATTTTAAATTGGATTTTGGGAAGACACTACACTGTTAATGCAATAACAATTCTTTAAGAATATTTGTTACTATTGAAATATTTTTTATCTCTATTAGTATTAAAAAAAAAATGTTAGGATTTAAATCTTATTACGCAAATAAAAAAATTAACTTAAATATTTTATAAATATTCATTTTTTTGTCATTAAATTTCAACAATGAAAAATTTTGCATACTTGTAAGTTTTTTTTATAAACTTGCCGAATTGCAAATTTAGAGAAAATGACATCATTTAAAATAAAATCTAAACAAAGTTTTTAATTTCCACACGGAGAGAAAATTATATTAAATTTTGTAAAAGTATTTCACGATTTGGGGAAAAAATATGCGACAAAGCAAAATTTTGATATAAAAAATAATAAACTTTAAAAAAACGAATCAATTTTAATTAACAAATCTTTCAATTGTCTATATTTAATTCATTCAAATTCTTGATAATTTTAATTTTACTTTATTTTAATTTTAATGAAAGTTAAATTTAGTTTCTTTATATTTCAATTTATTAAGATATTGTTTTTTTTATAAAATTCATCAAAATTTTAATTATTCTTTATTAATACTTTTTATTATAAATTGATTCAGTTCCAAATTAGACACAGCAAAAGTTGAATTTATTAAAATTTTAATCATTTCTGTATGTACATGAAATTTATTAATATTTTAAATAGTACATCTTTGTAGTTTTGTCTAAATTCATTTTCAAATTAAATTGTTCACAGCTGTCAAATGATTCAATATCTACTTACTTTATATTATAATGAATTTGAAATTCAAAGTAGAAATTTCCAAATATTTCTAATACATAACATTTTAATGGTGAAAATTTCAGTCTAATAAATTTATCTAAACATCAGTTAATTTTAATTGACATTTATTAACAGTATTTATGCATTTGATTTTATAATCGAATTATTTGACGGAATTTTCTTTGTTGATTATAATATTTATATAATGAAATTTGCATTTGATAAATTTAAATTTAATCAAAAATATTGACACAACTGAATTTGAAGTCAGTAATTTATTACAATTGTTATTTAAAGCAATTTAGACCGAATTTTTATATTTAATGGAATTTATATATTTTATTATTACATTTTAATTCGAAGCATTTATTAACAGAATAATTTTTATTTAATGACATAATCAATCATTGTGGTAAAATAATTAGCTAAACTTATCTTTGAGGCTAAAAAATATATAGGTAACAAAAAATTAAGTTTGATGAATAAAAATTTAAACGATCCTTAAATTATGTAAAAACATTTGTAAATCATTTTCAATGTAACAAAAAAAATTTTTACAGCTTAAAAAACGTATTTTACGCAATATTCTTGGAAAATCCAAACAATACATTTATATTATTTATTATACGTAGTTCGTGCCTTTCGAATGCTTATGAGAACGAACTTCCGGCATTCTTCTTTAAAAACAATACCTTTATTTATTTTAAAGGCTGTTTTTAGTATAAAAATGATTTTTTCAAATTTTATAGCAAAACTATGAGAAATTGCATTTTTCAAGTATAATTCAACTTTTCATTAATTCTGAATCTAAAAATTTCTCTTTAAATTCGGTCGATAAAGATAAATTTTTATATTTTTAAAAACAAACGGTGCGATTTCTAAATTTATAGTTATTGTAAAGAAAATAAATTTCATTTCATTGATTAGCGGTTTAAAGTGGTGCAAATTCTCTCTCTAAAAAAGGATAAAAAAAGTAGCTTTTAGTGTCATAGAACTAAAAAAAATTTCCAAATAGTAGCAAACCGTAAAAAAGTAGTAAATACCTAGTGGCTTTTAGTAGATGAGTACGAAGCCTGAAAATTTTATTTGTCGTAAAAATTGGAATTTTTCAAAATCCATAAGAAAATATTACAAAAACAACCTAAAAGTAATATTTTTGATGAAAAATAATAGAAATTATAAAAGAAGTTCCAATTTTAATTTTATCCGAATTTAGGGTTCTACTCATCTCCAAATTTAAATTAGAAAAAAGTTTACTAATTTGAATTAGTGATTTTTTGTTTTTTATTTAGTGTATTTTACTAATAAATTAGTAGAAATTACAATTTATTAATAAAATTTACTAATTAGTAAAAAAAATATAAATTAGTAGAATTACTAATAAATTAGTAGAAATGACTATTTATTAGTAAAATTTACTAAGTCAAAAGCAAAAAGTCAGTCACTCATTCCAATTAAATATTTATTTATTCTTTATTATTTTTATTTTTCAATTTTCATTAATTTCATTTTTATTTCTCTTTCTGTTTATTATTATTTATTGATTATTTCTTTTCTTTAATTTAATTTCTATAAAATTCATATTGAACACTCTGTCTTATTAATTTCATAATCTACTTAGTTTCCTGCTGACAATTAATTAAATGTAATTCTAACTTTAAATATTTAATTCTTTTTTAGATTACAAAAAGTTGGTGTAAACCAATATTTTAAAATTAATTGTCCGAATGTTTTCGTTTTATTTACCTTATTTTTTAATAAAAATATTATTTTTTATTATCATTTTATATTCTTATAATAATGTTAGAAAATGAATTGACAACAAACATCGCGAATTTCGATAAAATTTCATTAAAAATACTTTATTTTCGCAACAAAGAAAAAATGTTTTTTTTCATTAAAAAAAATAAATAAAAAGCAATCTCAAAAATTGACTTCAATTTTAAGAAAATTAAAAAAAAAATATACTCTTGAATTTAAAGAAAAATCGAACAAATTTCGTGCGATCCATTAGCCATTTGATCGGCTACTAGTAACAAAGAAAACGCTTCTTTGGACGTTGAATGAAAAAAAAATTCATAACTTCCGCAATTCTTATTCAATAACAAAATAAAAAAGTACGTTTTTTCTTTATTTTTTTATACAATTTTATAAAGAAAAAATTGTATTTAAAATGAAGAAATTAAAAGCAGAAAATTTCACGTGGCAATGCGAAAATTAATTGCAAATAAATTATTTAAAAAAGAACAGGAAGTGAATAATAACAATTTTTGCGAGTATAATGAAAACAAATTTGATTACAACATTTTGAATTCAATTTAAAAAATTTTTAAAAATATTTTAACTATATTAAATATTTTAAATAGTTTCTAACTTTTATACATAAGTTGAAATCGAAAATACGAATTTCTAGATATTTGAATATTAAGAATTGCTAAAATTCGGAGCATTTGGAAAATTTCTGAAAAGATAAAAGTCGGAGAGAAAAAGAAATTTGTAGTCGAAATGAAAGAGTTGATGTAAGTAAAAAAAGTAAAAAGAATAGGTGGAAGTGAAGAAAAAGAGTTGCATAGAGGATATGCAGATTTGGCTTGAATGTTATGCTTATTAAATTGTTTAGAACCTTGCGCTATTGTTTAGTATAGTGAAGCCTCACCTGTCGGAGCTCTCGGAGCTATCGTATCGATCGGCGCACCGTTTCTTGCCGCAAGGCCCGACGAGTGTGTCTTCCGAGGATTTGATTTGTTTCTTAAAGGATGTATCCTGTAAACGGGTTGTTACAACTCGACCTTGAGACAATCCTTTCTTGTCCTTAGTTACATCTTCTTGCTTCTCTTTAGCAACTTCACGCGACTCACTGCGCACTATTGCGGAAATCATTTTTTCTATTTTCTTCTTATTGCTCTTCATGCAAACACTCTTGCCCATACTTTTGACCGCACTTCGTTCTCTCACTCGATCACTTCTCCCTTTAGACTCGCCTAAGCCTAATGTCACACGCGACCCGTCCACATTTTTCAGATCACTCGTCGTTGTCCATGATGTCAGCAATGTTGTCGATTCGACACCATTCGCGAGTCTATTATTTACAACAACGTCGTCGTCGTCGTCGTCCTCGTCGTTGCCGCCGTCTTTGTTGTCGAGCTGCAAGTTGCTATCGTTGTCATCGTTTGTCGCGACGTCTTGACAATCATCATTATCGCTCGATGGCGTGAAACTTAGAGAATCCTCCTCCTCCTCCTCCACTAGCACTATTACTTTTTGGTTATTGCTGCTTTTGTTACAACTCTTGATCTGCCCAGCACTAGTCACATTGTCAAGCACATTCAAGCACTGATACAATTCGTCCACTGTCGATGTATCCTTGGGGAAACAAAAAACTTTTGAGGAATCTAACGCTGATTCCAAGAGGCGTTTATGCCGCTCCCGAGATACGCGGCGATTGTCGTCCCTCAGGTTGATGGCCGCGTCTCCTGTGGATGGCACGTCTGCCATCTTGTAACAAACACTAGCGCTCGACAGCACTAGTCTCTCTTGTTCGCTCAGTCAAGCACCGGTTTCCTTGCCCTCCCATCCTCTTAAAGACAGGGACGTAACTATGCGAATATCACGAACTTGATTCATTTATTTATTCTTCAACTCTCTAACGAAAAATCATACTTTTTCCCTCCCTCACTTTTATCAACAATTGTTATCCCCCCGCATAACACTGAAACATAACTTTTTATTTTATTCACTTATTTTTTAATTTACAATAACAAATCTCGAGTCGACAGGAGTATTTTTGTTATGTAATACAGTTTGTAACATGTTACAATAGACAATTTGCAAAAAATGTACTTCAACGTTATTGAACGCTGTAAAATTATTACTAATTTCAACAACCTGTAAAAATTTTACTAACTATTTTAAAAATTCGGTTAAAAATATAAAAATTGAGATTGTGTTTTAAATGTTGAAATTTGGTGTAAATTAACTGGAAAAATTATCATATTCGAAAAAAAATTAACTTCCAAGACTTGAACCCTCGACTCGACTCTCTAAAAGGTAGCGCCTCAACGCACCTGCACTCTACCGGGGACATAAGATTTAGAAGATAAAAAACTGAAAAAAGGATTTAGTGCATGGTGTCGATTACCACGTAACTAATTCCACATTCCAAATTTCACATTCCGGGTTCCACATTTCAAATTCCACACTCCTGATTTAAAATTCCAGATTTCAAAATCCACATTCCGGCTTTTACATTCCAGACTCCACATCCCGGATTTCATATTCCACTAATTTAAATTCCACTTTTCGAATTTCTCATTTAAAATTTCATATTCTGGATAACATATTTTAAATTACAGATTTCACCTGAATTTCTACATTCCAGATTCTACACTCCACTCAAATTCCACTTTTCAGATTGCACATTCCGTATTCCACATTCCTGATTCAAAATTACAGATATATTTCAAATTCCATTGTCCAGTTTTCACATTCCAGATTCCACATTTGAATTTTCATATGGCGGATTTCACGTCAAATGTTCATCCAAAATAAAAATGTTGATTAATCAATATTTTTGAATTTTATAAAAAAATATCAAAAGAGGGAGGGGGGGGAAGTTTTGAGTTTTTATGCAACACACGCACTACTTCGTTTATTCAATGTATTTAAACGAAACGATGAAAAATAATTTTCGAAAATGCGGTTTTTTGAGATTATTTCATAAGCTTCCGATTGCCGTGGTCCATTTTAGAAAAAAAAATTTTGATTTCGAACAAAATTTTTGAAAATTAAGGATAAAATTAAAATTTTTTCATCTTCGGGCTCTTTTTTCTATTTTTATTGGAAAGCTGAGGTTTTTTCCCACAAAATACTCAATTTTCAGAAAACCGATTTTTTTTGGAGGCGCATGATTATTCCCCAAATGTGATTTGACCGAACTGTCATTTTACCGAATCGCATTTATCCGAACTGTTATTTTAACGAAATGTCACTTTTGCGAAAAGTCATTTTTGCGAATTGTCATTTATGCGAACTGACATTTTTTCGTATTGTCATTATTACGAATTGTCATTTTTACGAAATGTCACTTTTGTGAATCGCCATTTTTACGAATTGTCACTTTTGCGAAAATTCATTTTTGCGAAATATCATTTTTACGAATTATCATTTATCCGAACTGTCATTTTTTCGAATTGTCATTTTTTTACGAAATGTCACTGTTGCGAATTGTCATTTTTGCGAAAATTAATATAGTAAATCTATATATTATGCATACAAGTTTACTAAAGCAATTTTCGTAAAAATGACAATTCGCAAAAGTGACAATTCGTAAAAATGGCGATTCGCAAAAATGACAATTCGAAAAAATGTCATTTCGGAACAATAACTATTCGTAAAAATGGCAATTCGTAAAAATGTCGATTCGCAAAAGTGAGATTTCATTAAAGTAACAGTTCGGATAAATGCAATAAATTCGGTAAAATGACATTTGGGGAATAATCATGCGCCTCTTTTTTTTGTTTTCGAGAAATTAAATATTGAATATACATTGTGTCACGTTTAGACCGCCCCCCCCCTACCCCCAAAAACGTGACATCATTTGTGATCGCTCCCTTTTAGATTATTTAAAATAATTTCTTATATGATGAGAATTTCCGTGTAAAAAAATTGGATCATATGGATTGCACTTATAGTATGAGTGGCGCATGCATATAGGCAATTCAGACAAGACCCCTTATCGAAATGACATCAACAAGGGCGCCCGCAGGGTTATCCATGTGGGAGCCTCATCAGCACATTGCATTCTTGCCTTCGTGGAGCTATCACCTTGATTCTTCTTTTAATTAATATTCAAAATAAATAATAAAAAATAAAGGAAATTATGAATAAGTAACGAACATATTTTATAATTTTCCTACCCGTGTGCCAATAGACAGTGGATGAGTGTGGAGCGTACAGTTAGTATGTTAATCTATCTGTCGCTCTATTTTTGTTTTAAAAAAAATGTTTGAAAATTATTGTTTACCAATTTTAGGTTATGTTTATGATATAGATGAAGAAAAAAATATTGTCGAGAACACGATTACAATAAAAATGATAAACAATTTTGTTATTCGAAGAGGATTAGAACATAAATTTTCACCTTTGAAAAAAATATCAATATAAATGAATTTTTTGTAGTTATGGCTACAGGTTTGCTGATGAAAATGAATGTATTGAACAGAGATATTTTTGAAGATTGTACATGTCCACTTGTTGAAGAAGAAATTAAAGAACTTATCGAAACAAAAAACCTGGAAAAATTCAATATAGACACCAATTTTTTACAAGCAATTTATCATGGAAAATATTAATAGTCTGCGAAGATGCAAGAAATTCTTTAACATCAGGACAATTTCTTTTCGATATTAATTATTTGAAAACATTTAATTATACAAGAGGAATTGAAATATCCTATATAGAATTTGCAGATTCGTTAAGACTGTCGAATCCTAAAATTGTATTACAGATCAATTTTAATAAATCCTTCGAAACAATTCAATTATTATTTTTTAATATAGTAAAATCTTTGGAAAAATTCAATTATTTACAATAAAATTTCACGAAAGAATTCAATTCTAAAAAAATTCGTAATTGTTTTAAAGATCTTAAATCCCTCTTTAATTTTTGGCCAAGATAAATAATTTCGATTGGAAATATTTAGAGTTATGAGTATTTTTTTCCTGTCCATTATTTGTTATTTTTAAAAAGGAATAATTATTCAAAAAGGCCTCTGAAATTTCTAGGTTATGTGAGACCTCGCCGAGAGAGCGAAAAAAAACTAGGAAAGGACAGATCAAATAGAGATTTTTTTAAGTAAAGTTCTGTGTATTTATTTTCATCACATGACTTTAAAGCCTTTATTTTTCAGTCAAAAAACGTATAAAATGACATTCAATTAAATAAACTTTTACAAATAAAAAAAACATGTTTACTTGAAGTATGTACATTGTACATTACATAATGTTTCAAAAAAAAATTACTCGTCTACAAACTTAGATCCTAAGTAAATAACTTAACCGATGTAAATTTCTTATTTTCAAATTAAGATCATTTTTCCTAAAAGAAAAAGATCGATAGTACATTATTTTTTTTTTTTTAAGAAATTTGAATCTTTACTACAACTTTGATAAATGGAAAAATTGAATATTTCTTATCAAAATAGTTGAAAACATGGTTACTTTTTCAAATGACTATACACGTACACGTGGGATTGCACTACACAGAGAGTACACATGAATTAACTTTGACAATTCTTTAGGAATAGAATGCATTGTTTTGTAGGATCTGTTATATGAATCATTATTAATGATGAATTAATCGCTGTTCACACGTTTATAAATTTAGCCTTTATCAACAAAATGTAATACTTGTATTCAATTTTGCATTGTGAAATAATGCACTATAACAAAGAATGCTGAAAAATTATACTCGTAAAATTTCAGCTGCTTTATTATAACAAATAGCAATCCAGTCTGGTTGTGTTGCGCCCCACTGAATTTGGTTGACTTCGCCCTCTGCTGCAGTGTAAGCCAAAATTGGATCTTCAATGGCTCTTGGCATTTGTTGGATGTCCCAAATTAATGCCTGATGATCGTCTCCTGCTGTGCAGATGTGGCATGACGAGTGTGGTGCCCAAGCTATACCATTAACACTTGCCCTTGAATTAAAATAGTATTAATTTATTAAATTATAAATTTTGTTCCACTGTTAAATTTTTTAAATTAAAAGTCATTTTGTGATAGTTTCTATTCATATTATAATTGAGCGCTCCAATGCAACAACTCGTTCGACGCTCGAAAATATTTCGAGCGCCGAACGAGTTGTTGTATTGGAGCGCTCAATTCTTGAAAAATAAAATTTGAATTCAAATCTGTATATAATTATATAATTAATTACCTGTGATTATTTAATCTCGCAACTGGTGTGCAGGGAACTCGAATATCCAGTATTATAACTTCACATGCATCCATAGCAACTGTAGCGATAAAATTACTGTCTTGCTTATTCCAAGCAAGCCTTAACAATGGAGTACGATGTTGATCTTCGTAAATTATTGTGGAATGTTCTAAGTGACGCAGATCGAAAACTCTTACGGATCCATCAGCTCCCACAGAAGCAAACATATCACGTCCACCGGCAGCAAGACTGAAAGCAATGTCATACACCTCTTTGTCGTGAGCAATCAACTGTGTCTTCACACATCCAGTCACACGTCCCAAAACTTGTCCCGTTTCAATAGACCAAATAGTACATGTTGTGTCTATACTCGATGTCCCTATAATATTGGGATCTATTTCGTTCCAATCAAAAGAGGTGAGTGGAGCACAAAAGTCCGAATTCTTATTGTTATTTAAGACACATTCTAATCTAGTTTCAGGTTCACCAGCGAGCCATATCCTTAAGTAGTCACCTGAAGTTGCTAAAAGGTCCGGATATGAACCTAAAAAGAATTTTTTTAATTTTAACTCTTTGGAGTACAAAGTAAACTGTACATTTGAAAAAAAAAATATTTTCAGTTTCACATTGACAAATGACCAGACTTCGCACTCGATAATTAATTTTAAAAAAGTTTTATAAAAAATGTTAAATAATTAATTTCTTTCGACTAATTTTATGCAAATTCTAATTTAAATAATTGAATTCCTGAGAAATTTTTATTATTTATAAAAAGAATTGAATTCTTATGAAGATATTTACAAAAAAATTTTCAAATAATTGAATTCTGTTTTGAAATTTTATGAAAATGGTAGATATTGAAAATCTACCAATAATTGAATGTTTGTGGCATTTTATTAAATTTTTTTGAAAATAATTAAATTCCTAAAAAGCATTTTATTATTTATTAAAATAATTGAATTGTTGCGAACGATTTTATTAGAATTTTTTAAAATAATTAAATTTCCAAAAAAAAATTTATTACTTTAAAAAATAATTGAATTTTGCAAAGAATTTTATTAAAATGATTCCAAATAATTGAATTTTCGGGAATAATTTTGTTATTTATCTTTAATAATTGAATTCTTGGGAAGAATTTTTATTAAAATCTAAAAGAATAATTGAGTTATTTAAAAAAAAATAATTTAAATTTAATTTAAAATAATTGATTTCTTTCAAACAATTTTATTAAAATATTTGAAAATAATTGAAATCCTGTGAAAAATTCTAATATTTTTTTAATAATTGAATTCTTACAATGAATTAAAAAAAAATTTTGTTTAATAATTTGATTTTTTCGAGGAATTAAAATTAGATTTTTAAGAATAAATACAATTTTTTAGCAATTCCTGTAAAATTATATTAAAAATAATTAAAATCCTAAGTTGAATTTTATTATTTATAAAAATAATTGAATAGTTGGAAAGAATTTGATTAAAATTATCAAAAATAAATGAATTCCTGAGAAGAATTTTATTATATAAATTATTGCAAACGATTTTATTTAAATTTTTAAAAATAATTGAATTTCTAAGAAAAATTTATCACTTTTAAAAATAGTTGAATTCTTGCGATGAATATTGTTATTTAAGAAAATAATTGAATTTTACAAAGAATGTTATTAAAATGATTTAAAATAATTGAATTTTCCGAAATAATGTTATTATTTATCGATATAATTGAATTCTTTTGAAGAATTATTTTTGTAAATAATTGAATTCTGGTGAAGGATTGTTTAAAAATCTAAAAGAATAATTGAATTATTTCCCAAAAAATTAATTAAAATTGTATTTAAAAATAACTGATTTCTTGCGAACAATTTTATTAAAATATTTGAAAATAATTGAATTCCTGTAAAAAATTTTTATATTTTTGTAAATGATTGAATTCTTGCTTTGAATTTTATCAAAAACTTTTTAAAAAATTGAATTTTCATGATAAATGTAATTATTAGTGAAAGTAATTGAATTATTGTAAAGAATTGTATAAAAATTTCGTTAAATAATTGATTTTTTCGAAATTTGTTTAAAAATCCTATTCTAAACTAATTTTATTATTTATGAAAATAAATTAATTTTGAATCAATTTTATTAATTTTTTTTAATAATTGAATTCTTTTACGAAATTGTATGATAATTCTAGATATTGAAAATAATTGAATAATTGAAATTCAAATATTGTTTGAAAATAATCGAATTTCGAATATTTTTTGAAAATAATTAAATTTCGAATACTTTCTGAAAATAATTAAAATGGCGAATATTTTTGAAAATAATTGAATTTGAAATATTTTTTGGAAATAATTGAATTGTTTTAAAGAATTGGATTAAAATTTTTGAGAATAGTGTTTTTTATTTCGAGTATTAGAGAATTTAAAGTAGTGAAAATTCTCCAAAAAAAAAAAACAAAAATAGTAGCTTTTAGTGGATGAAATCTAAAAGAAATACCAAAATAGTAGTATAACGGAAAAAAGTATTAAATAGTAGGTTTTAGTAGATGAGTGCGAAGCCTGAATAACTTTTACACCGAACAAAAATTGTTCCCTTTTTGGTTAATCTTAAAAATACTTCATTTTTAATTTCTGCAGTTTGATAACCGCATTATATTAAAATTAAATTCATTATACAGAAATTTGTAGTGTTCCTTTTTTATAAGAATGTTAATAAAATAATTTCTTACCTTTACTGTCTGGGATCCACATAATTTTTGTGGTGGGGTAAGGGTGATCAAAAGTGCTCTTTGCACTGAACTCTGCCGTTTCTTCATCGAGAGAAACAATTTGAACTTTATTGTTATATTCTTCGACAAAACTACCAAGTGCCAAACGGAATCTTTTGTCCGGACGAACCGACCAATTCATACTGTATAAAGGCCATGGCGCCTCGTACTTGTAAATCTCCTTTCTTTTTTGTGGACCACTCATAAGAGCCATTGTTGATTTTTTACTTACAACTGTAAATAAAATTAATTTCATTTTTTCTTTAAAAAAAATGTATTACTAATACAATTCACATCGTAAATATTTCAAAATCCTGAAGCCAAATTTGTTGCAAACTTAAAATTTAAAGACTTGAGCGTTCTGCTTTAGAATTTAATTTGACCAGATTGTTTGTTTCATTCTAAGAATTAATTTTTTAAAATATTTTAATTTAATTTTTCGAAAATAATACAATTTTTGTATCCGTTCGTTAATTATTCCTGTCTTCTAGATCGTAGATTAACATCATTTAGTATTTTCAATAATATTTTACTTAAAATATTATTATTATTAAATAATATTAAAATTAAATTATTAAATATTTCTAAAAACTGCTTATATTGTAATCAAAAATGAATGTAATATCGGGTGGCAAAATTAGATTGTATTATACTAAAATAAGTTTTTATGTGTTTACATCTTAAATGTTCCATTAGCTTCCTAATCAGAATGAAATATAAAACAAAGTTCTCTTATTTCTGAAAAATTTAATATTCATAAAGGAAACAGAAAATTTCTTTTTTCTATGTATATGTTTTTTCTCTTTATACGGTATTATTTATTATTATAAACATAAAATACGCATGCAATTGTTTTTTCTAACCTTAATAACGACAGTGTCCAAAACATTGAAACGGAGTGCCTTGCTATAAACCAATTTATCTCCTTTTACTTCATTTCAATCTATTTTTATTTTTCGGGCAGACTCAATTAATAAAGAAGTTGATTTACTGATTTAAAATTAAAATAATTCTATAATTTCAGTACACAATCAACATAAACCAAAATACTTTCCACAAATGTATACAAGCAAGGTTGGTCGATTTCAGTTTTTCATAATAAAGGTGCTCGCACAACTGCCGCTGATACATTATGCAAGAGATGCACCTAAAGCCCTTTTTCCAATAGGATACCAAGAAGATTGCGTTTCAGTGCCGTTTTTGAATTCCGTATTGCAACCATACACTCCGTATTGCGATCACCTCGACTAATAAACATCAGTTACTCTCTCTTCAAGTCAAATTTTCATTTCAATTAAGTAATAATTGTATTATTTGGGAGTGAGAATGTATATTTTTTTACTTTACCTTGCCGCTGGAGCTAAAGTCCAACGCACAATAGGTTCGCGAAGGTCATTCGTGAACGGAACGCATGAGATAGACAAGGACACAAATATATCTCTGTCCTTTCCTAACTCATGCTTTGCGTTCGCGAACGACTTTCGCGAACCTATTGTGCTTAGGCCTTTAATTTCTTTTCTTTTAGCATTATAAAATTTGTCTGTATTGCGACTGTCATATTCTGTGTTTGGAATATTTACTGTTTGAAACATAAAAATTAATTACATAACAATTTTAACCCTTTCGCGCCTCCGATACATATATATACCACTTACAAAATTAAATAAAACTCTTATAATTTTAAACCTATTAATAATCAATATAGCTTTTTCTAATCACCAACGTAACTACTATATATAAAAAAATTACAAATTACATAGTACTTTTATAATTATTAAAAAAAATAGGTAGAATTTAATAGGTGTTTAAAAAATAGCAAAATTTAATTTTTCAAAATTCGCTTAAAACTTCTTATTCGGGGGTTTTTGAGGTCGCTGATTACGAATCTATAAAGTCAGATTTAAAAAATTTTTTAAATTCAAGTTGATGGACAATTTTTTTTTAAATTTCTCATATTCGCTTGAAACTTGTTACTCTGGGGTTTTCAGGGTTTACATTTTGAATTTCAAAAATCTAACTTCAGATTCGTAATCAACGACCCTGAAAACCCCCGTGTAATAAATTTTATGCAAATTTGAGCAATTTTGAAAAAATGTTCACCATATTGGATCTACCATTTAGAATTTTGAAAATTTTGAACATCTGACTTAAGATTCGTAATCAGAGACCCTAAAAACCCCCCGAGTAACAAGTTTTAATGAAATCCACTGGCTGTATTTCCCCTGGGCACGAAAGGGTTAAAAATGTGTTATCTCTATACATTTGTACTAAAATTTGAATGTTTTACAAAAATTCTATGTATAAAAAACAAATTTTCCAAGTTAGAAAATAATAAACATAATTTAAAAAAGTGTATATTTCTATATCAAAACTGATCAAAACATGATTTCGAATCAATATTATATTCCATCATAAGTTGTAACAGCTCTGGTGGGTAATAAATAATTACAAAATTATATGAATGGATTTTTTTCTAAAATAAAATAAGATCTCACTAGAATTACAAATCCAAACAAAATAACATCGTAATATAATTTTAAAAAATTACTTTTGGTTTCGTATCGGTTTCTGTGCATTTATTTATGGCGCCTCACTGAGGGTTAAAAAAGAGAAAAAGCTTTTTTTTTATTTATTGTCACATTACTAAAATATTTTAAATAAATTTTTTGTAAGAGTTTGATTTGTTAATCTGAGTAAGCCGACGTACAAAACACTAATTTCAAGCTTCAAGCTTAGTTAAAGATGTAATCGCAATATACATATTAAACATCCATAAATTTGAACTCTTCATAATTAACGTAGTAATGTTAATAATAATTATTATTGAAGGTTAAATTACTTTCCAATACATTCATGGAAACAAATTCTTAAATTAAAATTTCTTTTTCGTAGAAAGGAGATGCATAACAACTTATTCAACGAAACTGATCTTTGCGTTATTTATCATGAAATTACATTTTAGGAACAAGCGGCTGAAAATTTTCTCAAATCTACAATTGAGAGATACTGGAGAATGTGACGAATATCAGAAGTAGAAATTCGAATTTTGTAACATTTTTTAACCATACGATACATTAACGTCGTGCTCTCATCGATGCAATTTCTTCTTCTTTCTGCTATTTCGACACTTGCCTTCAAAAAATCAGCATATATAGGAAATTTTATTTGTGAAGATTTCATTGCAGTGAGAAAATCTTCGTTATTTATGTACCCTGCAACTTTATCCATTGATTTCGTTAATACATCATAGAAAGTGAAATTCAAATTTTCATTAACTTTCGCAGTTTGCATGACAATTTTCTCCTGTTCACAATCATCTTGCCAATCAATAAGATCATTTAATTCAATTTCTTCAAGCGGAGTTAGATTACAATTTGTATTCAGCAATACTAAACGACATAATAATAATTTTAGTAATTCTATTTTAATTTTCTTCTCTACGTCATTGTCGTCATCTTCATCGTAATCATTAATAATTTCTATAAATGTATCTGAAAGATCATCAACATTTTTCGAGTAAACAATTATGGGCAATTGACACTTGGCATTTTTATAGCAAATGCATATTTTTATATCAAAACATGATTTCGAATCAATATTATATTCCATCATAAGTTGTAACAGCTCTGCTGTAGCAGATGGTGGGTAATGAGATAAACAACATTCTTCAAATATAAATGTCTCAGAATAGTTTATAAGTGCCTCTTTACTCAGATAATTAAATATGCTTCTAATAATTCCAGGACAAAAGACAGAATCACCTATAGCCGACATTAGTTCTCTTGACAATGGCTTTGAATTATTGATGGTTGATGAAACTTTTATTCTTTCAGCATAGTAAAGTAAATCCTCATTAGCTTCACTATTCGAATACTGGATTAACATGTCCGTCACTTTTACCAATCCCGCAAACACTAAAGGAGTAACAGGTATGGGATAAAACGAGCCTGAATGAACCTCCAAAGCCGCTTTCAACGGTGATTCACTGAATTTAGAGGTTATAGAGGGATCAGCACCATGATTTAAAAGAAATTTAACTACGCAGCTGGCTGAGCTGACATTGCTGCGAAATGCAGTGGTGTAAGGCGATAATCTTCAGTTTGTAAATTAACATCAGCTCCAGCTTCCAATAGCAGTTTCACTAGTCTCGGGTGCTCGAATGTTGCTGCGAGATGAAGGGGACTTATAAAATTAAACAGACTGTCAGTAACAGGATAATTAGCGTTTAGAAGAATTTTTAACATTTCTTCATTGCCCCTTTCAACGGCAATGTAAACGGCTAATTTTCTGGCGAAAGTGTCCGATTCATTTACATGGTCCGATGGTTCATTTACAATTGCCTCGACAGTTTCCAGTTGATCCATTCGAATAGCCAAATGAAGCTGCGTTTCCTTAAAACACGTTTTTGCATTAATTTTCGACAACTTTGTTACTAAATATTTCCACATGTTATGACGACCCAAAAAAATTGTATCATCAAATACGCCATTTAAATTCCGTACTTTAATACCAATATCGACTAAACATTTTATAGTATCTAAACTGCCTTTCATAATATGTGACCTGATTAAGAGTAGTTCATCTTCCTTAACTGTTGCGATACTTTTTACACCATTCATTATGAGATATTCAAGAATGTCTAAACGATCGGACGATACTGCAAGTTTAAGAGAACATTGACAATAATTGTTATCATCATTTGGAACATCGACTATGTTACATCCGTTCGCCATGAGCAGCTTTACCATTTCGAAATTACCTCTCCTAACTGCGTTACGAAGAGGTTCCATGTTAGTTAAATCGTTGTCACTTAAAACAGCACCATGTTGAAAAAGAATTTCGGCCATTTGAACGTTTCCTTTCGCCAATGAAACATCAAGCGGTGTATTGCCCTTAATATCCTTTACCCCAATAGTGGCTCCATTACTTAAAAGTGTCTTTGCTATTTCTGCATGTCCTCCTGCAGTCGCCACATGCAGCAATGTCCTTCCTCGTATCGTTTCCGTCGCCGAATATTTCTCGAGCAGAGAATGGATAAGATTCAATTCTCCATTGTGGACTGCGAGAAACAACTCATTGTAGTCAGAAGTATCGTCATAATCATTCGAACGATCCATGGCAACGAATTTAAGAATTAAATCCATGTAGACTTTACTGAAGCTTTGATAGTGATCCACAATCCCGAACAGGAGAAACAGCTTCAATTAAATATTCTGTAATAAAAATAAAAAAGTCTGTATCACTAATTTAAATAAATTCTCATTGCTTCTTCATAGAGGAAGGATTTAGTACTAAAAAGATAATGATGTGGAATTATGCCAAAACATCAGACATTTTGATTATTCTTCAGATTTTGTGATGCTTTTTTCAGCTGATCTAAACAGCGTTTTTTCTAATTTATTATTTTTTGTTTTTTTCTGGACGAAATCTTCTCATCTGTTATATATGTTTTTTACAGTCTTGAAGAGTCGTAATTAATATCACGACGAAAATGCATAGACGAATTCGAATTTTTTAAATATATGAAAATTCTTTTGTGAACAAAACACAGTTCTTATTTAATAGACCAAAGGCCACAAAAATATTATCTGAATTAAAACTATATAATAGAATTATTTAATATTTTAGAAAGATTATTTTTTTATTGTACTTAATATAATTTCAACTTTTACTTTTTTATTCAAAATATGTAATATGTATTTTTAAATTTTAACGTTTTTCTTTATAATAATAAAAACATAATACAAAAATATTTTATAAATTGAACTTATATATATAGGTGCAGTACCTATTCGGATTTTCGGTTTTCCGGACAAATTTAATTTAATTAATTAGAAATTTTCATAAAAAAAGATATTTTGTGGTTCTTTGATATTATAAATTATGTAACAATGATTGTCAATGATGTTTATTTGTAATATTCCTAAAATAAAAATCTTGAGGAGGAAATGATGTATTCATGAAATGCGTAGACAAAAATTGTTTCTTAATATTATGTATAAATAGTCATTTCTACTCGGAGAATTTTTATCCAAGAATTGAGGATATGAGAAAAACAATATTTTTTTCAGAAAAGTTCGATGTTGATATTAAAAATTTTTAAATGTTTTTGTAATGACTTCGAATAAGACTCAATATCTCAGTCTCTGCGCGTCGAAGAATTACAGAATTACATGGGTCAGAATTCGTGAAAATTTCAATAAAAATGAAAAGTATTTTTTTTAATTCGAAATATTTATTCTCTCATACATACATTCAAAATGGGCAGTGTAAAAATGTCAGAAAATACAACGGATCAAGTTTTTGTGATATTATTGTTAATTTTACTTGTTGTAGATATATTTAAAAAAAACCGAGAAACAAATAAATAAATACATAATTAAATTAGTTTCTATTATTACTAACCATGATTAATGCAATATCAACATATCGCTTTTATATACTGGACGATTTTCCGTGACGAAACATTAAACGAATGATGGCATTTTACAACGTTTGGATTACAGTAACCAAGACTTTTTAACTTTTACTTATATTTTATATAAGTATCTAATTATAATTTATAGAATATATTATTTGTAAATCAAGAGACAGTTGACAACTGGTTGACAACATTTATACCCATAAAAGTATTAATCGTGATAGAGTGGAAACTTCAGCTGTGGGAACAAAGCCTCAAATTAAGGCTTTTTTTACATGCATGTTAGCAATGCCTAAAGGTGCATTTACACCTCAGTCGAAAAAAAAAATAATATGCCGAAAATGCATTTGATTTGTCTGATTCTAAGTAAATTATCGTTAATTTATATGTAGAATGTGATAATTAACTTTGAATCAGACACAATAAATACATTTGGAAGCTATTGTAGATACAATGATAATTATGTATACTGATCAGCATAAACATTTGCGCACATTCTGTTACATCAGCGAATCATAATTTACTGGCAGATTACTGCCAGTAATTTTGGGATCCTATTGGAGAAAGGCCTTACGAATTCCTAAAAAATTAGATTTTTTATAAAATGTATAATATTATTATTAACAAATTCATATATTGTTTATGAGAATAGAGGCCTCACTGAGGATGCAACACTTTGAATTTTTTTTCAGGGACTATTTTTAATAGTAAAAAATATTTAGTATCTAATTTTTTTATAATATAATATAAGTCTTAGAAAACGGCTACCGCGGGAGTGCTTTACTCTGAAAGTTTGTAACATTTTTGCTTCTTAATATCAACAAAATAACTTGAATTTTGGAAGCTTTCGGGTCGATTAGGATTTTTAAATTCCATAATTATTTTAAAAAGTAATATTTTATTATGTTAAAGTTTAATTAATTAATATTAACGTGTCGACGAAAACAACATTGATTTAAAACTTAGTTAACGATGTAATTCCAAAATATATCCATAATTTTGTGCTTCATAATAAATGAAATAATATATTAATATAATTATTATTAAAGATTAAATTACTTTCCAATACAATCATGGGAACAAATCCTTAAAATTAAATTACTTTATCGTAGAAAGGAGATGCGTAACAAATTATTCATTAAAACGAATCATTACGTTAATTGTTTTAAAATTCAATTTTATGAACAAGCTGCTGAAAATCTTCTCAAATCTACAATTGACAGATATTTGAAAATTTGATTGATTTCAATTCTAGAAATTCGAATTTCGTGATACTTTTTAACCAAATGAAACATTAAACTAACACAACCGTTGATGAAATCTCTTCTTCTTTCGGCCATTTCGACATTTGCCTTCAAAAAATCAGCATACAGTGGAAATTTTATGTCAGAAAATTCGATAGCTTTTAAGAAATCATTGTTGCTCGCGTACATTGCAACTTTATCAATTGATTTCGTTAGTACATCATAAAAAGTAAAGTTCAGATTTTTATTAACTTTCGTCTTTTGCATGTCCACCTTCTCTTTTAAGCACTTCTCTCGCAAATCATTAAGATCAATGAATTCACATTCATTCTTATACTCAGTTAAATCACAATTCGTTTTCAACAATACTAAACGACATACTAACAATTTTAAGAAATCTATTTTACTCTTCTTTTCGACGTCATTGTCGTTATCTTCATCGTAAGTATAAAAAAGTTTAGAAATAACACTTAAAATATTTTTAACGTTTTTAGAGTAACCAGTTATGAGTAATTGGCACTTGTAATTTCTATCGGAAACGTTTATTTCTATATTGAAACAAGATTTTGTATCATTGTATTCCATCATAAGTTGTAGCAATTCTGGTGTATATTCAGATGGATCATCATCATCATTTAGAACTGACTCAGAACAACATTTAACATTTTTTTTCTTTAGATAATTAAATATGCATTCAACAATTTCAGGACGAAAAACGGAATTCCCTACGTCAGATAGTAGTCCATCAGACTTTGAATTTGAATCATTGATACTTGATAAAACTCTTATTCTAACTGCAGGTGAAAATAAACTTTCAATAGCTTTCGATTTTGAATATCGAATTAACATCTTCGTTGTTTTTACCAATCTCTCAAATGCTAATGCAGAAACAGGTACAGGATCACAAAACGGAGAAAATATCTTTATCGCCATTTTTAACGGTGATTCATCATATTTAGAGATTTTAAAGGGATCAGCACCTTTTTTAAGAAGAAACTTAACTACAGCTGGCTGCGCTGAAATTGCTGCGAAATGTAATGGGGTGAGGCCATAATCAGTTTGCAAATTAATATCAGCTCCAGCTTTCAAAAGCATTTTCACTAGTCTTGGATGTTCAAATGTTGCTGCAAGATGAAGAGGACTTATGAATTCAAACAGAGTGTCAACGGGATAACGAGCGTTTAGAAGAATTTCTAATATTTCTTCACTGCCACTTTCAACGGCAATGTAAACGGCTAATTTTCTGGCGAAAGTGTCCGATTCATGTTCGTCTGATGGTTCACTTACAATTGCCTTGACAGTTTCCAGTTGGCCCATTCGAATAGCCAAATGAAGCTGCGTTTCTTGAAAATACGTATTTGCACTAATTTTCGACAACCTTGTTACTAAATATTTCCACATGTCATGACGACCCGAATAAAATGTAGCATTAAATACTTCATCTAAATTCATTGCTTTAATACCAATATCGACTAGAAATGTTAAAGTCTCCAAACCGCCTTGAAAAATAAGTGATCTAAATAAGCCTAGTTTATCTTCCTGAACTGTTGCGATGCTTTTTACACCATTCTTCACGAGATATTCAAGAATGTCCAAACGACCAGATGATACTGCAAGTTTAAGAGAAGAACCATATTCACTTGGAATGTCGACTGTGTTACATCCGTTCACCATAAGCAGTTTTACCATTTCAAAATTTCCTTCCTCAACTGCGTCACGAAGAGGTCTCATATATGTCAAATCGTTGTTACTCAAAACTGCACCATGTTTAAAAAGAATTTCAGCCATTTGAACGTTTTCCTTCGCCAGTGCAACATCAAGTGGCGTTTTTCCATTATTATTTTTTACTCCAATAGAAGCGTCATTATCTAAAAGTGTCTTTGCGAATTCAGGGCGATTATACAAAGCTGCATAGTGAAGTGGTCTTTCACCATTGAGATTTCTTGCGTTCAAGTTACTATCTTTTAAAAGAAGATTGAACAACTCAGGCTGGTTTTCCCTTATCGCCAAATGCAGAGGTGTATTTTCTCTTCCGTCTCGGTTAGTGATGAACAGTTTTGCGATCTCTGCATGTCCTCTTGCAGTCGCTACATGCAGCAATGTCCTTCCACGAATTGTTTCCGTCGCCGAATACTTTTTTAGCAGAGAATGAACAAGGTTTAAGTCTCCATTGTGGACTGCGAGAAACAATTCATTGTATTCAGAAGTATCGTTGTAATCATTCGAACGATCCATGGCAACGAATGAAAGAAAAAATTACTTCGAAAGTAATCTACAATCTCGAATAGGTAGAATTCATCCAATTAAATATTCTGTAACAAAAATAAGAGAGTTTACATTATACTTATACTGAAATATGTATATTCTAATTATTCTTGTTAACACTCTACATGCGTATACATCAATCAGAAAATGAATAAATTTTCTAAAGCTAGATTCCCTGTTCAAAAACTTTTATTATCTATACATCTATGTATAGATTAAATTACCATAGATGTGATTTATGAAAACAAAATTTTGCTATTTTTTGAACCCATCATATGAGATGCAACCCTTTAAAAAATATATTAATAATTTTAAAACACACTCAATAATAGGAAATTATTGGAAATTACAGGAAAAGAATTTACTCAAAAAGAAAAAAACAAGTTTAACCCTCAGCCTACGCTGACTTATCCCCACTCTAGCGCTTTTGAATGTAATTTCCGCATAGTTCCCACCAGGCAACCGAATTGTCGTTTTTTGTCGATAACAGTCACTCATTGCGTATAGGCATAAGGATAAAGTATCAAAAATATAAAGAAATAATTTTTTATTTAATATCATATAATTTAAATATTTTAAACAAACTTTTAATAAACGTTTGATTTGTTAATGTTACAGTGACGAAGTAAAAAACATTGTTTTAAAGCTTAAAGCTTAGTTAACGGTGTAATCGCAATATATACATCCATAAATTTGAACTTTATAGTTAACGTAATAATATGAATAATTATTATTACAGATTAAATTACTTTTTAATACATTAATGGAAACGAATCTTTAAATAAAAGTTTCATATTCACAGATGGAAAATGCATAACAAATTATAAAAAAAAATATTTTCGTTAATTATGTATTAAAATCACATTTTAGGAACAAGCTGCTGAAAATCTTTGCAAATCTATAATTGTCAGATACTGAAAAATATGACAGGTATAAAAATTAGATATTTGAATTTTGTAACATTTTTTAACCACGCGATACAATAATCTAGAGCACTCGTTGATAAAATTTCTTCTTTTTTCTGACATTTCGACATTTTCCTTCAAAAAATCAGCGTATACCGGAAATTTCACGTGACAAGATTTAATTGCTTTAAGAAAATCTTTGTTGCCTGCATACATTAGAAGATCATTAGCTGATTTCGTTGAAACATCATAGAATGTGACGTTCAGATTTTTACTAACTTTTGTTCTTTGCATGACCCTTTTCTCCTTTACACACTTCTCTCGCCAATCATTAAAATTATTCTTTAAACAAAATGCAATCAAGGGTGGATAACAATTATTAGTCAACAATACTAAACGCGCTACTATTAATTTTATAAAATCTGGTTTTCCCTCCATGTCAGCCTTTTCGTATTGACCTTCCTTCATATGCCAGACAATTGCATTTGCAGTATTTAAAAGATCATCAATGTTTCTAGAGTAACCGGTTAGGAGCAATTGGCACTTGTAATTGTTCTCCCGATCCCTCACTCTCATATCAATACATGAGGTGCAATCATTATATTCTATCAGAAGGTGTAACAATTCTGGTGTATGTCCTATTGGAAACGAATCATCTAAAGCTGCGTCAGAAGAACTTATAACTAATTGATCACTTAGATAATTAAATAGGCACCTAACGATTCCTGGACGAAATTCAGAATCATCTTCGCCCGTTGTCAGTTCATTTGACTCTGTATTTGAATTCTTGATTCTTAGCACTCTTATTCCGACTGCTTCTGGAACTAAGCTTTTAATCTCTTCAGGTTCTGAATACCGAATTAGCGACTCCGTCACTTTTACCAAACCGTCAAACACTAATGGAGAAGTAGGTCTGCAAGAAAACGAGGGTGAATATAACTTCAAAGCCATTTCTAATGGTGCTCCGCTGAACGTCCAGGCTATGGAGGGATCAGCACCATTTTCAAGGAGGCATTTCACTGCTGCTGGTTGCCCTGCACAAGCTGCGAAGTGCAATGGCGTGAGACCTTTCTCATTTTGCAGATTAACATCAGCTCCAGCTTCCAAGAGCAGTTTCACTAATTTCGTGTCCTCGACTGTAGCTGCAATGTGCAGAGGACTTCCAATGCTAAACACACTATCAATAGGATATGAGGCGTTTAAAAGAACTTCTAATATTTTAGCGTTGCCACTTTCAGCAGCAATGTAAACGGCCAATTTCTTGTCGAAACGGCTCAATTTATATTCATTTGAAGCTTCGTTTACAATTGCTTTAACAGTTTCCACTTGGCCCATTCGAATTGAAAAATGAAGCTGCTTCTCTTTAAAAAAGGTGTTTGCATTAATCTTTGAGAAACATGTCAATATATATCGCCATATATCATGGAAATGCCAAATAATTGGACTGTAAAATATGACATCTGCCTCTTCCGTCTTAAAACCAAGATCGACTAAACATTTTAAAGTATTTACACAACCACCTCCAATTCTAGTAATTAAGTTAAATAAGCGTAAGTCATCCTTATTGACTGTTGAACTGCTTTTTATGTCGTTCTCCATTAGATATTTTAAAATGTCCAGACGACCGGACGATACTGCAAGTTTAAGAGAAGATTCTGAAAGAATGACACAATCATTTGTATAAATTCATTTGTATAAATAAATTATTATTATATGTAAATATACCCAAAATAATAGATAAAATGATTTTAAAATTTATTTATGAAATGTCAAGTCACCACATTTTATTCACATTTTTCTAAAAAGTTTGTAAATATTAAAAAGTTTATTACTACTTAATCTTAAGTACTATTATATTATGTGCTGCCTTTTTAGTTTTATAATATAGAAATATATAATAAATTTTATCTGTAATATTGAGTCTTTCATGAGTTTCGGTAATTTTCATCACTTGATGAATTTCTCATCAGGTGCAAAACGGAAAAAATCAATTTTTCTTTCAAATACTTTTTATGTATGCTAAGAATTCGTTTAAATGACATTCTGTTCAATAAAAATTCTAGCAAATGAAAATATCAATATAGATTAAAATTCGACGTAATGAAAATTTTGCCAAATAAAATTTTTATTATGAACACATTTTGTATTACAGAAATTAATTTAAATGAAAATTATAGTAAATTAAAATTCGCTGAAAGAAATTTCGGTTAAAGAATACTTCTAACATAAAATTCTGTCTATTAAATAGGTATAATAAAAGAAATATTACGGAAGATGACTGTATTAAGTAAATAAACAAAATTAATTTCATTTAGTTATTAATTCTTTCACTAGAATTCATCTGATTCATTTCAATTCTTAGCCAAAATTGTACAGATTTTAATTCCGATTGGTTTTTTTACGACGCAAATATTATTAACACTTCATTCTCTTAAAAAGGAATTAAAGTGCATTAAAATGACTTTAATTGAATCCGAAAATTATGATGTTTTTAATCCACATAAATGTCGTTTCTTAAATTTTGTGGAGTCATTATATTTTAATAATTGACCTCTTCTTACCGTAAATTCCGATCAACACATATACCGTCAGAGATTCACTAGTTTATCACTCTGTCTGGTCAGGAATCATTTCTTTTTCTTAAATGACTTTCGTGGAGGGTGGACAAAAAGTTTAAACTTTGTTATAAATAGTTAATCCATAAAACAATTACTTATGTTCTCATACATACACTCAAAATGTGTAACGTATAAAAATGTCAAAAAAAAGATATAATGCTTTTGTGATATTGTTAACTATAATAAATACTAACCATATGCATGCAATATCAACATATCGCTTTTATATTTAAACTCGACGATTTTCTGTGACAAAACAAACATTAAATTAACGATGGCATTTTACAATGTTTCGATTACAGAAAACAAGACTTTTAAACTTGTACTTATTTTATATAAATATTTATTTACAATTTATAGAATTTGATTTGTGAATACAGAGCTGTCACTGTCAGTCCAAAAAATTTATAACGTTTATAACCATAAAAGTATTAAACCCAATAGAATGGAAACTTCAGCTGTAGGAACAGAGGGAACAGAGCATCGAAATAAGGCTGCGTTCACACTGTACAAGCATGTCAAGTCAACAATGCCTTTAAGGCAGGGTTGGGCGCGTAAAATACCTCAGGTAAATTACGTGGTTTTTTACGGTAAAATACAAGGTAAATTACTGGAACATAACCTCCAAACTGTCAAACTAATTATTTAAAATTTAAATAAACCGATGAACAAAGGTGGCAGGCATCGTTATATATCATTATACCCAACATTCTTTAATATTTTCTTGCAAATTAAAGAAGAATCCGACAAACAATCGGATATAATATAATTTTTTGTCAATAATAAACGATTTAAGTAACATAACCTAAAATTTAACAAATGTTTCTTATTGAGATCTGAAAAATTTGTCTTCTTATTTTAAATTACGAAATTATGACATTGGAATAACTTTTATTTATTAACTGTACATCAGATTCTTCCTAAATGTAAGGTGATTCGTGATTTTGTTTAATTTTATGTTTCTGCAACATTGTTGACAACAAAATGTGAGGTTATAAACGATTTCATTTGAACCAGGTAATTTCAATGGAGTTGAAGAAAGCCGGTTTTTCTCAAAAATATCGTTTTTTCTTGCCTTAGACAATGTGTAATAAAACACTTTTTTGTAATAAAAGGTTTTTAAATCTTAAATAATTACAGTGTTATTTATTAAAAACATAAAAAAAATAGGACGTCAAACGGTCAAATTAAAAATAATAATAAGTCCGCCATATTGAACGTGTAATTTACAGTATTTTACAGTTTATTACGTAAAATACCTCGTTTGAGGTATTTTACGTAGAAAACCTAAAGTGACGCGTCACTTCCCATCACTGCTTTAAGGTGTATTTACACCTCTGTCGTCTTCTAATTACTTGGTATTTTTCAATGAGGGTGCAGTCCCATGCTGAGCAGAAAACAGAATGCAAAGCAGAATTTCATGAGTGCAAGAGAAATAATCAGATATCACTGTCCTTTCCACTCTCACGAAATTCTGCTTTGCATTATGTTTTCTGCTAATCATGGGACTATACCCTGAACCTAATTTTTTCAGATTTTCCAAATTAAATTTTTGAATTTGTCATCTTTTTTTTAAAATAAATTTTTAAGTACTTATCAGTGCATATTTATTGTTCTTTAGTTGCTAAAAATTTCAAAATACTTTCAATGCAAAACCTTTTAAAAAATTATAAAAATTTGAACGTGTTCCGAAATTCAATATTTAAAATTTTTGAATAATATTATTCAAAACTTTAAATTTTTAAGAATGGTAACAAATTAATAATTTTTGTATTTTAATATTATTATACATTTACAGCAATTATAGAATTTCAAAGATTTGGTAAGAATTCAATTTTTTTTTCAAAAATAAATTTCGCAGAAAGAATTCAATTATTTTCAAAAATTTTGATATTCAATTATTTAGATGAATTCAGTTACTTTTAATACAATTTAAATTGAATTCTTCGAAAGAATTTGGTTAATTTCAAAAATACAATTTCTCAAAACAAAATTATTAATTTCAAAAAATTTTAATAAAAATTGAATTTAATTATTTTTAGTACAATTTTAATCAAATTCCTTGAAGGAACTTAATGATAAAAAAAATGATTTTGGATTTCTACAAATTTTATTATTATTTTCTATTCTAGACATGAGTTTCACAAATTAATTCAATTATTTTTAATAAAATTTTAATAAAATTTCTCAAAAGAATTCAATTATTTAAAAAATATCGAAATTAATTAATTTCAATATATTTTTAATTGGATTTCTTGCAAGAATTATATATATTTTAAAAGTTTTAATATATGAAATTTTTCGAAACAAAATTCTTTAAAGAATTTAATTTTTTTTTTGAAAACATTCGTTGCATTCTTTGAGAGAATTTGATTAATTTCAAAAGTTCTTTTTATAAAATTATTTGAAACAATTCAATTCTTTTAAATAAATTTAATAAAATTGTATGTAAGAATTATATTGTTTCAGATTCGAAATTATAAATGTTAAAAAATAAGAATCACATTCTTTTAAGAAAAGTGTCATCTTTTAAATTTTATCTGTTTATTATTTTTTGCATTTGAAATATTGTGTTTTGTTACTTTTAACAATAAAAAAAAATTAAAAAATTAGATTTGTAAAAATTGCTAAAAAAGTCTAAATTTAAAGGTTCTTTTAATTTGCTACTTTAAATTTATGATAATAAGTTTAAAATTTCTGAAAACTGAAAAATGACGTTGTTATAAAAAATTTTATTAGTTTCGTAACCCGAAATTAGAGAGATATTGGGAATTACAGGAAAAAAAATTACTGACAAATAGAAAATAATATGTATTAAATTTTCATATTTTATGAAACGTAGAATTATTTACAGATTTTCACAGTTTATAAGAACAAACACCTCTCTGAGGCTTACCGCAAGAAAAAAAGAATTTTGGTTTGTCACATTGCTAAAATTTTTTAAACAAACTTTCTAATAAGCGATTAGTTCGTTAACATTAATGTATCGACAACTAAAATATTGTTTCAAAGCTCAAAGCTTAGTTGTCTGTGTAATCGTAATTTATGTCCATAAATTTGAACTCGACAATCAACTTAAATTGAATAATTATTATTAAAGTTTAAATAACTATTCAGTACATTCTTGGGAACAAAAGTTTCAACTTCTTTTGATTTTGTACATTCTGAAGACATTCTTCTGTATATTCTTCATCGTGGAAGAAAGACGCTTAACAAATTATACATAAAAAATATTTCCGTTAATTCGGTATAAAAATTACATTTTAGGAACAAACTGCTGAAAATCTCCGCAAATCTATAATAGAGAGATACTGAAAAATATGTCCGATATCAGCTCGAGAAATTCGAATTTTGTGACATTTTTTAACCAAACTAAACATTAAGGTAGTGCACTCGTTGATGAACTCTTTTCTTTTCTCTGCAACTTCGACACTTGTCTTCAAGAAATCAGCGTAGATCGGAAATTTTTTATCAGAAGATTCGATTGCTTTTAAAAAGTCACAGTTGCTCGCGTACATTGCAACTTTATTTGTTGATTTCGTTAATACGTCGTAGAAAGTAACGATCATATTTTCATTAATTCTTGCCTTTTGCATGCCCACCTTCTCTTTCACGCACTTTTCTCGCAAATCATTGACATCATTGTCCAGACAATATTTCAAGACACCAGGATGACCGTCTTCGGTCAACAATACCAAACGCGCTACAATCAACTCTACCAATTCTGTTCTATCCTTTTTGTCGCAGTAGTCATCATGAAATATATCGTTAACTTTATTGATACTCAAAAGATTATCAATGTTTTTAGAGTAACTAACCATAAGCAATTTGCACTTGTAACTTACATCCGCATCTTTTATTTCGATAGTACAACATGATTTAGAATCATTATAATCCATCATAAGTTGCAGCAATTCAGGTGTGAAACCAAATTGAAACTCATTCAAGATCGTCTCAGAATTAATTTTCAATGATTCATCACTTAGATAACTAGACATACATTTTACAATTTCAGGACGAAATTCAGAATAATCGGGCCATGTTACTTTATTTGTCTCTTGATTTAAATTGTTGATGTTTAGCACCCTTATTGTAACTGCCGCTAAATATAACCTATCGATTTCTTCAACATTCGTAGAGGTAGTTAACATTTTCGTAATTTTTATCAGTCTCTCAAACATAGCAACAGGAATGTTTCTAGAAGGTAAATTTGTCGCAAACATGGCTACAGCTAATCCAAATGGTGAATCTCCATAGCACTCACAAGTTTTACAAGCATCAGCACCATTTTCTAGGAGGAACTTCACGACAGCTGGTTGCACCGACATTGCTGCGAAATGTAGCGGAGTGAGACCATCTTCAGTTTGCAGATTAACGTCAGCTCCTGCTTTCAGGAGTAACTTTACTAATCTCGGGTGCTCAAAAGTAGCTGCAACGTGAAGAGGACTTATGAATTTAAACACACTGTCAACGGGACAACCAGCGTTTAAAAGTATTTCTAATATTTCTTCGTTCCCAGTTTCGGCAGCAATGTAAACGGCCAATTTTCTATTGAAAGGAATGAATCGATACAGTGGGATTTTAAGTTCCTTGACAATTGCTTTAATAGTTTCCACTTGGTTCATTCGCACTGAAAAATGAAGCTGCTTCTCTCTAAAATATGTTGTTGCATTAATTTTCGACAGATGTTTTAATAAATATTGCCAAGTTTCGTAGCGTCTATTCTTAATTATGTCAAAAAAGGTATTATTCACTGTTTCTGTCTTCAAACCCACGTCTACTAAATATTTTAAAACATCTAAGCGCTTCATCTCTATACTTGTTTTAAACAAGTGGAGTTCATCTTTATTAATCGTTTCACTACCTTTCTCGCCATTCTTTATGAGATATTGGAAAATTTCCAAATTACCACAAGATACTGCAAGTTTAAGAGCAGAACCATCGAATGTTGGAATATCGACTGTGTTACATCCGTTCGCCATGAGCAGCTTTACCATTTCGAAATTCCCTTCCTTAACTGCGGAACGAAGAGGTCCCATGTATGTCAAATCGTTGGCACTCAAAACTGCATCGTGTTTAAAAAGAATTTCAGCCATTTGAACGTTTTCCTTCGCCAATGCAACATAAAGTGGCGTTTTTCCCTCTTTATCTTTTACCTCAATAGAGGCGCCATTGTCTAGAAGTGTCTTTGCAAAATCAGGACGATTAAATAAAGCTGCATAGTGAAGAGGTCTTTCATCCCGAAGATTTTTCGCGTTCAAGTTAGTCTCCTCTAAAAGAAGATTGAAAACCTGAGGTTGGTTTCTCATTATCGCTAGATGTAGAGGTGTGTTCCCTATTTCGTCCCGCTTGGTGGTGAGCAGTGTAGCTATCTCCGCATGTCCTCCTGCAGCCGCCACATGCAGCAACGTCCTGCCACGAATTGTTTCCGTCGCCGAATATTTCTCGAGCAGAGAATGGATAAGATTCAATTCTCCATTGTGGACTGCGAGAAACAATTCATTGTAGTCAGAAGTATCGTCGTAATTATTTGAACTATCCATGACAACAAATTGAAGAATTAGGTCCGAGTACAATTTACTGAAGCTTTGATAGTGATCCACAATCCCGAACAGGAGAAACAGCTTCAATTAAATATTCTGTAATAAAAATAAAAAAGTCTGTATCACTTATTTAAATAAATTCTTATTGCTTCTTCATAGAAAAAGGATTTTGGTATTACTAATTAAATTAAAATTTAATTACCTAATTAATTATTTTAAACACTTAATTAAGGGTCCAATATGTAATAAATAATTTTTAATCGTATACAAAAAAGAAAATATAAAATAGCAATGAAATACTTATTTTTTTGAATATGATTTATTCATTTAATTAAAACTAAATAATAGAATTATTTAATATTTTAGAAAGATTATTTTTTTATTATAATTAATTTAATAATTTCAACTTTTACTTTTTTATTCAAAATATGTATAGGTATTTTTAAATTTTAACGTTTTTCTTCATAATAATAAAAACATAATATAAAAATATTTTATAAATTGAACTTAAATATATAGGTACAGTACCTATTCGGATTTTTGATTATCCGGACAAATTTAATTTAATTAATTAGAAATTTTCATAAAAAAAATATATTTTGTGGTTCTTTGATATTATAAATTATGTAACAATGATTGTCAATGATGTTTATTTGTAATATTCCTAACAAAAATTGTTTCTTAATATTATGTATAAATAGTAATTTCTACTCGTAAAATTTTTATTCAAGAATTGAGGCTATGAGAAAAACTTTATATTTTTTTCAGAAAAGTTCGATGTTCATGTTAAAAATTTTGAAATGTTTTTGTAATGACTTCGAATAAGACTCAATATCTCAGACTCTGAGCGTCGAAGAATTACAGAATTATATGGGTCAGAATTCGTGAAATTTTCAAGAAAAATGAAGAGTATTTTTTTTAATTCGAAATATTTATTCCCATACATGCATAGATTCAAGTTCAAGGTTCAAGTTTTTGTGATATTGTTAAATTTTACTTGTCGATATATTTAAAAAAAAACAGAAAAGCAAATAAATAAATACGCATAATATTTAAATTAATTTCAATTAATACTAACCACGATTAATGCAATATCAACATATCGCTTTCATAAACTCGACGATTTTTCGTGACGAAATATTAAACTAATGATGGCATTTTACAACGTTTGGATTACAGTAACCAAGACTTTTTAACTTTTACTTATATTTTATATAATATATACCTATAATTATAATTACAATTTATTGAATATTATTTGTAAATCAAGACACAGTTAACAACATTTATAAACATAAAAGTATTAATTGCAATAGAGTGAAAACTTCGGCTGTGAAACAAAGCCTCAAAATAATGCTGTTTTTACAAGCATGTAAACTAATGGTACGGTCTTAGATAAATATACTAGATGCGGCGAGGGTCGATGGTGGGGACTACCGATATATATAGCATACTAAATTATCAGTGTATGTTAGTGCTGCCCTCTTCAACTTTTCGCCGTTTCCAAGGATACCGCTTGGAAATCGCGTTTTTTGAGTCGTGAAAGGCTAGAATTTCATTTCTCGCCAATATCACTACTTTTTTTTTTTGAAAACAACGTGTTTTTCAATAAAAACTAATAAATCAATTTTTTAAAATAAAATTTTTAAAAATAAAGAACTTTTAATTCAAAATAAAAAAACCTAATTATTATTTTTAATTAACTTTCTTATAAATAAAATAAAATATTTTGATTATTAATTGTAATTAATTTCCTTTATATAATAAAAAGTTATTAATTAGTTTTTTAATTGAAACAAAATTTTTTAATTATTAATTAAATTAATTAATTTAGTTATTAAATGTATTATTAAAATAATTTATTTAATTATTAAATTAATTATTAATTAATTTTTTTAATTAGTTAAATAACCCCACATAACCTTGGAGTGCAGAATCCAAGGTATCTGTAGGCAGATTTCCCAAAATTCCCTAGGCAAAAAAATAAATAATAATAATAAAAATAATTTAAAAATAAATAAAATAAAAATCAATAGATAATTATAATGTTCATTATAATGTAATGACTCGATAGAGTTTGGAGCTCAGTTTTAAATTTGACGTTGCAGTTTGAAATACGTAGCTATATTTTTACTTAATTTGAGAAATTACATATTTTTATTTTATTAATTTATTTTATTATGAATTATTGTATTGTGAACCGTTATTTATTTATTTATTTATGGTATTTTATTATTTATTTTGCATGTGCTATTTATTATTTTTATTTATTATTAATTTTCATAATTGTATTTTTAATGTTTCATAAATTTTAATTTTTTTTATTAATTAATTTTTAATTTGTTATTAACTTGTTACTAATTTTATTATTGATTATTATTTTTCACAATTTTAAATTTAAACAATTTTTTTCAATTATTTTTAAATTTATTTGATGAATATTAATTTTTTTATAATTTTCTTTTACTCGAGACTCTACTCCATCGTCAGGGCATAAAAATTTAAGTCTTCATCTATTTTAATTATATTTTTTTTTTGGTAAGATAATTATCCATTAATTTTTATTTTATTTATTTATTGTTAAATTATTTTTATTTTAATCATGTATATAATTTTTATTATTATTTTAATTTTGTATATTTTTTTGGATAGACTTCCTGAAGAGGAAATCATTTAGATTTCTGAATTTTAATTTAAAAATTTTGTTTAATAGAATAGGAAAGGCTAAAAAAATACATAAAGTTTGAAAAATGAGGAATACTTTATAATAAACGATAATAAAATTTCTATAATGCAAAAATTTTTAAATTTTTAAACAAATATTTTCTGTCTGAAAAAATTTTACACTGAAAAAAATGTATTTGATTCAAATAACCGATTAATTGACCGATCAATTAAATCAATGTAAAATGTAAAATTTTTCTTTTGAAAATTGTTGATTGAGAAATGTTTAAAAACATTTGTTTGGAAAAATCGCCCCCAAAAAGTGTTTTCCCGCGTTTCATATCTCACTCCTAAATAATTAGAGATACTTAGTTCCGATTTATCATGATAATTAGGGGAATTCATGATGATAAAGAATATTCTCGGAATTCGCAAGTAATTTTTGAAATAAATATTGAAAAACAAAATAACAAAAGTTGGATTTTTGGCAAAAGTGAGATCTATGTGTCAGTGGTCAAGGAGGTGGCGCCGATTCTCGGAAGTGGCCGCGACTTTAACTAAGGAAATGTATTATAACCTCGCAAATTACTCCACTTTGAATCGTTAATAAAATAATTTTCTCGCAAAATTTTATCCTCTCAAAATGAGACCGTGATATCAAACCGTTTCTCTATATTTACCAAAAAACCCTGACTGAAAATATTCTTTTCTTATTTCTTTTTAAATGAGAACGATGAGAACGCGATCACGAAAACATTATTTTTTCCCGGATTCACACATTTAAATATACAACGAAATAAAAGAATTTAATTTACTATAATTAATTATATATAGTTAAGAAAAACAACAATTTTTTTTATAAATTGTATACAATTTTAATCTTAAATTTGAATGAGAAATGATCGCTTTGTTAGTATTTTCAAACATTTCCGCCTTTAATAGACCGAAGATTGACGAAGTAATCCGATTGGTCCGATTATAAGAGGCACACGAAGGGCACATGTGGGCACATGATCTACACTAACGCCACCCTGGATTAATGTGCCTAAACTAACGCCTCGCCGCATCTAGTATATTTATCTAATGTACGGTCACAGCTCGGCTGCCTGCCTGCCTGCCTGCAGGTCGTCATGGCAATACATAAGAGTAAGAGAGTCAGACAATTTAAATTATTCGTCTCCTCTCTCTTACTCTCGTGGCGGCTGCCTGCGCAGGCAGGCAGGCAGCCGAGGTGTGACCGTGCCATTAGATAAATATACTAGATGCGGCGAGGCGTTAGTTTAGGCACATTAATCCAGGGTGGCGTTAGTGTAGATCATGTGCCCACATGTGCCCTTCGTGTGCCTCTTATAATCGGACCAATCGGATTACTTCGTCAATCTTCGGTCTATTAAAGGCGGAAATGTTTGAAAATACTAACAAAGCGATCATTTCTCATTCAAATTTAAGATTAAAATTGTATACAATTTATAAAAAAAATTGTTGTTTTTCTTAACTATATATAATTAATTATAGTAAATTAAATTCTTTTATTTCGTTGTATATTTAAATGTGTGAATCCGGGAAAAAATAATGTTTTCGTGATCGCGTTCTCATCGTTCTCATTTAAAAAGAAATAAGAAAAGAATATTTTCAGTCAGGGTTTTTTGGTAAATATAGAGAAACGGTTTGATATCACGGTCTCATTTTGAGAGGATAAAATTTTGCGAGAAAATTATTTTATTAACGATTCAAAGTGGAGTAATTTGCGAGGTTATAATACATTTCCTTAGTTAAAGTCGCGGCCACTTCCGAGAATCGGCGCCACCTCCTTGACCACTGACACATAGATCTCACTTTTGCCAAAAATCCAACTTTTGTTATTTTGTTTTTCAATATTTATTTCAAAAATTACTTGCGAATTCCGAGAATATTCTTTATCATCATGAATTCCCCTAATTATCATGATAAATCGGAACTAAGTATCTCTAATTATTTAGGAGTGAGATATGAAACGCGGGAAAACACTTTTTGGGGGCGATTTTTCCAAACAAATGTTTTTAAACATTTCTCAATCAACAATTTTCAAAAGAAAAATTTTACATTTTACATTGATTTAATTGATCGGTCAATTAATCGGTTATTTGAATCAAATACATTTTTTTCAGTGTAAAATTTTTTCAGACAGAAAATATTTGTTTAAAAATTTAAAAATTTTTGCATTATAGAAATTTTATTATCGTTTATTATAAAGTATTCCTCATTTTTCAAACTTTATGTATTTTTTTAGCCTTTCCTATTCTATTAAACAAAATTTTTAAATTAAAATTCAGAAATCTAAATGATTTCCTCTTCAGGAAGTCTATCCAAAAAAATATACAAAATTAAAATAATAATAAAAATTATATACATGATTAAAATAAAAATAATTTAACAATAAATAAATAAAATAAAAATTAATGGATAATTATCTTACCAAAAAAAAAATATAATTAAAATAGATGAAGACTTAAATTTTTATGCCCTGACGATGGAGTAGAGTCTCGAGTAAAAGAAAATTATAAAAAAATTAATATTCATCAAATAAATTTAAAAATAATTGAAAAAAATTGTTTAAATTTAAAATTGTGAAAAATAATAATCAATAATAAAATTAGTAACAAGTTAATAACAAATTAAAAATTAATTAATAAAAAAAATTAAAATTTATGAAACATTAAAAATACAATTATGAAAATTAATAATAAATAAAAATAATAAATAGCACATGCAAAATAAATAATAAAATACCATAAATAAATAAATAAATAACGGTTCACAATACAATAATTCATAATAAAATAAATTAATAAAATAAAAATATGTAATTTCTCAAATTAAGTAAAAATATAGCTACGTATTTCAAACTGCAACGTCAAATTTAAAACTGAGCTCCAAACTCTATCGAGTCATTACATTATAATGAACATTATAATTATCTATTGATTTTTATTTTATTTATTTTTAAATTATTTTTATTATTATTATTTATTTTTTTGCCTAGGGAATTTTGGGAAATCTGCCTACAGATACCTTGGATTCTGCACTCCAAGGTTATGTGGGGTTATTTAACTAATTAAAAAAATTAATTAATAATTAATTTAATAATTAAATAAATTATTTTAATAATACATTTAATAACTAAATTAATTAATTTAATTAATAATTAAAAAATTTTGTTTCAATTAAAAAACTAATTAATAACTTTTTATTATATAAAGGAAATTAATTACAATTAATAATCAAAATATTTTATTTTATTTATAAGAAAGTTAATTAAAAATAATAATTAGGTTTTTTTATTTTGAATTAAAAGTTCTTTATTTTTAAAAATTTTATTTTAAAAAATTGATTTATTAGTTTTTATTGAAAAACACGTTGTTTTCAAAAAAAAAAAGTAGTGATATTGGCGAGAAATGAAATTCTAGCCTTTCACGACTCAAAAAACGCGATTTCCAAGCGGTATCCTTGGAAACGGCGAAAAGTTGAAGAGGGCAGCACTAACATACACTGATAATTTAGTATGCTATATATATCGGTAGTCCCCACCATCGACCCTCGCCGCATCTAGTATATTTATCTAAGATGTAAACAACGCCTAAAGGTGCATTTACACCGCCGTCGGTAGATAAAAAAATTGCGGAAAAATATCGGAATTGCGTTTATATTGCAATTCCTTTACTTTAACAATACACAAGTTCTAAATATTGTTATGCGTGTGACTAAAAATTTAAGATCAAACATTTTTTTAATTTAAGCATTGAAAGTTTAAAATAATAAAATTTAGAATTTGTAATTTTTCATACGTTTTCAAATATCTAAAATTTATTGTGGGGTAAGTGTGAATTTATTTATTTTCATCCGCCATTTTGAATTTTTAAAAACGAACATCGGATTCGTAATCAGCGACTCCAAAAACCCTCGAGTAACGAATTTTAAATGAATTTGTTTAATTTTAGAAAAGTTTGTAATATTTGGTTTTTTTTGGCAAATATTGATTTTCTAGTATATAAAAGCATCTTTATCATGAATTGGTTCCTTTATCAAGATTGAAATCGAATTTTGATTGTTTGAAATAACCTACAAATTAATTAAAACATACCCAAAATTAGAAAGATATTTTAAATTATGGGAAAAGCGAAAAGGAAAATATTTAAAATCTAAAAACAATTTTAATGGTTTCACATTTTTTATGAAATATATATTATTACTTACAAATTCATGTATTTCTTAAGAAAATAAAGACCTCACTGCGGATTGAAAAAGAAAAAAACGTATTTTTTATTTAATGTCACATCACTTAAAATATTTTAAACAAACTTTTAATAAGCGTTTGATTTGTTAATCTTAATGAGCCGACAAACAAAACAATGATTTTAAGCTCAAAGCTTAGTTAACACGATGTAACCGCAATATACATCAATAAATATGAACTCTGAAATTAACGTGGTATTAATAATTATTTATAAAATTTAAATTATATTTTAATACATTGATGAGAAGAAATCATTAAATGAAAATTTCTTCATGGTAGAAAAAAGATACATAACAAATTATTCAACAAAACTGATCTTTGCGTTATTTGTCATAAAATTACATTTTAGGAACAAGCGGCTGAAAATCTTCGCAAATCTACAATAGAGAGATACTGGAGAATGTGACGAATATCAGAACTAGAAATTTGAATTCTGTAACATTTTTTAACCATACGATACATTAACGTCGTGCTCTTATCGATGCAATTTCTTCTTCTTTCTGCTATTTCGACACTTGCCTTCAAAAAATCAGCATATATCGGAAATTTCATTTGTGAAGATTTTATTGCAGTGAGGAAATCTTCATTGTTTGAGTACCCTGCAACTTTATTCATTGATTTCGTTAATACATCACAGAAAGTGAAATTTAAATTTTTATTAACCTTCGTACTTTGCATGACAATTTTCTCCTCTATACAATTTTCTTGCCAATCAATAAGATCATTTAATTCACTATCTTCAAACGGAGTTAGATCACAATTTGTATTCAGCAATACTAAACGACTAAATAATAATTTTAATAATTCCATTTTAATCTTCTTCTCTGCGTCATTCTCATCTTCATCGTAATCATTAATAATTTCTGAAAGTGTGCCTAAAAGATTACGAACGTTTCTCGAGTAACCAATTGAGAGCAATTTGAACTTGCTATATTTAATGCAAGTGTATATTTCTATATCAAAACACGATTTCAAGTCAATATTATATTCCATCATAAGTTCTAATAACTCTGGTGGGTAATAAGTTATTGGACCATAGTTTTCCAATAAAAATGGTTCAGAAAAATCTGTAACTTCATCTTCACTTAGATAATTAAATATGCTTCTAACAATTTCAGGACGAAATACAGAATCAACTACAGCCGATCTTTTTGACTTAAACTTTGAATTATTGATAATTGATGAAACTCTTATTTCAATTGCGTAGTAAAATAAATATTCATTGATTTCACTATTCGAATACTGGATTAACATCTCCGTCACTTTTACCAATCCATCAAACACTGAAGGAGTAACAGGTATGAATACATGAATTGGGCCAGAATAAATCTCCAAAGCCGTTTTTAATGGTAATTCACCGCATTTACAGGTTTTAGAGGGATCAGCACCATGATTTAGAAGAAATTTAACTACAGCTGGTTGCGCTGCAGATGCTGCGAAATGTAATGGTGTTCGGTGATAATCTTCAGTTCGTAAATTAACATCAGCTCCAGCTTCCAATAGCAGTTTCACTAGTCTCGGGTGCTCGAATGTTGCTGCGAGGTGAAGGGGACTTATACATTTAAACAGACTGTCAACGGGATAACCAGCGTTTAGAAGAATCTCTAATATTTCTTCACTGCCACTTTCAACGGCAATGTAAACGGCTAATTTTCTGGCGAAAGTGTCCGATTCATATTCGTTTGATGGTTCATTTACAATTGCCTCGACAGTTTCCAGTTGGCTCATTCGAATAGCCAAATGAAGTTGCTTTTCTTTAAAACACGTTTTTGCATTAATTTTCGACAACCTTGTTACTAAATATTTCAACATGTCATGACGACCCGAATGAAATGTAGCATTAAATACCTCATCTAAATTTATTGCTTTAATACCAATATCGACTAGAAATTTTAAAGTCTCCAAACTGCCTTCAAAAATAAGTGATCTAAATAAGCATAATTTATCTTCCTTAACTGTTGCGATGCTTTTTTCACCATTCTTCACGAGATATTCAAGAATGTCCAAACGACCAGATGATACTGCAAGTTTAAGAGAAGAACCATATTCAACTGGAATGTCGACTGTGTTACATCCGTTCGCCATGAGCAGTTTTACCATTTCAAAATTTCCTTCCTTAACTGCGTTACAAAGAGGTCCCATATATGTCAAATCGTTGTTACTCAAAACTGCACCGTGTTTAAAAAGAATTTCGGCCATTTGAACGTTTCCTTTCTCCAATGAAACATCGAGCGGTGTATTGTCCTCAAAATCTTGTACCCCAATTGTGGCACCATTACCTAAAAGAGTCTTTGCAATCTCCGCATGTCCTCCTGCAGTCGCCACATGCAACAATGTCCTTCCTCGTATCGTTTCCGTCGCCGAATATTTCTCGAGCAGAGAATGGACAAGATTCAATTCTCCATTGTGGACTGCGAGAAACAATTCATTGTAGTCAGAAGTATCGTCGTAATTATTTGAACTATCCATGACAACAAATTGAAGAATTAGGTCCGAGTACAATTTACTGAAGCTTTGATAGTGATCGACAATCCCGAATAGGAGAAACAGCTCCAATTAAATATTCTGTAACAAAAATAAGAAAGTTTGTATCACTTATTTAAATAAATTCTTATTGTACTATAAGAATATTTAGTACTATAATATAGTACTATATTATAGTACTATAATATTTAGTACTATAAGAAGATAATGATAATAAATTATAACAAAACATCAGAAATTTTGATTATTCTTCAGATTTTGTAATGCTTTTTTGTTTTTGAAAAATCTAACGCTTCATATTTAAAACTTTAATATTTAATAAAATTTTTATTTCTAATTTTGTAAAAGAAACGTTTTTTTAATCGTAATATTAAAAAAAGTTATGATACTAAACTGTTTTTCTTTGGTTTCTAGTTTTTATTTAGACGCATACACAGTAAATCTTGATGTTTTAAAATAACACAAAAATAAATTAAATTAATCTGCAACGCTTTAATTTACACTATAAAAAAAGTTTTCGTTCATTGTAACCGGAGATATTAGACTTTAAAAAATCTAAGACTTTAAAAAATAAGACTCATGAACAATTGTAAGTAAAATAATAAACTAATTACGAAATGAATGTATTTAATATGCAAATGCTATTGAAAAATTAAAATTTGAACTTCTGTAGTAGTTTTATTATACACTTTTTATTGGCGATTTCTATATAAACGCTTCTTTCACAATATTTCAACAATCAGTCGCGCTTAATTTTTCAAAAATTTCAATTTTATAAAAAAATAGTTATGGAAAAATAAATTAAATCGTAAAGAAGTTAAAAGTTACATATATTAAGTTTTTCGTATTATGCTTTTCGGTTACTAAAATAATGCAAAAAAAATTGTTTTTTTTTGCAAAGTCCCTGCCTATATGCCTCAGTTTTGATTGATCCTACATATTTTTTAAAAATTGTAGACAAAATTCGAAACTTAAATGAATGTCGTTTATATAAGTAATGACATCTCGCGAAACAAAAAGATTATTTCTTTTTAATTCGAAACATTTATTGTTACATGCATTCAAAATGTGCAGTGGAAAAATGTCAAAAAATACAATGGATCAAGTTTTTGTGATATTGTTAACTTCACTTATTGTCGATTTATATTTAAAAAAACCGAGAAACAAATAAATAAATATGTCTTCTTCTTCTTACTTCTTACTTTTTTAGTGGCCTATTGCAGATACAGCCATTTCTATTAAATAAATATGTAATTAAATTAGTTTCTATTGATAATACTAACCATGCTTAATGCAATATCAACATATCTTTCTTTCTTTCTTTCTTTTAGTTTTAATGGCAATATCAACATATCACTTTCATAAACTCGATGATTTTTCGTGACGAAACGTCCGAAACATTAAACTAATGATGGAATTTTACAACGTTTGGATTACAGAATCCAAAACTTTTTAACTTTTACTTATTTTACATAAGTATTTAAATACACTTTATAGAATTTTTTCTTCTTTTTATTTAATTTATAGAATTAGATTTGCAAATCAAAATCAAGAGACAGTTGATGAAAACATTTATAACCATAAATAAAAAGTATTAATCGCAATAGAGTGGAAACTTCAGCTGTGGGAACAAAACGTCAAAATAAGGGTGCGATCACATGTGAGCAGAATACATCGACCGAAAGCAAAAAAAAACAACAATATCTACCTATCTCTTTTGCACTATTGGTTCTATTGTTATGTGGGATTAAAAATTGACTACCAACCATTTTTTTAATTTAAAAACAATGTAAGTTTAAAATATAATTAAATTTAGAATTTTTCGTATGATTACAGCGTCTTACTTTTAAAAATGTATCACTTCTGAACATCTGAATTTGATTATATTGCGGGAAATAATTAAATAAAAATAATAAATTTATTGTATTATTTATAAAAATATATCCTCTCTTTTGAATCATGTGCTACTTTTCGTAATAAACTTTATCTGGTAACATGGGTGATTCTCCCGAAATACTCCTTTTTGTGAGTTACAAACAGAAAAGAAAAAAAATTATTATTTATGGATTAATGCAGTCAATTATATTGAGCTTTCAAAAATCTACCACCTCTATAGCATGATCATGCTAACTTTTAGCTTTTAAAGTATATATTTTAAATTAAAATTTACAAAAAAATTAAGAGGTTAAAATTTGGCACCGGCGTTTTTTATTATATATATTTTTCTATTTACAAAAAATTATTTAAAAATTATAATTTATTAATATTATCTATAAATTTTATAGATTTTGAAATACTTACAGTTATCAAAAATCTCTTTAAACAATTGTCAAAAATTATTTTTCATACATTTTAGGTTCACTTTTCACTGGCAGTTTGTAAACAACCGACAATCATATCAATTTTTAATTTTTATTCAAAAAGTGAGAGGAATGACGGGTGAGAGGAATGACGATTTCAACATTTTTTAATTTTATTTAATTGACAAATAATTTTCCTCCAGCTTAGAATGCCCTATCATGTTTATAAAGGATAACTTTATGTGAAAAAAAATTTGCGATCAATTTATATATATTAATATTGTTTTTATTAGGGGTGAGAGGAATGACGCTTTAGGTTGTGAATCTCTGCTTATGTCTCAATTTTAATTTTTTTAACGCAAAATAATGACGTTTTTTAAAAAGTAACTTAAGAAATTAATATTAGAGATGTTAATTTAAATATTGATCACAATAATTAAGAATATCTCTACCCACAGCAAAAATATTGGATAATATTCAACGAGTGAGAGGAATGACGCGGTACTACATGACAAATTTCATTTTCTATATTTAAAAAAACTACACGACATATTTTATTTATATTTTTGAAAATTATTCTCAAATATCATAACTTTTAGAAAAAATTAATAAAGTACCAATTTTCATGTTTTAAATAATTGTTTTTCCTATTGAAAAAATGAAAAGCACTTAGATGACAGGTTAGAAAATCGATTTTGAGGTGGTAAAATATTTTAAAAATGTATTAAACAATAAAATTTTACAACTTTTTCTTGCAGAACATTTAGAAAAAGTGATAAAATAGGGAAATATGACTTGGTATTTTCCCAAATGATTATAATTATTTAGAAAATCTTGATTACATGCAAAATGAGGTTTTTTGGAGAATCACCCCTATACTGATTGATTTAGTTATAGTCCCAGTAATTTGAATTTAGATTTATTTATTATACTGTAAATTTATTTTTTTTCGTGATTCTTTGTAGGATCGTGAGTATAGCAATCAATAAAAGGATCTCATAAAGGATTTTTCATAGAATATTAAGATGGGAATCACATACAGAAGATTTCCCTTTCCAATGCAAATTCAAAAATTAGTGAAACTTTCAGAGATTCAAATTTAGAGTGAAAATTTATAGAAACCAAATAGTTATAAGATTTTATAAACATATATTTTTACGAAACGTAATATTATATTTACAGATTATCATAGTGTTCAAAATTAAAAGGCCTCACTGAGAGCCTTAAAAAATAAGAAAAATAATTTTTATTTTAATATCACATCACTTTGACATTTTTAACAATATGTTCAAAATATCATTTAATTTGTTAATGATTTTATGTCGACGTACAAAAAATAGTTCAAAGCTTAGAACTTAACAATAACGTAATCACAGTATACATCTATGTATTAAAACTCTATAATCAACTAAATATTAATAATAATTATTAAAAAATTTAAATTACTTTTCATTACATTCATTGGACTTAAATGTCAATTTCTTTATCATAAAAAACACATAATAAATTATACAAACAAAAATATTTGCGTTAATTCAGTAGTAGCTACTTTTTAGGAACAAGCTGCAGAAAATCTTTGCAAATCTACAACTGAAAGATACTGAAAAATGTGATAAATATCAGCATTTGGAATTCGGATTTTATGACTTTGTTCAATTACACTAAACATTAAACAAACACACTCGTTTATAAATTCTTTTTTAGTTTCTGCTATTTCGACATTCGCTTTTATAAACTCAGCATACGCTGGAAATTCTGTTTGAGAATAATCAACTGCCTTCACAAAATTCTTGTTGTTTGCGTACATGGCCAGTTTTTCAACTGGTCGGGTTAAGACATCGTAGAAAGTGACGTTTAAATCAATATCAATTTTCGTCTTTCGCATAATATCTATCTGCCTTATACATTCTATTCTCCAATCATTGAGATTGTTTTCTTGACAAAATTCTAACACGCCTGGATGACATTCTTTCTTCAACAGTCCTCTTGCAATTGCCATATGCAGCAACGACTTGGCAAGTATCGTTTCCGTCAACGAATATCTATCCAACAGAGAAAAAGCAAGATGAAACTCTCCATTTTGGACTGCGAGAAACACTTCATTGTAGTCAAAAGTATCATCATAATCATTCGAACGATCCATGGCAACAAATTGAAGATTAAGATCCCAATGTGAAGCTCACTGTCGTTTTGACTGTGATTTGCAATCTGAAACGGGAAGTATTGCACAAATTCTGTATTCTGGAACAAAAATTATAAAATTTTAATTAATTATTCAAAATAAGTTCTTGCTATCGTCTTCGCTTCTTAAAAAGTATTTTTATACAATGTAAATTTAGGTTTGTATAATTTGACAGACTCATGAACATACTCCGCTAATATCAGTCAAATAACGAATTCAACCGGAATACTTTAATAAAAAAAAAGCTCTAAATTGACAGGCGGGCAAAAAACTCGTTAAAGGCAATGAGTGCGGTACGTATAGTCAAAAGATGATTTCACATTATTTGCTTTTTAAACATTCAATAGATACATAACAAAGAACAATTATTACCAACAATAAAACGGTGTAAAGTTGTAAACAAATTGTCCTAACCTCATCGCATAGTACACAGCGATTTCTCAGCAATTAAGAAGACAAATACACGTGTTTATAATAAGTTATAGTCGGATTTAGTATTTCGAACGTTTTAAATCTTCTTATTTTACAAAAAAACAACGTTTATTATTTATTTCTCAGTATGAACAGTATTATTGTGTCGTCCGCGGTTTGTTCTTTGTTGTCACTCCGACAATCACTGACATTACATTTATCCCCACTCCCTAGTGACATTCTAATGAGCTTTCTACAATAACTTTTTTCCATGAAGGGAGTTCTGTGCCCGATTAGAAAAAAAAGCCTATTGTGGACAGAGCCTTCGGACTTTAATGTATGCTGCAATTCGGCGATTGTGAATTCTACTTAATAGTCGTTGCTCACTTGTTCACACACTTGATCAGATGCATTTGCTCCGTTTCAAGATGAAGTTTCCATTCTATTGCGCTTAATTCATTTATGGTTATAAACGTTATAAAAGATAAACATTCTCAATTGCCTCTTTTTCCTCTTGATTTTTAAACCAAAAATTCTATAATTGTATATAGTTTATTATAAAATAAAATAAATACAAGTCGAAAAATCTTCTAAATTCTATAATCCAAACATAGCAAAATGTTTTCATTAGTTTGATGATCCTCGCGGAAAATTGTCATGTTTATAAAAGTGATAAATGTAAATATTGTATTATGGTATGTATATTTTTAATAAAAAATTAATTATGTTTTTATTAAATGTTATTAAATATGTTTTAAATCTATATCGATAAGTGAAGTCAATATTTCACAAAAAAAATTACAATTGTCACAAATAAGTGACACGATATTTTTTGACAGTTTTACTTTTTTTGGTGCATGTCGATGACTGCTAAATGAATACACATTATTCGCGAGAGAAATTATAAAACATTTAACACTTTCGAAAAAATAGAAAAAGCGTTATTCATCTGAAATATTTTTTAGGATAATTTTTTTAAAATTTTTTAAATTTGTAACATAGCCCCAAGCAAAAATTGACAACTGGCGCAGTACTGCGCCAGTACTGGCGGAGTACTGGCCGCCATGGTTGAACCAGTACTGGCATTTGACCGAAATGATAACGCTTTTCAGTACTGGTTTGATGTTACTGGCGCAGTACTGGTTCAGTACTGGTTTAGTACCCGTGTAGAAAAATCTTCTGGCGCTGGCATGAATCAAACCAGACCGTCTATTTTCCAATCTAGTGGAAAATTTATTGAAATTCAATGTTAATATAATAAAAAAAAATTAATTTATATTTACAAACATGTAATAATCCCCAACTTTTAACTTTCAATCAAATTAATGTTTACAACACAGAATAAACGCAAACCTACAACGAAATAAAATTTGACACTGCGAGGAATCGAACCCACAACCTACGGACTTCTAGCCTAACACTCTAACCACTACCCTATCGAAGCTACAGGAGAATAAATTTTAATTTTTGACACCTTTTACACTTACAATTAATAAAGAGCGTTTAACTGTGTAATTTAGTTAAACTATTATTTAATTGAACTAAATTCAAAAAAATCAAATTAGTAAATTACCTAATAAATTTCCATAAATTACCTCTAAAATATCCATAAATTACCATAAATTACCGACGTTAAATTTTTTAAGTCTAATTTGTGTTTTACATATTTTAGTAAACTATCGTCAAAATTTTTATAAATTATCGCATAAACATCCATAAATTACTGCAAAAATTTCCATAAATTACCATAAATTACCAACGTTAAATTTTTTAGTTAAAAATTTATCGTCAAAATTTTTATAAATTATCTCAAAAATTTCCATAAATTAACGCGAAAATTTCCATAAATTACCATAAATTACCAACGTTAAATTTTTTAGTTAAAAATTTATCGTCAAAATTTTTATAAATTTCCATAAATTACTGCAAAAATTTCCATAAATTACCATAAATTACCAACGTTAAATTTTTTAGTTAAAAATTTATCGTCAAAATTTTTATAAATTTTCTCATAAATTTCCATAATTTACCGCGAAAATTTTCATAAATTACCATAAATTACCGATATTAACTTTTTTTAGTTCTCGTTTGTGTTTTACATAGTTTTATAAACTATCGTCAAAATGTTTATAGATTACCGCATAAATTTCCGTAAATGACAGAAATCCAAAATTTTAATGATAATTTTTGCTTTACATATATTTACGAATTATTGCGAAAATTTCTATAAATTTCTACAAATTACAGCAAAAATTTCCATAAATGGCTAAAATAAAAATTTTTAATTGTAACTTATGTGGAACACATTTTTATGAATTATTGCAAAAATTTCCATAAATTACTGCATAAATTTCCATTAATTAGTTCCTAACTGACTATTGTCAGTTTACCGTGTTAGCAATACTGGCACAGTACTGGCGTAGTACTGGTTTGCCAGTGTTGTTTTCGCAATACTGGCTCAGTACTGGCATAGTACTGGCATACCAGTCTTAAAGGTCAGTACTGGCGTAGTACAGAAATTTTATTGAAGCCAGTACTGAACCAGTACTGGCAAGCCAACTGCTGGCATGCCAGTACTGGTGCAATACTGCGCCTGTTGTGAATACTGGCATTTGACAGAAATTTTTGCTTGGGGCCTTAAAAAAACTGTCATTTTTATTAAATAAACATGTTTTCTATTTGTTTTCGTGAGTTACGTGTTTTAAAAAAGCTCTCGCGAATAATATGTTTTCATTTAGGAGCCATCGATTCGTATATCATTTTAATTAGTAACAGTTTTGACCCAGTAAATGAAAATTAATTCAAACGAATTGAAATGAATTAAGATTTTTGGTAGAAAGCGTGAATTAATTTTAATTAATTTCAATTAGTTTTCATTTACTGCGTGCTGTCTTTTGTCAAAAGTTATCATTTTTAGAACCATTAAGGCTATGCAAATTCGGTTCTAATCAGCAACAAAAAAGAACTCTTCGTTCAATCACGAGGTATATTCACTCACTAACAGAAATTTTTTTTTATTTTAATTTTAGATAAAGCAGTCAAAATACATCTTAGCCACCGCAAAATTTTTTTTTGGACCGTTAAAAACCGGGAAATAACAGAAAATTTTTATCTTGACCGGAAGTTTTGTAATCTTTTGTTAAAAACACTAATATTATTTTGTAAGAAAAAATATAAATATTTATTTTAAGACTTATTAATTATATTATTTATATTTCATTATAAAAGATTGAACGATCTTTTATAAAATCATTTTTTTTTATTAGGGAATTTTATCAAAAGCACAGGAAGAATATTCAATTTCTAGAATTTTTAAGAAAATAATGAATTTTGTTGTTCAACTTAACAGACTTAAGAAAAAGGAAACTATTAAATTTAATTTTAAATTCTTTCTATTTCTAATAATAATTGAATAAAATACAATTTTAATTAAATTCATCGAAAAAATTCCACATCCTATAAAATAGTGATTTTGATTTTCGATTAAATGCCGTTCGAGCGAATGTCTATACGATCAATTGTCTTTTGGGAAGAATTCCTGCGCCTCATATTTTGCATTTCTATATTTTAGAATGTTAAATTATTATTACTAATACATATTAACATTGATTGAATTTTAAAAAGCTTCAAATTAAAGTTTTAGAAAAGTTGCAAATTGTAAAAAATTTTAATTAAAAATTCTGAATAATTTAGTTTTTTGAAATATTTTAGTTAAAATTTCTAGAAAATAATTTAATAGAAATCTTGAAAATAATTTTTAATAAGTTACAGTAGCAATTCTTATAAATTATTAAATTTTAGAGGATTCGAAATTGGAAACTTATTGAAATTTTTATACCTGAGGAAAAATAAATAATATATAATTTTAATTCAATATTTATTAAACAAATCTATTTATAAGTTCTAAATGATTTGACAAATTAAAGATATTAAAAAGTTGTATTACAAACATTGTTTGCAATTTCAATTATTTTTGGAGTAAACTAAAATATTTTTAGGGTTTTCGACAAAGTCAAAGTTTTGTTTTAAAATCATCAGGGAACTAAATATTTACTATGCTTTCATCTTTCATGGTATAATTTATTTTGACATTTGTTCTTTATAACCGGGAAAAATAATTCATAACCGGGAAATGACCGTGAATTTTTTTTATTTTATTTTGTAACAAAAATTATTTAATGAAATACGTTTTCTGGTCGTTTTGACTCAATATTTAAGTAACTAAAAACAATTAATTGACAATTTTTTCAAAAACCAAAAATATGGATTTAGCTTACAACTTGTAATTGAAATTTATTCCAAATTTAACTAATTTCAATGATATTTTTAATAGATAAATAAATTTATAATAAATTTAATTAATTTAATTAATTTATAATAAATTGCAAAAAAAATAAAAGTTTTTTAAAGAAACTAATGAAAAAATTAAAATACGACAAAAGACAACTAAAGTGTGAAATAATCAATAAATAATTACGACTAATGATTCAACAATAAAAAATTTATACAAAAAGAAATTTTTTTAAAAATAATTCATAAAAATTATAATTTTTTTATAATTAACGATTCATGGTAAAAGACTGTAGCTTATTAGTAATATAGTCTGTTAATATAAATCGTATAGTCGTACCAACGACAAAAAGTGAATGCAATTTTTTCTAAAATTCTAAACATTAGAAAATTTATTGAATTTTTTGTGAAATACATGTATGTGAGAGTATTTATAAGGATAATAAGAATTTATTTAAATCAGTGATACAAATTATCTACTATTTGTTACAGAATGTTTATTTGGAGCAATTCCTGCTATTGGAGATTTTTAGACCACTAACATCTAGGCTTGAGTAAAGTACATTCGGATCTAGTTCTTCAACTTGTTGCCATGGATCTTGCGAAGGATTACGACGATACTACTGATTATACTGAACTGTTTCTTGCAGTCCATAATGGGGACTTGAATCTTGTTCACTCTCTGTTCGCTAAATATTCGGCGACGGAAACGATACGAGGAAGGACATTGCTACATGTGGCGGCTGCAAGAGGACACACGGAAATAGCAAAATTGTTCACCACCAAGCGAGACGAAGCAGGAAACACTCCACTGCATCTGTCGATAATGAGGAATCAACCTGAGGTATTCAACCTTCTTTTAGAGGAGACTAACTTGAACGCGAAAAATCTTCGGGGTGAAAGACCTCTTCACTATGCAGTTTTGTTCAATCGTCCTGAATTTGTAAAAAAGCTTATAGAGAATGGCGCGATTATTGAGGAAAAAGATAAAGAGGGAAAAACGCCACTTTATGTTGCATTGGCGAAAGAAAACGTCCAAATGGCAGAAATTCTTTTTAAACACGGTGCAGTTTTGAGTGACAACGATTTGATATACATGGGACCTCTTCGTTCCGCAGTTAAGGAAGGAAATTTTGAAATGGTAAAGCTGCTCATGGTGAATGGATGCAACACAGTCGATATTCCAACATTCGATGGTTCTGCTCTTAAATTCGCAGTCTCGTGTGGTCATTTAGAAATTTTAGAATACCTCATGAAAAATGGTGTGAAAAGCAGTGAAACGATTAATAAGGACAAACTCCGCTTGTTTCAATCAAGTATAAAGAATGAACACATGAATATTTTTAAATACTTAGTGGATGTAGGTTTGAAAACAGAGAAACTGTCAAATATATTATATGATACAATTTCCTACAAACACTATGACCTATTTGAATATGTACTAACATGTTTGTCAAAAATCTTTGCAAAAACGCATTTTAAGGAGAAGCAGCTTCATTTTTCTATCCGAATGGGTCAAGTGGAAACTATCAAAGCCACTGTCAAGGAACCTACAAATCAGTATCAATCGAACGCTGTCGCTAAAAAGTTGGCAGTTTACATTGCTGCCGAAACTGGGAATGAAGAAATATTAGAAATCCTTTTAAAAGCTGATTATCCTGTCGATAGTTTATTCAACATAATAAGTGCCATTCACGTTGCTGCTACATTCGAGCACCCGAGATTAGTAAAGCTTCTTCTAAAAGCCGGAGCTGATGTTAATTTGCAAACTGAACATAATCTCACTCCACTGCATTTTGCAGCAACCTCAGGAAAACCAGCTGTTGTAAAATATCTCCTAGAAAACGGTGCTGATCCCACTCTAACCTGTAATTGCAGCGAAACACCATTAGCAATGGCCGTGGTCATGTTTTCTTCAAGTCAGTTTCTCACAAGCATTCCTGCTTCTAAGTTTGAGAGATTGGCCAAAGTAACGGAGTTGTTAATTCGTTTTTCAGACACCGAGGCTATTGAGAGCTTATATTTGCTGGCAATTAAAATTAAAGTGTTAAATATCACTAATTCTGAGCCAAAAGGACTAATTTGTAACGATAAAAATGCTGTATTTCGTCCAGAAATTGTTAACTGTATGTCTAGTTATCTAAGTGATGAAGCATTGCAAATGTTTTCGGAGCGAGTTCTAAATGAGTCTTTTTCATTTGGTCATTCACCAGAATTGCTACATCTTATGATGGATTATAACAATTCCAAATCATGTTGTACTATGGAAATTTATGATACGGATACAAGTTACAAGTGCAAATTAATTGTAATTTGCTACTCTAAAAACATTAGTGATCTTTTGTGTATTGAAGATACTGATTTCTCTTTTGGAGGTGATGATGATGATTACCAAATGACAGAGGAGAAATTAGCATTTTTTAAGTTGATTGTCGCGCGTTTAGTTTTGTTGACCGAAGACAATCATCAAGGTGTGTTAGAGTATTCCAAAGACAATGATCTTAATGATTGGCGAGAAAAGTGTTTAGAGGAGAAAAAGGTCTTGAAAAAGACTAAAATTAATGAAAATATGATCGTTACTTTCTATGATGTACTAACGAAATCAACTAATGAGGTTGCAATGTACACGAGCAACTGTGACTTTTTAAAAGCAATCGAATCTTCTGATACAAAATTTCCGGTATACGCTGATTTCTTAAAGACGAATGTCGAAATAGCAGAGAAAAGAAAAGAGTTCATGAACGAATGCACTAACTTAATGTTTAATTTGATCAAAAAATCTCACAAAATTCGAATTTCTCGAGCTGATATGGTTCATATATTTCAATATCTCACAATTGTAGATTTACGAAGGTTTTCAGCAGCTTGTTCCTAAGATCTAACTTTAATACTGAATTAGCGCAAATATTTTGTTTTGTATATTTTTTATGCGCCTGTCTTCCTCTATAAAGAAATTGTGATTTAAGAGTTTGTTTCGATAAATGTATTAAAAGTAATTATTAATATTAATTAAAAGTTTATTAGAAATTTTTTTAAAAAAATTTTAGTAATTTAACATTGAATAAAAAAATACGTTTTTTTCTTTTTTAACCTCTGTGAGGCCTTTATTCTTATACACTGCGATAAGATATCAAAATGATGCAACGTTTAATAGAATACATGTTTGTTTAAAATTGTTCTTTTCTATTTTTCACGAACTTCTCTTCAATATGAGTCAATACTCATAATTATACGTATGATACTTTCTGACATTTTTTAATAGAACAGTGCATTAAAAAGTATATACATAGAAATTTTTTTCTTATCAAATATAAGTATCCAATTTGATAAACCATTAATAATATTCGAAAAAATTTTATAGATATAATTTGAAATTACTGGGGTGCGTTCAAGTAACTTTCACTTTTTCTCAAAACATTTTTACTTTAAATTACACATAAAATATTTTCACTTTCAAAAAAATTTTCATTTTTACTCTATTTTTTCACCTCTACTCAGAAAATTCTCACTTTCAATAAAAAAATGTTAAATGAAATTGTAGGTGAAAATTTTTTCATAGAAAGTGAAACTTAAAATATTTTGACAATAAGTCAAAATGAAAATATTTTGAGTGAATTTCATAGTGGAAATTTTTTAAGTGAAATTGAAAATATTTTTGGTGAAATTGATAATTGAAAGTAAAAAGTTTTTGATTCAAAATGAAAATATATTTTCTGAAATTGAAAGTCAAAATATTTTTCGTGAAATTGAAAATGAAAATTTGTTTGCAAAAGTGAAATTAAGAATGTTTTGGAAGTGAAAATTCTTTGGATATTGTAAGTGAATATTTTTCTGGTGAAAATGAAAATATTTTAGGTGAAATTGAAAATTTTTTTATTCATATTAGTCGGGTGACAATTTTTTAAAAGGAGATGAAAATTTAGTGGGCATATCCTATTTCTATTCAAATCCAATCAATAAGTACAAGTATTCATTTTGGTAGATTTTCTATCCAAAACAATAATTGATAGAATTTTATTCAATATGTCCATATTTACGGATTCAGAAAACAGATTGTTTTTTCCATAAAATTTTTTAAGCAGAGGGCAGTCACGTTCTATTCTGGACTCACCTTTATTTTCATTTGCAAATATTTGTACTATTGTGGGTCGGCCTAATCTATTATTGCAATTTAGCAGTTGTGAATTGTACTTAATAGTTCATATGACTTCGCAGCTGAAGTTTCCATTCTACTGCGGTAAATACATTTATCATTTATGGTTATAAATGTCAATTGTCTCTTGTTGCTCTTGATTTACAACAATTACAATTCAAGTTCTATAAATTGTTATACGTATTATAAAATAAAATAAATATACAAGTTAGAAAATCTTGTTTTCTAAAATCCAAATATTGTAAAGTTTAATGTTTCGTCATGAAAAGTCGTCGAGTTTATAAAAGCGATAATATGTTGATATTGCATTAATCACGGTTAGTATTTTTAATCGAAATTAATTTATTATGTATTTATTAAGTGTTTTTCAATGTTTTAAAAATATATATCGATAATAAGTAAAGACAATATATTACAAACAATAACAAATTACACAAAAAAGTCGCATGTGCTTATAGTTACGGGTTACGGTGCACAACATAACCTCAAAATACACGTTGTTTCCGTTGCTGTAATTGACGCTTTTGATATCATTTCTCTTTGTTGTTTTTGTTTTAATTTTTATAAAGTTTTTATTAGTGGTTCATTATCTAAGTGACAGGAGGTTTTAGTTTCATAAATAGATTTACTTTTTTCATTAAAATTGTCGAATTTTCTATTTTAAAGGCGTCTATAAACCAGAATCACGCCGTAACTGGCACTTTTATTCTAAAATAATTTTATTTTAAACATTTATAAACCATTTTGATAACCTTAACTGTTACCTAAAAATGGATATCATTTTCGAATTTAAGATTCTTAACCATTGTCGAATAGCGAAATGAGTAGCACAAAGTTTTGTAGATAATTAATCAAAAACATTAAAACTTTGGATTTAAATATTATTAACTTCTAATAAGCTTTAATTAAATTTTCCAGCATGAAGCAATTAAAATATTATTTTTTTACTTTATAAATTCAAAATGTCTGAATGCGATGTTCAACTACAGAAAAAAGTGCTCAACCATTGAAGCTTTGCTGGCTTCAAATTTCATTAAATTTTGAAGTGTTTATAACACATTTAGGTATATGATTCTTAATCCTGAAAAATTGGTTTCAGAAATAATTTGCTTATAAGAAAGCAGTAACTGTTTGTTACTTCAAGAAAAAAATCCTAAATTATACTAAAAAACGTTTACAATAATTAAAAAATAATTGCATTTTAGAGTAATAAAGATTAATTTTATTTTCTTTCTAAAATAATGAATTCCCTCCCGTATATAATTGTATTATATACAATATAGAAGTATAGAAACTCTTGTCTGGAAAATTAGGTATTATAAATACTTGATATTAAAAAAATCGAATCGTGAACGAGGATATTATAACTTTATTTCTAAAAAAATTACTATAGGAATAAATAATATACTGACAAGATACTCATAATGAAACGCGAAATCGCTGAATTTTGATGGTATTCATATCATGAATGCTTTGCTTCGTCATGGAAATTTTCATTTTTTGAATAATAATATCATTATTGTCATACATTATTAAAATTCAATATAAGAATATTCATTTGCTATATTTATTTATTTTACAGCGGCATCACAGTTGGTCCCCTTTTCCCCTTTTACTGATCAGAAATAAAAATTTTTTTTGAAATATATTTCAATGTATGATCATGAAATTCAATTTTTGAATTTAGTTTTATTATTGATTCAGATTATTGACACTATCAAAGAATTCAAAACTGTAAGAAATTTGAGTATTAATACATTGTTAATATAAATTTTAACACGTTTTAATTTGTTGATTTGTATATATTTTTTGTCCTTTTTTTGAAGGAAAAAATTATCTTTTTCCCTTTTTTTGAGGATAAAAGGTACTGTGATGCCTGTATTTATTTAAATGTTAAATTTATATTTAAATGAATGATCATTTATTAAATATTATAAATACAAACATTTATCAAAGTTTTTTAATTTATGGTTTCTTTCGATTAATATTCCCTGATTTTTCCCTGACTAAAAAAATTCTCTGATTTACATAGTTTTTCCCTAACTTGTGGCCACTCTGAATAAAAGCTACATAATATATTCTTGTTATAATAAAATTTAAAAACTTTAGGAAACTCTAAGAGAATACTGATATTTAATGCTTCTTTGCTCAAATGTAAGATACTGATTTATCATCTTTCAATAACTTCTGTGAAATAAACAAAAACTAATAATTACCTATTATATTCTGATGTTTATTACATTATCTCTGTAACATATTCTTTTTTACTTTTTTCAATTCAAAACTTTAAACAGAAATACTAATTTTAAATTTACAGCCTTTTCGGTTCCTAATGCATTTCGCAGTTTGATTTAAATGTCAAGATTTAAATCAACATTAAAATCATGATTTATATCAAGTTGATTTAAATCATTGAAGCCCTGACACATTTTTTAAAATTTTTGTTGTAGAATTTGTAAGTGGAGCATAATACTTTCTATAATTGAGATTGTAAACTACCGTTAGAGAAACAGTAGACTACATTTGATTCAGATTCTCCTATTTGTCACCATGGATCCTACTAATGATTACAACGATACTTCTGGTTACGATGAATTGTCTCTCGCAGTTCACAATGGAGACTTAAATCTTGTTCAGTCTCTACTCAAGAAACATTCGGCGAGGGAAAAAATTCGTGGCAGGATATTGCTGAGTATAGCGACCGTAAGAAGACACACGGAGATAGCAAAATTGTTCACCGCCAAGCGAGACGAAATAGGGAACACACCTTTGCATCTGACGATAATGGGGAACCAACCTCAGATTTTCAATCTCCTTTTAGAAGAGAGTAACGTGAACGCAAAAAATTGCTTTGGCCAAAATCTACTCCACTACGCAGCTTTGTATAATCGCTCTGAATTTGCAGAAAAACTTATAGATACTGGCGCCTTTATTGAGGTAAAAGATAAAATGGGTAGAACACCTCTTTACGTTGCATTGGAGAATGGAAACATTCAGATAGCAGAAGTTCTTTTTCAACATGGAGCTGTTTTAAGTGATGACGCTTTGACAAATATGTATCCTCTTCGTGACGCTGTTGAGGAAGGAAATTTTGAAATGGTCAAACTGCTCATGGTGAATGGATGCAGCACAGTCGATATTCCAACTGATGATGATTCTTCTCTTAAACTTGCAGTATCGTCCGGTCGTTTGGACATTTTAGAATATCTCATAAAGAATGGCGAAAAAAGTAGTGAAACGATTACTAAAGATGAACTCCACTTGTTTGAAACAAGTATAAAGAATAATCGCTTTAATATTTTAAAGTATTTAGTGGACATTGGTGTGAAGACAGAAACAGTAGATGATATATTTTATGACGTAATTAATTTGAAACGTTATGACATGTGGGAGTATTTAGTAAAATTGTTGTCGACAATCTATGCAAAAACGCATTATAAAGAGAAGCAGCTTCATTTTTCAATTCGAATGGGCCAAGTGGAATCTGTTAAAGCAATCGTAAACGACCCAGCAAGTGAATATATATCGGACCCTTTTGCTAAAAAATTGGCAGTTTACATCGCTGCTGAAACTGGCAATGAAGAAATATTAGAAAATCTTCTAAAAGCTGGTTATCCTGTCGAAAGTTTATTTAAGATAACAACTCCTCTTCACGTCGCCGCAACACTCGAGCACCCGAGACTAGTGAAACTGCTCTTGAAAGCAGGAGCTGATGTTAATATACAAACTGATCATGGTCTCACTCCTTTACACTTCGCAGCAACTTCAGCGCAGCCAGCAGTAGTTAAATTTCTCCTAGAAAACGGTGCTGATCCTTCCAAGAGCAGCAATTTCGGAGGAACACCATTATTAGTGGCTTTGAGGATGGTTTCATCAATTTTTCTTCACAGACCTACTTCTATTTTAACATTCGAGAGATTGACAAAAGTCGCAGAGTTGTTAATTCGGTATTCAATCAATGAAACTAGTGACACGGGGTTAAACTTGTTAATAACAACCGCAGCTCAAATGAAGGTTTCCTCTAATAACGTCGAAGAAAATAATTCAACTCAAGGTTTAAGTGGGCAAACACCGAAGAATGACGCCGATAATTCTGCATTTCGTCCCGAAATCCTCAGATGCATATTTAATTACCTATCCGATAAAAAAATCGAACACTTTTCAGAATTAGCATTTAACGACCACTATCTACTAGAACGTACGCCGGAACTACTGAATCTTTTGATGGAATACGATGACTCGAAGTCATGTTGCGATGTTAAATTGAGTCCTAATGATAAAAGCTACAAATCCAAGTTACTTGTGATCCATTACTCTAAAAACTATACCGATCTTCTTAGTGTTAAACTACAGGATACTTCGTCAGACTCTGATGAGGATAAAACAGTTTTGCAGTTGATAGTAGCTCGCTTAGTGTTAATAATCAGAAATCGTCATTCTTGTTTGTTAAAGTTTTGCCGAAGCAACAAACTCGATGATTGGAGAAGGAAATGTGTGAAGGAGAGAGTCAGAATGCGAAAAACGAAAGTTAGCAATGATTTAAATATCACTTTCTATGATGCTTTAACCAAGTCAACTGATAAACTTGCAGTGTACGCAAGCAACAGGAACTTTCTAAAAGCAATCGAATCTTCGGAAGAAAAATTTCCAGCGTATGCTAAGTTTATAAAAGCAAATGTCGAACTAGCAGAAACTAGAAACAAATTTATAAACGAATGTTTTAGTTTCATGTCCAGTTTGGTTAAAAAATGTCACAAAATTCGAATTTCCAAAGCTGAAGTCAATCAGATTTTCAAATATCTGTCAATTGTAGATTTGCGAAGATTTTCAGCAGCTTGTTCATAAAAAATATCTTTATTGTTAAATTGACAAAAGTAATTAAACATTTAGAATTATTAAACAATAATTTGATAGTAAATAAATAATTGCCTTCGAATATACAAATGTATATTACTACATATATTCCATTGTCAACTAAGCTTGATGATTTAAAACAAAGTATTCTGAAATAATGCCGGTATAAATGTATAAATTTAGGCATTTTAAATATCACTTGTCAAATTATTTTTTGTAGTTTATAAAAGAAAACTTAAGTTTATTGAAATTAGAATATTTTCTTCTATTATTAAGTGAAACACTATAATATCATATTAAATACCACAGCTGCATATGATATTAAAATAAAAAGTACTTTTCATATAATTAGTTCTCAATTATTTCTTTCCAACCCTGCTACGCTCCAAAAATTATCTTATTTTAGAGACTAATCTGTTTGTCTCGTAAACTATGAAATTACTACGAATTTTAATACAAAACCTTCAATTTTTTCAATTTTTTTTTTTTTTTTTTTATTTTCAAATAACTTAATTTTTCAAGATCTATCATAAAATTATGACTTATAAATTATTTAATGAATAATTTTTACAATTTGTATAAATACTAAATTGATAGAAGAATTTTAGTTAAAAGTACTAAAAAAAAATTGAATTTTGGAAATTTTACAAATGATTGCAGAAATCCAATTATTTTTAAAAGTTACAAAAATTCTTCGCAAAATTTCAATACTGTTCAAAAATTTTTTAAAAATTCTCGTCAAAATTTCAATTATCTTTATAAATAATAAAATTCTCCTTCGAAATTCAATTATTTTTAGAAAAATTTTAATAAAATTCTTTGGCAAAATTTCACAGGAATTCAATTATTTACAAAATTTGAAATAAATTTCTTCGAAATAATTCAATTATTCTCATAAGTAATAAAAACTTTCACGCCAGGAATTCAATTATTTAAAATACAAAATTTCATTAAAAAAAACTCCTTTTTTTAGTTGCATTCAATAGAACAATTGACCACGGAGGAAATTTTTATGATCATTTACCATTGAATTACTTTAATGTAGTCTATTAATTTGAATCGTTATTCTTTAACAAGAATCTAGGAATCTCATTCAAATGTTAAATTCTTCTAAATGAGACTGTTTACCCTTTAATCCTATTCTACAAAATTGATTTTTCTGAAATTTCAATGTTCTAATTTTTGTTACAGAATATTTAATTGGGCCACTAGTTTCTTTACGAGATTGTGAATCACCGACAGAGCGACAGCAGACTACATTCGGATCTAGTTCTTCAATTTTTTGCCATGGATCTTGCGAAGGATTACGACGATACTACAGATTATAATCAACTGTTTCTCGCAGTCCACCATGGAGACTTAAATCTTGTTCATTCTCTGCTAAAAAAGTATTCGGCGACGGAAACGATACGTGGAAGGACTTTGCTTCATGTGGCGGCTGCAGGAGGACATGCGGAGATAGCTACACTGCTCACCACCAAGCGGGACGAAACAGGGAACACACCTCTGCATCTGGCGATAATGAGGAACCAACCTCAGGTTTTCAATCTTCTTTTAGAGGAGACTAACTTGAACGCTAGAAATCTTAAGGATGAAAGGCCTCTTCACTATGCAGCTTTATTTAATCGTCCTGATTTTGCAAAGACACTTCTAGACAATGGCGCCTCTATTGAGGTAAAAGATAAAGAGGGAAAAACGCCACTTTATGTTGCATTGGCGAAGGAAAACGTTCAAATGGCTGAAATTCTTTTTAAACACGGTGCAGTTTTGAGTGCCAACGATTTGACATACATGGGACCTCTTCGTTCCGCAGTTAAGGAAGGAAATTTTGAAATGGTAAAACTGCTCATGGCGAACGGATGTCGCACAGTCGATATTCCAACATTCGATGGTTCTGCTCTTAAACTTGCAGTATCTTGTGGTAATTTGGAAATTTTACAATATCTCATAAAGAATGGCGAGAAAAGTAGTGAAACGATTAATAAAGATGAACTCCACTTGTTCAAAACAAGCATACAGATGAAGCGCTTAGATATTTTAAAATATTTAGTAGACGTAGGTTTGAAGACAGAAACAGTGAATAATACATTTTTTGACATAATTAAGCATCGACGCTATGAAACTTGGGAATATTTATTAAAACATCTATCGAAAATTAATGCAACAACGTATTTTAGAGAGAAGCAGCTTCATTTTTCAGTTCGAATGAACCAAGTGGAAACTATTAAAGCAACTATCAAGGAAATTAAAATCCCACTGTGTCATTTCATTCCTTTCAATAGAAAATTGGCCGTTTACATTGCTGCCGAAACTGGGAATGAAGAAATATTAGAAATACTTTTAAACGCTGGTTGTCCCGTTGACAGTGTGTTTAAATTCATAAGTCCTCTTCACGTTGCAGCTACTTTTGAGCACCCGAGATTAGTAAAGCTACTCCTGAAAGCAGGAGCTGATGTTAATCTGCAAACTGAAAATGGTCTCACTCCACTACATTTCGCAGCAATATCGGTGCAACCAGCTGTCGTGAAATTCCTCCTAGAAAACGGTGCTGATCCCTGTAAAACCTGTGGTCGCTATAAAGAACCACCATTTGGATTAGCTGTACTTATGTTTTCAACAAATTTACCTTCCAGAGAAATTCCTGTTGCTATGTTTGAGAGACTGATAAAAATTACGAAAATGTTAACTACCTCTACGAATGTTGAAGAAATCGAAAGGTTATATATAGTGGCAGTTACAATAAGGGTGCTAAACATCAACAATTTAAATCAAGAGACAAATAAAGTAACATGGCCCGATTATTCTGAATTTCGTCCTGAAATTGTAAAATGTATGTCTAGTTATCTAAGTGATGAATCATTGAAAATTAATTCTGAGACGGTCTTTAATGAGTTTCAATCAGGTTTCACACCTGAATTGCTGCAACTTATGATGGATTATAATGATTCTAAATCATGTTGTACTATCGAAATAAAAGATACGGATGTAAGTTACAAGTGCAAATTGCTTATGGTTAGTTACTCTAAAAACATTGATAATCTTTTGAGTATCAATAAAGTTGACGATATCATATTTCATGATGACTACTGCGACAAAAAGGATAGAACAGAATTGGTAGAGTTGATTGTAGCGCGTTTGGTATTGTTGACCGAAGACGGTCATCCTGGTGTCTTGAAATATTGTCTGGACAATGATGTCAATGATTTGCGAGAAAAGTGCGTGAAAGAGAAGGTGGGCATGCAAAAGGCGAGAATTAATGAAAATATGATCGTTACTTTCTACGACGTATTAACGAAATCAACAAATAAAGTTGCAATGTACGCGAGCAACTGTGACTTTTTAAAAGCAATCGAATCTTCTGATAAAAAATTTCCGATCTACGCTGATTTCTTGAAGACAAGTGTCGAAGTTGCAGAGAAGAGAAAAGAGTTCATCAACGAGTGCACTACCTTAATGTTTAGTTTGGTTAAAAAATGTCACAAAATTCGAATTTCTCGAGCTGATATCGGACATATTTTTCAGTATCTCTCTATTATAGATTTGCGAAGATTTTCAGCAGTTTGTTCCTAAAATGTAATTTTTATACCGAATTAACGGAAATATTTTTTATGTATAATTTGTTAAGCGTCTTTCTTCCACGATGAAGAATATACAGAAGAATGTCTTCAGAATGTACAAAATCAAAAGAAGTTAAAACTTTTGTTCCCAAGAATGTACTGAATAGTTATTTAAACTTTTATAATAATTATTCAATTTAAGTTGATTGTCGAATTCAAATTTATGGACATAAATTACGATTACACAGATAGCTAAGCTTTGAGCTTTGAAACAATATTTTTTGATGTCGATACATTAATACTAACGAACTAATCGCTTATTAAAAAGTTTGTTTAAAAAATTTTAGCAATGTGACAAACAAAAATTCTTTTTTTCTTGTGTTAACCCTCAGAGAGGCGTTTATTCTTATAAACTGTGAAAATCTGTAAATAATACTACGTTTCATAAAATATGAAAATTTAATACATATTATTTTCTATTTGTCAGTAATTTATTTTCCTGTAATTTCCAATATCTCTCTAATTTCGGGTTACGAAACTCAAAATTTTTTATAACTACGTCATTTTTCAGTTTTCAGAAATTTTAAATTTATTATCATAAATTCAAAGAAGCAAATTAAAAGAACCTTTAAATTTAGACTTTTTGAGAGAAATTTTTTTAGAAATTTTCACAAATCTAAAATCTAATTTTCTAATTTCTTTTCTGTTAAAAGTAACAAAACACAATGTTTCGAATGCAAAAATTAATAAATAAAAGACAAATAAAGTTTTAAATGTTCAAATGAGTGAAATATTTTTTTCAATTTCAATATTTTTAAAAATATTGAAAATTACGTTACCCAGAAAAATTTAGAAATTATTTTATTTTACCAAATTTTTGAGTTAATAAGCAGACATTAAAAATTTTAAAGTTGACACTTTTCTTAAAAGAATGTTATTCTTATATTTTAACATTTATAATTTCGAATCTGATAAAATTTAATTCTTGCAGAAAATTTTATTATAAAATTAATTAAAAGAATTGAATTATTGTTTAAAATAATTTTATAAAAAAAAACATTTGAAATTAATCAAAGTCTTTCAAGAAATGCAACGAATGTAATTAAAATTGTTCTAAAGTTAATTTCGAATTCTTCTGAAGAATTTTATCGAAATTTGTGAAAATAATTCAAAAATCTTTCCAGGAATGTTATTGGAATTTTCAAAAAAAAATTAAATTCTATTAAGAATTTATATTAAAATTCTAATGAAAATAATTATAAATCCCTCCGAAGAATTTGATAACTTTATGAAAATAATTCAATACTTGTGACGAATTTTATTAAATTGTTTGAAAATAATTGAATTGTTTCGAAGATTTTCATTAAAACTTTTAAAATAAATTTAATTCTTGCAAGAAATTCAATTAATAATGTATTGAAATTAATTTTTTCGACATTTTTTAAATAATTAAATTCTTTTGAGAAATTTTATTGAAATTTTATTAGAATTTTATTAAAAATAATTGAATTAATTTATGAAACTAATGTCTAAAATAGAAAATAATAATAAAATTTGTCAAAATCCAAATTTAATTTTTTTTTAATTTTTAAGTTCCTTCAAGGAATTTGATTAAAATTGTACTGAAAATAATTAAATTCAATTTTTATTAAAATTTATTGAAAATAATTTTTTTTCAAGAAATTGTATTTTTGAAATTAATCGAATTCTTTTAAGAATTCAATTTAAATTGTATTAAAAATAGCTGAATTCATCTAAAAAATTGAATATAAAAATTTTTGAAAATAATTGAATACTTTCTGCCAAACTTATTTTTGAAAAAAAAATTGAATTCTTACCAAATCTTTGAAATTCTATAATTGTTGTAAATGTATAATAATAATTATTCAAATATAAAAAATTATTAATTTGTTACCATTTTTAAAAATTTAAAGTTTTGAATAATATTATTCAAAAATTTTAAATACATATAATAATATGTAATTGAGTTTTGGAACGTTCGTAAAAAATTGTTTAAATGTTTTTGCATTAAAAGTATTTCGAAATTTTATGCAAATAAAGAACAATAAATTTATTTTGCAAAAAAGATTGCAAATTCAAAGATTGTGAACGCAGCCTTATTTTGACGCTTTCTTCCTACAGCTGAAGTTTCCATTCTATTGGGTTTAATACTTTTATGGTTATAAATGTTTTCAACGTTTTCATCCTTTTCATCTGACAGCTTTTTATTCACAAATCAAATTCTATAAATTGTAAATAAATACTTATATAGAATAAGTACAAGTTAAAAAGTCTTGGTTTCTGTAATCGACACATTGTAATCTGCCATCGTTAATTTAATGTTTGTTTCGTCACAGAAAATCGTCGAGTTTACAAAAGTAAATATATGTTGATATGGCATTAATCATGGTTAGTATTTTTAATAGAAACTAATATTTAAACGACAATAAGTAAAGTTAATAATATCACTAAAGTTTGACACATTATATATTTTTTGTTGTTGACATTTTTACACGCTACAAATTTTGAGTGAATGTGAGAATATAAGTAATTATTTTATGGATTAACTTAAATTATAATATATGTACAACCTGATTTTTTTAATATAAAAAGGAACAACAAAGTTCGAAATTTTTTGCACAAATGTTATCTGAGGAAAAGAAGTTATTCCTAATCGAACAGAGTGATAAATAAATGGATTTTTATCGGTATATGGAGCAACACTCCTCAACTGCCCAGGTCAAAAAATGAATTTTCTCGAATTGTATTGTTATTGCAGGAGGTAAAAATGTACTCATATATGTCTACCGAAAATCATAAATAATTTAAAAATTAGAGACAAAAACTTTCTGGTGCTGAGGCGTGTATTTTTCCAAGTCGGCGAATCCTTTGACTTTTAAATTTGTTCTGTCAAAAGATAATGCTCCGGACAATTTAATTTCGCTATAAGAAAAAAAATATATCTTATTTATGTAAATTTAACCTTTATTTGCAACTTTTTATTTTTATGATTCACTGCGTTTTATAATCATTTCCAAATCATTTCTATGAAATTCGAGCCTTCTTTTCATTTTGTATTGACTTACATTTTTTCTTCAACTTTTTCTTTTTATTCCTTCTACATTTTTCTCAAAAAAATTTTTTTTTCATTTTATTCTTTTTGAAGACATAACCAGGTCCTGCTTCAATAAATTAATTTCTTTCAAAAAACTAAAAAATTTAATTACTCCATCCAAATAATTATTCGCCACATCGAAATATATAAATCTCACCTGGAAATTTATTTACAAATATTCATTTAATAAGGCATTCCGAAATTAGTAATAATAATAACAATTATGTTTTAAATGTGCAAACAACATAAAAAAGAAATGCTAAAGGGAGCTTATGCGCACGTGCATTTAAAAGTGATACACATTTTCTCATTTTTGTTATAGAATATGTAAGTGGAGCAATGCTTCCTTTTTGAGATTGCAAATCACCGCCAAAGTGACAGTAAACTACCTACGAATCTAAACCTTTTGTTTGTTACAATGGATCGTACGAATGATTACAATGACACTTCTGGTTACGATGAATTGTTTCTCGCAGTCCACAATGGAGAATTGAATCTTGTCCATTCTCTGCTCGAGAAATATTCGGCGACGGAAACACTTCGTGGCAGGAAATTGTTACATGTGGCGGCTGCAAGAGGACATTTAGAGATAGTAAAACTGTTCATCACTAACCGAGATGGAAGAGGGAATACACCACTGCATTTGGCGATAAGGGAAAATCAACCTGAGGTATTCAATCTTCTTCTGGAGGAAAGTAACCTAAACGCAAAAAATTCCTTTCACCAAAATCCACTTCACTATGCAGCCATCTATAATCGCCCTGAATTCGCAAAGGCACTGATAGATAATGGCGCCATTATTAACGTAAAAGATCATTGTAGAAAAACGCCACTTGATGTTGCATTATCGGAAGAAAACGTTCAAATGGCTGAAATTCTTTTTAAACATGGTGCGGTTTTAAGTGACAGCCATTTGACATATATGAGGCCTCTTCGTGACGCAGTTAGGAAAGAAAATTTTGAAATGATAAAGTTGCTCATGGCGAACGGATGCAACAAAGTCGATATTCCAAATGACGATGGCATTTTTTCTAAATCTTCTCTCAATCTTGCAATATCGTCTCGTCGTTTGGACATTCTGAAATTTCTCATAGAAAATGGGATAAAAAATAGTTCAACAGTCAATAAGGATGACTTACGCTTATTTAACATAATTACTAGAATTGGAGGTGGTTGTGTAAATACTTTAAAATGTTTAGTCGATCTTGGTTTTAAGACGGAAGAGGCAGATGTCATATTTTACAGACCAATTATTTGGCATTTCCATGATATATGGCGATATATATTGACATGTTTCTCAAAGATTAATGCAAACACCTTTTTTAAAGAGAAGCAGCTTCATTTTTCAATTCGAATGGGCCAAGTGGAAACTGTTAAAGCAATCGTAAACGAAGCTTCAAATGAATATAAATTGAGCCGTTTCGACAAGAAATTGGCCGTTTACATTGCTGCTGAAAGTGGCAACGCTAAAATATTAGAAGTTCTTTTAAACTCCTCTTATCCTATTGATAGTGTGTTTAGCATTGGAAGTCCTCTGCACATTGCAGCTACAGTCGAGGACACGAAATTAGTGAAACTGCTCTTGGAAGCTGGAGCTGATGTTAATCTGCAAACTGAGAAAGGCCTCACGCCATTGCACTTCGCAGCTTGTGCAGGGCAACCAGCAGCAGTCAAATGCCTCCTTGAAAATGGTGCTGATCCCTCCATAGCCTGGACGTTCAGCGGAGCACCATTAGAAATGGCTTTGAAGTTACATTCACCCTCGTTTTCTTGCAGACCTACTTCTCCATTAGTGTTTGAGGGTTTGGTAAAAGTGACGGAGTCGCTAATTCGGTATTCAGAACCTGAAGAGATTAAAAGCTTAGTTCCAAAAGCAGTTGGAATAAGAGTTCAAAGAATCAATAATTCAAATACAGAGTCAAATGAACTGACAACGGACGAAGATGATTCTGAATTTCGTCCAGGAATCGTTAGGTGCCTATTTAATTATCTAAGTGATCAATTAGTTATAAGTTCTTCTGACGCAGCTTTAGATGATCCGTTTCCAATAGGACATACACCAGAATTGTTACGCCTTCTGATGGAATATAATGATTGCACCTCATGTATTGACATGAGAGTGAGGGATCAGGAGAACAATTACAAGTGCCAATTGCTCCTAACTGGTTATTCTAGAAATATTCATAATCTTTTAAATACTGCAGATGAAATTATCTGGCATATGAAGGAAGGTCAATACGAAAAGGCTGACATGGAGGGAAAACCAGATTTTATAAAATTAATAGTAGCGCGTTTAGTTTTGTTGACTAATAATTGTTATCCACCCTTGATTGCATTTTGTTTAAAGAATAATTTTAATGATTGGCGAGAGAAGTGTGTAAAGGAGAAAAGGGTCATGCAAAGAACAAAAGTTAGTAAAAATCTGAACGTCACATTCTATGATGTTTCAACGAAATCAGCTAATGATCTTCTAATGTATGCAGGCAACAAAGATTATCTTAAAGCAATTAAATCTTGTCACGTGAAATTTCCGGTATACGCTGATTTTTTGAAGGAAAATGTCGAAATGTCAGAAAAAAGAAGAAATTTTATCAACGAGTGCTCTAGATTATTGTATCGCGTGGTTAAAAAATGTTACAAAATTCAAATATCTAATTTTTATACCTGTCATATTTTTCAGTATCTGACAATTATAGATTTGCAAAGATTTTCAGCAGCTTGTTCCTAAAATGTGATTTTAATACATAATTAACGAAAATATTTTTTTTTATAATTTGTTATGCATTTTCCATCTGTGAATATGAAACTTTTATTTAAAGATTCGTTTCCATTAATGTATTAAAAAGTAATTTAATCTTTAATTATAATTATTACTATTATTAATTATAAAGTTTAAATTTATGGATATATTGCGATTAAACCGTTAACTAAGCTTTGAGCCTTAAAACAATGTTATGCACATCGGCACATTATGATTAGCAAATCAAACGCTTATAAAAAGTTTTCATTAAAATATTTAAATAATATGACATTGAAGAAATAATTATTTTTTTTTATTTGTAAACCCTCAGTGAGGTCATTATTCTTATACACTTGTCAGAATCTATAAATAATAATAATTCTTATAAAATATTTGAAACCTTAAAATTGTTCTTTCTTTCAGTAAATTCATTTCCAGTAATTACCTTCCAATAATCCTCTAATATTGGGTGTGCTTTAAAATTTATATATATTTTTTAAAGCGTTTCATTTTGTGTGATGGGTTCAAAAATAGCAAAAATTTTTTCCTCAAATTTGGAATCATTGAAACATTCTAATTCTAAGTTTTCATGGTTCTTAAAAAGAAAATCTTAAAAAAATAACACTTAAAATTTAAATATTTTGAGTAGGGAAGTTGGGGAATTGTAAGCAACCTCAATTATTTAATAATATTTATAAGTTTGATCATCCAATTTTTTTTATCTTCTTTTGTTCATCCAAAGTAAATTTTTCATTATTGAGGAAAAATAACAGGAATATAGATTAAGAAAATTCATTAATTTTCTATATGAGTGATATATAAACGCATGTAGAGTATTTACAAGAATAATAAAAATCTATTTAAATTAGTGATACAAATTCTCTCATTTTTGTTGCAGAATGTTTAATTGGATCAGTGTTTTCTATTCGAAGTTGTAGACTACTTTGAAAGCTGAAGTAAAGTACATCCGGAAGTAATTCTTTCATTCGTTGCCATGGATCTTGCGAATGATTACAACGATACTACTGATTATAATGAACTGTTTCTTGCAGTCCACAATGGAGAATTGGACCTTGTTCATTCTCTGCGAGATAAATATTCGGCAACGGAAACAATTCGTGGACGGACATTGCTGCATGTGGCGGCTGCAAGAGGACATACGGAAATAGCAAAACTGTTCACCACTAAGCGAGACGGAAGAGGGAATACACCACTGCATCTGGCGATAAGGGAAAATCAGCCTGAGGCATTTAATCTTTTTTTCGAAGATAGTAACTTGAATGCAAGAAATCTCAAGGATGAACGACCACTTCATTATGCAGCTTTGTATAATCGCCCTGAATTCGCAAGAAAACTTATAGACAATGACGCTTCTATTGGGGTGAAAGATAGTAAGGGAAAAACGCCACTTGATGCTGCATTGGCGAATGGAAACGTTCAGGTAGCAAAAGTTCTTTTTAAACATGGAGCTGTTTTAAGTGATGACGATTTGACAAATATGGAACCTCTTCGTAACGCAGCTGGGAGAGGAGATTTTGAAATGGTAAAACTGCTCATGAAGAACGGGTGTAACACAGTCGACATTCCAACTAAATATGGTTCTTCTCTTTACCGAGCTGTATCGTCTGGTCATTTGGAAATTCTAAAATATCTCATGACGAATGGCTTGAAAAGTAGTGCAACAATTAATAATGATAAAGTTCGTCTATTGAATTCAAGTGTTTCAGATGGCAAGTTCGTTATTTTTAAATATTTAGTCGATATTGGTATGAAGAGTAAAGAAGTAAATCGTATTTTTAATAGTATGATTTATATGGGTCGCCATGAAATGTGGGAATATTTTTTACAAAATCTATCGAAAATTCATGCAAAAACGTATTTTAAAGAGAAACAGCTTCACTTCTCTATTCGAATGGGCCAAGTGCAGACTGTTAAGGCAATTGTGAATGAACCATCAAACGAATATGAATCGGACACTTTCGCCAGAAAATTAGCCGTTTACATTGCTGTTGAAAGAGGCAATGAAGAAATATTAAAAATTCTTCTAAACGCTGGTTATCCTGCTGACAGTCTGTTTAATTTTATAAGTCCTCTTCATCTTGCAGCAACATTTGAACATCCAAGACTAGTGAAACTGCTTTTGAAAGCTGGAGCTGATGTTAATTCGAAAACTGATTTTCGTCTCACTCCATTACATTTCGCAGCAATTTCAGCGCAGCCAGCTGTAGTTAAGTTTCTTCTAAAAAAAGGTGCTGATCCCTCTATAACCTCCCAATGCAGTGAATCACCCTTAAAAATAGCCATAGAGATATTTTCTCCATTTTGTGATCCTGTACCTGCTTCTGTTTTAGCATTTGAAAGTTTGGTCAAAATAACGAAGATTTTAATTCGATATTTAAAATCTGAAGCTATTGAAAATTTATTTCACTATGCAGTTAAAATGAGAGTTTTATCAAGTATCAATAATTCAAAACCAAAGTCAGAGAGACTAATATCTGCTGTAAGTGATTCTGTATTTCGTCCTGAAATTGTTAGATGCATATTTAATTATCTAAGTGAAGAGGAAGTTAAAGATATTTCTGATACATTTTTACTTGAAGAAAGTGGTTCATCTCATCCACCAGAGTTGTTACAACTTATGATGGAATATAATGATTCGAAATCATGTTTTGATATAGAAATAAACACTTGGAATAAAAATAACAAGTGCCAATTGCTCTTAATTAGTTACTCGAAAAACTTTGATAATCTTTTAGATAAAATTTGGGAAATTATTGATGATTATGATGAAGATGACGACAATGACGTAGAGAAAGAGAATATAATAGAATTATTAAAATTATTAATATGTCGTTTAGTATTGTTGAACACAGATTGTGATCTAACTAAGTTTAAAGAATTCGAATTAATTGATCTTATTGATTGGCGAGAGAAGTGTTTAAACGAGAAAAGGGTCATGCAAAGGACGAAAGTTAATAAAAATCTGAACTTCACATTCTATGATGTATTAACGAAATCAATTGATAAAGTTTCAATGTATACGAGCAACAATGATTTTTTTAAAGCAATCGAATCTTCTGATATAAAATTTCCGGTGTATGCTGATTTTTTGCAGGTGAATGTCAAAATAGCAGAAAGAAGAAGAAATTTCATCAACGACTGTGTTAATTTAATGTTAAAGTTGGTTCAAAACTGTCATAGAATTCGAATTTCTAGAGCTGAAATCAATCATATTTTCAAATATCTGTCAATTCTAGATTTGAGAAGATTTTCAGCAGCTTGTTCATAAAATGTAATTTTAAAACAACGTAAGGATCAGTTTTGATGAATAATTTGTCAGGCGTCTCCTTTCTACGATAAAGACATTTTAATTTAAAGATTTATTCCCATAAATGTATTGGAAAGTAATTTAATCTTTAATAATAATTATTAATATATTATTACGTTAATCATAAAGTTTAAAGTTATATATATTGGGATTACATTGTTAATTAAGCTTTCAGTTAATATGTTTTGTACGTCGACACGTTAATTAATTAATTCAACTTTAACAAATTAAACGCTTATTAGAAATTTCGTGTAAAGGTTTCTGAATTGGAGGTTTTTTTAGAATATTTTTTTCATAGTAAAAAAAATATGCATTACTTAAAATTTTTTTTATAATAAAATACGAGTCTTACAGTATGTAATCGAGAAAAAAATTTTTTTACAAAATGAATAAGTCTCAGAAAAGGACTAACAGAAGTGATCTTCTCTAAAAGTTTGTTGAATTCTCGTACAGAATTTTCTAATAAAAATTGATTCAAAAATAAATTCCAGTTAAAATTTTAGATAATAATTGAATTCTAAATGCATTATTGCATGAATTTTTGGATTATAATTGAATTTTGAAAAGGTTTTATATTGAAACCTTTGAAAATCTGAATTTTTCATATTTTTAGTTAACAATTCTGTAGAATTAATGTTTTTGAAAAAGTTTAATTAAAATTATTTTGAAGTTTTTATTTTCTAATATATGTATATTGAGGTTTTTGTAGGTGGGGCATGAAAGGGTTAACGTAATTTTTCGACTTAATGATGACTTTTCTGCGAAATCCGTTCTACCCAGTGACTGTTCACTCAAATGCCTTTTTGAGAAAAACTCATATGTGTATGAATTTTTTGTTTTGTGGTTTTGAATGCCGCGTCTTTCACCCTCATCACAAAACCTGTTCCAACCAATAGAAGATTTTATTTAACTTCTCGGTTTTAACTTCATATACAAGGTACAGCTCACAGTGCAAACAATGCAGAGTTATTTCTTCAGTGAAACATATTAGTTTTAAGCAAAGAAGTCGTACATACTTTTATGTGATTAAAGTGATTTATATTAATTATTGGCATCATTGCAATAAGGTGTTTATGCAAAAAGGATTGATCTGATTAATCGAAGCCTTGCCTTGTAAGTAAAATATTAGTAAACTTAATATAGTTTTTGATTTCAAATTTTCCTTGTTTGGATTAAAGCCGAATATAAAAATAAATTTAAAAAAAATTTAATAATAAGATAATAATATTAATAATAAGATAAGGTTACAGAAACAGATATAAAGAACTATAAATAATAGATCGGTCCTTTTTTATATTATATGTTCTGTAGGTACCCGTAATCGTACTCATTATTCAAATTTGGTCTTTTCTTGAAAATTGCAAGGAGTGCCAATCGAAAATTCATAAATATTAATTTAACAATTAGCGCAAAATAAGAATTTTATTATACACCCTAAAATAGTAATCTTCATTTTAGCGGATTCAATAGAAGCTTTTAGCATTTTCTTGATTTAATTTTATATCTAAGCTCGCGGGTATCTTTATTTTAAAAAAATAATGAAGAATCGTCACGTCAGAGAAATATAATCAAGAATTTTTGTTGATTTCTTGTCAGTATTTGAAGTGAAACATTTAAATCTGTACACAATTTTTACTAAACTTTGCAAGTAAATACTTTGAAGTTTGCAAGTAAATCGTTAATAATTTTTTTGGAAATTTTCGGTGCTGTGTGGGATATTTTAAAATTGAAACCGTTTCACCAATAAAAGACGTTCGCGAGAAGAGTTTTTTTTAATTGAATTTTATTCTGTAAAGAAGAAATTATTAATTATAAGTTATAGACTAATGCGAATGAATTTTCTATTTATTTTTTTATTTTTCTTAATTTCATTGAGAAATTCCTGTTTTAAGAGTTTTAAATTTTAAACCTATTATTGAAATTCATTAATTAATTCATTATTCATTATAACTGTTACTTCTGTAACATCTTTAAAATTATTTTCAAGATTTCAATTCAAATATATTCTAGAATTTAAAGCAAAATTTTTTTTTAAATTAATTATTTTTATTATTATTTATGTATTTTTAATCATTTTTGAGAATGTTCTGTGAGAATTAAATTATTTGCAAAAAAAAAGTTTACATAAAATAATTTTCAAATTCATTTGTTCATAATTTTATTTTAAGGCATTTCGATTATATTCAAAAAGTTTTCAGTTTAATATACGTGTTTGAAAGTTCATTATTAAAAAATCTAACTGAAAATTTGTCAAGAACTAAATAACTTGTTCAGAAATTTTCATTTTATCAAATAAAATTGAAATTAATTAAAACTCAAATCTAAATAAATATCCGAAAAATCTTCTAAACTTTAATGACATATTGTTGAAGTTTAGAAAAAAAATAAGAGGCTTTTATCTGCCCGCACGACTCTACTCTCGGACGCAATGACCGATTCGATACGCACCTTATTCCTTTAACAATAAATTTTCAAAGAGGTCGTATACGTATACCAAGTCGACAGTTATCGATATGGGTGGAGGCAGGCCGTAAAAAAGCCACGATTGTAACGATCTGTGAAAAAAATTATTTTTAGTAGCACAAGACTTTATGAAAATATTTGTGATACTGTAAATGTTTTTATAAACATAAAAAAATATATATATTTTATAGTAATTTGAGTTAATAATAAAGGTTGGAGAAAATTAAGTTTTCATAACATAAATAATTTATTAACTTACATTTTTAGAAATTCAGCATTTGAATTAATGACAACAAGAAAATAATATTAGGATAAATAACAAATTTAACAATTTAATTTAATTCATATTTTATTTTTTAGGATTGGACGGTATTCTAATTATTCAACATTATAATTATGATTAAATAAATTAAGGTCATTTTGTCAATTGAAACTTTTAAATTAGATAATATTACGATTAGAACCTTTTCAAAACGGGTATAAACAGGCGTCTCTAATTTTTTTTTAGAGACAAAGAAAAAAACTTTAATTTATATCTTTTTTCAATGACAACTTTTATAAATTTTTTTGCTTCACATTATAAAAAGGCAAAAACTTCGATTCACAAAATAGACCCTTTCGCTGGGATAATAAGTTTCTCTTTGAAAAAGAAGAAAAAATTTTATAAAATTACCATTTTTATCGTAATTTGCTTAACAAAATTTGGTTCTTTTTTTTTAAAAAATAATAATTTGCATCATTTTTATACAACAATTTCCAAAATTAATTTATTAATAAAACACTTTTTTAGAAAATTTTAAATATCTTTAGGAAAAAAATTCCTATAATTTCTATTTGTTAATTACGATGTTTAACTATGATTATTTAAAAATTTTGTTAAAAAATTTGCATAATTTTCATTTTTTATTCTAATTTTCTAACGAAATCTCAAATATTTTTTTAAAAATTAAAAAATTTTCGTAAAAAGGTCCGTAAAGTCCGTAATTTGATTGAGAAAAGACGAAAAGTCCGTAAATTGTACGATATAATTTGGAGAATTTTAGAGAAATTACAAATGATTGCAGAAATTCAATTATTTTCAACAGTAATAAAATTCTTCGCAGAAATTCAATTATGTTCAAAAATCTTTTAAAATTATCGTCAAAATTTTGATTATCTTTAGAAATAATTAAATTCTCCTCCAAAATTCAATTATTTTTAAAAATTATAATAAAATTCTTGGCAAAATTTAAATTATTTTTGTAAACTTTCCTCAATTCAATGATTTTCAATATTTACTATTTTAAAAAAATTATGCAAAAGAATTTAATTGTTTAAAAAAAAATTTAATAAAATTCTACACAAACCTTTAATTATTATTTTTATAAAATAATAAAAATTTGACAGGAATTCAATTATTTGTACATATTTTTTATAAATTTCTTCGCAATCATTCAATTATTTTCATAAATAATAAAACTTTCACGCGGATTCAATTATTTTTGTAATGAAATTCTTTTTAGGAATTCAATTACTTTCATTAATAATAAAACTCATTGCAGAATTTCAATTATTTTTAATATACAATTTTAATCGAATTCGTCGAAAAATGTAATTATTCTTAAAAATTTTATTTAAAATTCGTCTAAAGAATTCAATTATTTCAAAATTTATTGACGATATTCTTTATCAGAATTGAGTTTTAAGAAATAAGCAATTATTAAATAAATTCTATTTTTTGTATGTAAATAACTGAATTCTAGTAGAATTTTTTAATAAAAATTTTTTTAGAAATGAATTTTAGTTAAAATTTTATATAATTGAGTAGTATATAATTCAATTATTTCTAAAAATTCACGCTATATTGTTATTAATCAATATAGCGTGAATTTTTAGAAATAATTGAATTTTGAGAAAGTTTGATTGAATTTCTTTTATTTTATGTGAAGTTTTTATTTTCTAATATATATTTAATTAAAGAATTTACAAATATTTGAAATTTAGTAAAATTAAATATTGTAAAGAAATGGATTTGAAAATTGTCGACGAACTTTTTCGAAAATTATTAAAAAATAATCGATTTAAAGAAGAATTTTGGTCTAAAATTCTTGAAAATAATTGAATTGATAATGATTTTATCACTCGGTCATTAATTATTATTAATTATTATAAAACATAAAGAAACGATAACTCCGATAGTTATTGAAGACTCGGAGTTATCGATATCTCCATGTTTTATAGTTATGAAAAATTTCATTTGTAGTTTTATAAGTAAAATGTTCTCTTATTTATTTATGGTCAAGAACGGAGAAGAAATTATGTTTAGAAGAAATTTTTCCCTTTTCCCACTATATACTATTTTTTAAGTAACTTTATTATAATTTTCGATGATAAATCGTTTTTCTCTAAAAATATGTTATGAGAAAAATTTTTATTTACAGGTTTTCGCAAATATCGTTTAAAGCGAAGAAACAAAAAAGAAATTCAAAAATATGACTTCTTCAAAAATGAAGAGATTTCTACCAAATGAATGCTATATTTGTAAATCGAGGGACAATTTAAAAAGATGTGAATGCAACATGATTTGCTATTGTTCCGAGGATCATCGATTACAACATTTGCCAATTCATGAAAATTTTTGCAAAGTAATTAAAGAATTATTAATAAAAAAGAAATTGTCACATTTTTATGAAGAGCTTACATATTTACGTGGGTCCGATTGGGCAAGAAAAGGAAATGAAATCTGTGCAGAAATATTAAAGAAATTAGGAGGAAGAATGAGTCCATTGGAATATGTAATGTTTTATCGTCCGCGATTATGCTTCGTTTGTTATAAAACAAATCAAGAAAATCTAACAAATTGTCCTGATTGTCCAGTGGCAAGTTTTTGCGAAGAACATCATCTTCCAAATGAACTTCATCGTATGAATTGTAAAGTGATGAATCAATATTTAAAAATTTTGAATACAGCCGAGGAATTAAATATTGAATTGGAATTTCTCTCTCCTACTTTTTCGTGTATTACAGAAGAAAAAGTGAATCAAGTTATAGATTCACTTACTCTCACATATGAAGTAGATAACATGAAGAAAGGATGTTTCAAATCGAGATTATTAAAAATGGAACTCATTAACTTTATGGACGTAGCTGCGAAAATTAATTGTGCTTTACAAAAAATACACGACGACACAATTCCAGAAGAATTGATAATTCACATCGATGCCCTCACCTATCAGCACGCAATCACAAAGAAAAATTATTGGGAATTTCTCTTGCATCTCAATCCGCAGATAAAACAGTTAAAAATTATTATTGTAAAAGACGATAAGGTAAACGACAATTGCTTCCTCATAGAGGAAGGTGTGTATTTTGAACGGTGTCAACTTTGTAACGAATGCCAATCTTTAGGAAAAACATTATCCATCAAAAATCATTTACTAATAAAGGAAAGTTTAAACAGTCAAGTGACCAATGTTCTTTTTTACTTCAAAGTAGAAAATATTGCCAAAATATTAAATAGATGGGAAACATTAAATTGTCCCGTTGTATTTCGTTTCGAGTCGATATTTAATTTCTACAAAGCGCAACATTTCCACCGGGAATTATTTCCAAATTATTTTCAATTTTATGAGGGACAATTAAATACACCGTTCGGTATGTTATCTTCGCTTAAAAATGATGACTATTTTTTAATTCTTAAACCGAAAGAGAAAGAAGTAAAAGAAGAAGAGGAAGGAGGAGTCAATAAACCAATTACAGTCGAATTGGAAAATTCCGATCATAAAAAATACATTATTGAAAGAAGACAATTTTCTAAACTTGTAAACGAGAACAGTGAACTGCAAAAACAGTTAAATGCATCAATTGAGGAGAAAACGAACCTAGAAAGAAAACTTGAACAAATTTCCAATGAATTAAATAAGAAAAACGAAGTTATAAGCAAAATATCTCGCGATATTGTCAATTCTTCAGATGAAATACAAAGAACTGTGACTTCAGCATCACGTAAGAAGAAAAGAACTTCTTAAGTTTAAAAAAGAATAAACAAATACTTTATTTAATATGCAAGTTTTTCGCAAGTTATCATCGAATAAAATTCCTTGTTTTGAGTTATCACTAAATGTAAATTTAATACTAATATTTCATGTATTGAATAAATAAATATTTTTACTTTTATATACAAAAATATAAACTCTTTTTTTCTCATGAAAATCATTATTTTGTAAAGAAAAATCACTCTGTACTTTCCATTGATTTAAAATTATTACCTTTAATAATAACTATAGGGTAAGTGTATCAATTACTGCGAAATTCCACTTTATTCCAGCCAAGTTGACAAACATTTTTTCCAAGGTTGCCATAGGTCGCCGGGAATTCAAGAAAAAGTTATAAATTTTTATTAAAAGTACTGGAAAATAACTTCAAATAAAATTATTACTTAGGTATAAATTATTTAATAAATAATTTTACTTAAATATTTCAAAAATAATTACGAATTTTAAAAGAGTTTCGTTATAACAATTTTCATAAATAGATGAACTTCAAAAGGTAACAATTTGAAATTTTAGAAAATTTCAATTTTGAAATGCATTTAATTAGAAAGAACTTAGATTTTAAGAAAATTTTAATAATTCAAATTCTTTTGAAATTAGTTAAATTTTTTAAATATATATTTTTCCCACAGAACACCGAAACTTTCCTTAAAATTTATTAAAGATTTACTTGCAAAGTAACTTTCCTAAAAATTTAAAAAAAAATTTTGCCTTAAATCTATATAGTGAATTTTTTTTAAAATTTTCAGGATAGTTTAACGCTACATTTTCGCTTATAAGAGAGAGAAGTCGAAAATTTAATTTAAATGTTCAGGAAAGTTTTATGCTAACTTTTTTAGGAAAATTTGACGATAAACATTTATTGACAAAAAAATTAATGACAAAATATCAGAAAAATAATAATCAGAATTTCTTGTGTTTTTGGGCAGTATTTCTTACAATTGCAGTTTAAAAATATTAAAAAGAAATAATAGAATCCTTCAAAATACTGTCAAGAATCATCACATCTTTTATGACTGCCACCGACCTGCGCCTTTTTTTGCATAGCAATAAATCTTTGTTCGGGCTTTCTTATTCTTATTGTATAACCAAGGTAAAGGTCCTCACGCCTTTTATAACTTAGGTATAAAATCAGAGAACCATTCTTTTTAATGTTTAAAATTACTTCTGTTTATTTCAACATTATATTTAATTATTATAAACTAAGATTATTTTGAAGATTCTTTTACATATTATATACCTTATATTCTCTTGGCATAAAATTCAAAAATGACATCTGTTTTGGGGACATTTTAATATTACTATATAATCACTGTAATGTTATGTGCTACTTGGGTAAATTACTAAAAAACTTTGGTTACAAAATAAAAACAAAAATTTTTCTTCTTAAATTTACTGATGTTATTTATTTTCAGATTTCGAAAACCGCAGTTGATTATTGTTTAACCCGAAAGATGCCTATTTATTCAAAGAGTGCCAGATGCTTTCCGAACGAATGCTACATTTGCAAATCGAGGGACAATTTAAAAAGATGTGAATGCAACATGATTTCCTACTGTTCAGAGGATCATCGACAACAACACCTATCAACACACGAGGATTTTTGCAAAGTAGTAAAAGAATTGTTGAAAATAAAGGGAATTCATCACGAGCTTATTGGTATATATGATGATACCGAAAGTCACGAATTGACTACAAAAAACAGAGAAATCCGTAAGCAAATCATAAAGAAACTGAAAAGAAATTTTAGTCCACTGGAGAATTTTATGTTTTATTCTCCACGAATCTGTTTCAATTGTCACGAAACAAAACAAAAGTATTTGATTAATTGTCCACATTGTCCAGTAGCGAGCTTTTGTTTCGTCTGTAAAAATCATAAAACTCATGATGAATTTTGTAAAGTAATGAATACATATTTAAAAGTATTAACAACGGCCGAGGAATTTAAAATTGATTTAGGATTTCTGTCTAGTTTTCCATTTACTGGAGAGGAATATCAGATCGTAGATATAGATTATCTTACAATGACGTATGGAATAACTGGAACAAACATATTCGGAATGCCGTCGAAATTACGTAAAATTTTTCTCATTAATTTTATTGACTTTGCTTCAAAAATTAATAACGCTTTACAAAAAATATACCTCACGATTCCAGAGGAATTGACAATTCACATCGATCACCTTACCTATGATATTTCAGGCGCAACCGTTAATTATTGGGAATTTCTCTTGCACCTTTATCCACGGATAAAGAAATTAAAAATTGTCATGACTACAATTCCAGATCCATCTGGATTAAAGACGTCTCTTTGTAAAAATTGTCATTCAGAGGGAAGGAACTTCATTCTTGAAGCTTCGCTAAAATCCTACGAAGATTACATGCTGGATGAAAATTATCAAGAACCGGACATACTGTTTTATCTTCAGATCAATATTAAAACAGCATCTGAAGAATTTAATAAGTGGAGTGAATTAAATTGTTCCATTATTCTGCAATTCGATTCAAACTCCAATTTTTGTAAAGCACAACAGTTTCTCTCGTCGTCTAGAGCAAAGTTTCGATTTATTTTTGGAGGGAAATTGGCAGTACCATTCGCTACATTATCCTCAATTGAAAATGAAGATTATTTTATAATTTTACAATCAAAGGGAGACAAAAAACTACAAAAATCTGTTTGTTCGACAACTGGCGAAATCAACAAGAAAACCAATACACCTACTCCATCGACATCGAAACGTTATGCAATAGCTATTTTCGAACCCGAAGAAGAGGAGGAAGGAGAGAAGAATGAAAAATCAAAAACTGAAAATTGTAAAAATAGTTCAAAATCTATCAATAAGGAATATTTTGAACCAAATGTCGAAGAAGAAAAAATTGAAAAAAAGGACGTTAAAGTTAATTCTTCTCCATCGTATCTAATCGAACACATTTCGTACCTTAAAAACGAAAACGAAGGCTTACGACAACAATTAAATTTATCAGTTAATGAGGTAACGAAACTGCAAACAAAACTCGACCAAGTTTCTATTGATTTAAGTAAAAAGAACACGTTAATAAACAAAATATTACGCAATATTGTTGATACTACAGACGCTAGAGACACTGAACTTGAAGACACAGATTCATTGTGTGAAAACAACAACGTTTAGTCCATATTTATGGGCATATCTCTGGAACCTTTAACTTTCATGTCCCTCGCATATATTTCGATAATTTCAATAACTTTTTACTTTATTTTTGTTGGAAATATTAAAGCTTGATAAGATGAATCAGTTCCAAAAGGTTTTACATTAATTTATTAAATATATCAATAATTATTCCAATCTGAGTGCCCGATTTTTTACAATATCTACTTGTCCCTAACCATACTCTCGGATGGGTTAAACGATAAAACTTTGTAATGAATAAGAGTTACTAATTCTAAGACGCATCTTTTTAAAGTTAATTAAACAGTGAACACTTTTCCGTATGAAAATTAAAAATTTGTTAATTTTGAAAAAAGTTATAAGCTTTCAAACGTTGTCCCTCACTTTTAACCTTTTTGATCGTAATCGAGATATTTATCATTTTTCATTAATAAGACAAATGGCACATCAAAATGACTTACGGGAAATAAAAGTTCAAATTATTAGAATTATTTTGAGACATAGTAAATTGATGTGCCTCGTGTCTTCAAAAAACTGTTGTAATTTAAATAACAGAAAACACGCGCGTACAAAATTTGAAAACGACCGTAATTCGAGTGATACTCCACGAAAATCAAATAAAAGTATTTTAAAAGTACTTGTAAATATTTTCGCATGTGCCATTTAACATCCAGTGAATGTGCTTCAAGAAAAAATACTTTATTGCAAAGATAATGTAAAAATATTTGTCAATTACGGTCGACCGTAATCAACCAAAAGTTTTTAGAAAAGAAATTGTTAAGTATGAAGTTGTCGATTCTCACTTTTTTATAGAAACTGTTAATAAATAAAACTGAAGGTTAAGTTTCAATGTTTATATTTTGATTTTTTAGACAGAATAAATGATCGAAAAAAATAGGATATATAAGAAAAAAGAAAAATAGAAAAAAATGAATAGAAATTGGAAAGTTTATGAGTGTTAAATTTAAATAAAATGTATCTGGAAATTGCAAGGTAAACTTTATACATTATAATTTCATATTTTTACAATTCAGTTTAATTAAAATCTATTTTTAAAATAAAAACCATTTTAATTTTTTAGTAATTCAAACAAAAAATAAAAGAAAAGTAATGTTAATGACTAGTAATAATATAATAAATACAAAAGTAATATATTATATAATAATATAATTATTATATTATAAATTATAACCCCTCAGTTAATTACTTTCAACTGTTTTCGATTCTAAAAAACAAACACCTGTTAAATATTTTTTTGTTGCACGTTAAAAATAATTCGCAATTTTAAATAGTTTATAACTTTTTGAAGACGAATCATTTTATCTGTCCACTTGGATATTTTGAAAGCTTATTTCTTAAAGTTTATGTAGACAGAGTTTCAATACTGTGCTCAATAAAAAATTAACAAATTTTTTCTCATTGAAAAGTTAAAGGTTCTAGAGATATGCCCTTATGCCTCTATTTTTATTTCTTTAAAAGGAATCGTCTAGTTTTTATATTTTTTTGAATTTGAAATTCAATTACTGTTTCAGTGCGACTATATAGTTGAAAAATATTGTTAAAAAAATGTGATGTATTGTAATGAATACAATTAGTTCTACTTCGATTAAAAGAATGATTATCTTATTTAATTTGTACCACTGTTTTGAATTAAAAATTCAATCACTCCTTATAATGTTTTTGTATTTCATTTTTATATTTAGAACCAAGAATGTAATTTCATAAAAAAATTTAAATAATTTGACTGTCATATGAATCTTCTTCTTCTTCTTTTGTTTAAATGGCCTCTTGTATATACAAATAGCCAGTACTATATGAATCTTCTAATCATTATATGAAAAATTAATGTTCCTTTCTTTTCTCAAAGCAAATTTTCTTATTTGAAATCATATCATATCTCTCTCACCTCTACTCCCTCTACTGCCTGTCTGCCAATGAGAGTAAGGGAGAAAAAACATTTAATTTGAATTTTCTAACTCTCTTACTCTTATGAGTTACCATGGCAACCTGTAGGCAGACAGGCAGGCAGTAGAGCTGTGCGAACACCTTTACATGCTTTTTCCACAGCTAAAGTTTCCATTCTATTAAGTTTAATACTTTTATGGTTATAAACGTTATAAATGTTTTGGACTGACAGTGACAGCTCTGTATTCACAAATCAAATTCTATAAATTGTAAATAAATACTTATATAAAATAAGTAAAAGTTAAAAAGTCTTGGTTTCTGTAATCGAAACATTGTAAAAAGCCATCATTAGTTTAACGTGTTTAACTTTTAGTCACGGAAAATCTTCGAGTTCACAAAAGCGATGTGTTGATATTGCATTCATCATGGTTAGTATTTTTAATAGAAACGAATGTTTTAATTATGTATTTATTTACTTGCATCTCGGTTTTTTTAAATATATATCGACAATAAGCAAAGCTCACAATATCACTAAAGTTTGACATATTATATATTTTTTTGTTGATATTTTTATATACTACACATTTTGAGTGCATGTGAGAGTAAATTTTCCAAAATAAGTTTAATTGAAGAATTAAGATGTCAACTCAAAACAATTATTAAAATTAAAATGTGTACAATATTAAATAAGAATCGTGAACAGACGAATTTTCTTGAAAGAAATTAAAAACTGAAAATTTAAAAACGCAAATAGTTAGACAAATTAAAATAGATACCCGCTGTGTTTATTCCATTGAGAAGAGCAAATATTTTTCTATAAAAATTGCCCAAAATTGAATGAATATAATTATAACGTTACTAATGTTGACTTTAAGAGTTTTATTTCGTTTTAGTCTTATTTAAATACCTGTACAAATGAATACCTAAAATTATAAACCGAAAATTCGTTTTTTTGTACTTTTTATTTTTTTAATATCCGGATAGGTTATCCATTAGTCCGGATAATGCGATCTCTACTGTAATTTCTAGGCAACTTGTTGAATTTTCATGAAAAATTACAAAACTGGTTTAAGAATGGAAAAGTGTAAAATTAATAAACATAGAATATAAACTATAAGGAATCAAAATCCATCGAGAAAATTTATGAGCGACAAGTATTTTAAAAGTTATAATGAAAATTATATTGGCGTGGTGAGTGCACCAGCGCTACACTTAGTTTTTTTTTATCATTTTGGGTATTTATTTGGATTTGTATTTAAATAAGACTGAAAGGAAATAAAACTCTTAAGTCAATGTTAATAAATGTTTAGTTAAAAACATTTCAAAAGATTAACAAACATTTTCTTAAAATCATTAAAATACATCAAAACGCAACGTTTCGTGTCAAAGTTCAAAATTTATTGTATTAAATGCTTATAAACTTTAAAATTAAAAAAAGAATATTTGAAATTTGACCGGATACTCGAAAATCCAGATAATGTGGTCTCTACTGTATATTTAAGATCAATTTATAAAATGTTTTTAAATTATAATAATTTTATAATTATAAAGAAAAATATTTAAATATCTATTTAATATAGTAAAAACAAGAATTTATTAAAATGCTGATTCTCAAATTTTTAAGTTGAAACTTAAAAATATACATGTTTTGAATAAAAATAAAAATTGAAATTATTAAATTAATTAAGAAAATTAATCTTCATGAAAAATATTAAATAATACTATTATTCAGATTTAATTAAAGTGAATAAATTATATTCAAAAAATAAGTAGGGGAGACCGGGGCGTAATGGCTAAGGGGCGTAATGAATAATTGTAATTTGTTTAAAAACCGTAAATTGTAATAATTTCGCACAATAGACAAGTTATTGTACTTGGTATACTGCAAGTTTGTCGGAAGTTTCATTAATATTTATTCATTATTGTAAGAAATATAGTAGAAAAACTATTTTTGACGTACGAAAGTAACTTTTCAAAATTTTCGTTTTTTCGTTCTATTTTTTTCAAAAATAGCTTTTAAAAAAAAACTGAAATGAGGTTTCGATCTTGACACGTTTGTTTTTAAGGGACAATTCGAGATTTTTGATTCACACTTCCGGTATTGTTAAAAAAAAGCCAAATATTTGCCGAGTACCCCCGGGGCGTAATGGCTAGTTTTTCCCGGGGCGTGTTGGCTAATGCAATACGCTATGTATAAAAAGCAACCTACCATATCGGCGAAGTGTAGGTTTGTTTTCGCGATTGCTTGTCACTTAGTTTAAGTATGTTTAGGTATTTTTAACAAAATTTTAAAGCTTTGGTCTAAAATTTACAAATAGTAGATTTCAAGCTACGATTTTAATGAGAAATTACAAAAAAAATTGAGAGAGTGCCAATATCACAGAATATTATTGAAAAAGCGATAGTTGAAGTATTGCTGAATAAAAATAGCATTCACGGAATACCCAGGAACCTTAATTTACAATATGCAATAAGATTGGAAACTGTAGATAATAATTAGCAATCATTATTCATTACGCCCCGGGAGTTATCCATTACGCCCCGACTCGGGCCGTATTTTGGAGCTCTGCATTGCTCCAGAAAAACTGTTGTAGAATAAAAAGTAAGAGTCATATCGGGACGTTTGTAGTCTTAAAAGAAAGCTGAGATACCAGAGTAAATTTTCTGGAAGATAAACATTCAATTAGAACAAAAATGTCCGAGTAAAACAACAAAGAGTGAAAAGTTAGCCATTACGCCCCGGTCTCCCCTATGTTACTGTTATTTTATATAATTTTCTTGTTGTATGATTTAAAAACATTTATTACATATTTGAAAATTAATAAGTGTTTAAAATAAATAATCAGATAATTAAATTTTAATTTAATGAATAATAAAATAATAAGTATAAATAAGTTGAAAAAATCAACTATTAATGTGAAAATTTTTCATTTGACTACGAGGCTCTTAAATAAGTATGTCAATTCTGGAAACTAATACTTTAGTCAAGTCAAGGAAGTTTTACCAAACTGTTCCTGAAACGTTAGTGCCGATCAAGGAGGTATTCAAAACAAACATTAAATTCTATATATAACTTTACTAAATTTCACATAAATTTTTTTAAAATTTAGTATTTTCTATATCAAAATTTTTCTGTGTTGCACTTTTTCCCCAATTTGTAAAATACTTTTACGAAATTTAATATATATTCTCTCTCCGTGAAGCCTAAACTTTTACTGATTTAACAATGTTCATTTTCTTTATTCATAATGAAGTATAATTTATAAAATGATTATTGTTTTATAATTCACCATAATTTTTGTAATAGATTTTCTACCGATAATTTGTTATTTTTAAATAAATAAAATATAAAATAGTGACAAGTTATTTACACAATAATTTTATACATACCTATACCTACTAAAAATAATATGCTTCTTTTTTAATCCAAAATGTGATGGGTGAACTATGTATTACCCATTATTTATTTTAAAAAAAGTCAATAAAATAAAATTTGAATTACATATGTACATATATATTTGATATGGCTAGCAACGGTCTATTTTGTTAAAACAGAAACTAGACAGTAGGCCTGGATAAGAACTCGATATGCTTCTGTTCGGTTTTCCCTTCCAGCTGCTGGCTTGAATCTAGTTCCACTGGATAGTTATACACTTCCAGGATAGATTTATACACGGGGCAGTAATTGAAGCACCTGCAAGTGTTAATGATTAATAATTAATAATGTGAAAATGAATTGTAACACTTAGAGAAACCAATCAGAAGAGTTATTCCTTTATTATCTGAACCTCTGTTATCCAAACTGAAAATCAATTTATCTGAATTTTTTCGGCACCTAAATGCTAAATTTTATATTTTTACATTTATCAGGGTGACCAGCGGCCAGGGAAAAGTCAGGGAATTTCATTCATAGTCAAGGAAATTTCTAGAAATTTATCAAAAGATTAAAATTCTTTTTATCTAACAGGACTTAAATGGTTTTTATTAAAGTTCGGTACTATCATTAGATATTAATTTTTTGTTAAATAAGTTAGTATTCATATTTTTGTCCCAAAAAAGCAGAAATAACGTTAGTAAATTTTAATAGTCAGGGAAAAAGTCAGAATTTTTTTCACAATCCTTGCTGGACACCCTGTCTATGGGCATATTAAGGGCAAATTTTCTAATTTTTGTTATAGAATATTTAAGTGGAGCAGTGCTTCCTATTTGAGATTGCAAATCACCGCCAAAGCGACAGTAAACTACTTGGAATCCAAATCTTCTATTCGTTGCCATGGATCGTACGAATGATTACAACGACATTTCAGAGTACAATGACCTGTTTCTCGCAGTCCACAATGGAGACTTAAATCTCGTTCATTCTCTGCTCGAGGAATATTCGACAACGGAAACTATACGTGGCAGGACATTGCTGCATGTTGCGGCTGCAAGAGGATATGCAGCGATTGCAAAACTATTCCTCCCTAAGCAAGACGAAATTAGAGACACACCTCTGCATCTGGCGATTAGGGAAAACCATCCTGAGGTATTCAAACTTCTTTTAGGGGAAATTAACCTGAATGCAAAAAATTGCTTTGGCCAAAATCCACTTCACTATGCAGCTTTGTATAATCGCCCTAAATTTACAAAGACACTTATTGATAATGGCGCGATTATTAACGTTACAGATCATAATTCACAAACGCCACTTAATGTTGCCGTGGAGAAAGGAAACGTTAAAGTAGCAGAAGTTTTGTTTAAACATGGTGCTGTTTTAAGTGCCAACGATTTAAAATGTGAGGCGTCTCTTCGTTCCGCAGTTGGGAAAGGAAATTTGGAAATGGTAAAGCTGCTCATGGCGAACGGATGTAACAAAGTCGATGTTCCAAATGATGATAACATTTACTCAAAATCTTCTCTTAAACTCGCAGTATCGTCCGGTCGTATGGACATTTTAGAATATCTCTTGAAGAATGGGGCGAAAAACAGCGCAACAGTTAATGCGGATGAATTACGTTTATTTTCAGCAATTATTACGGGCTGCGGTAGTTTAACTACTTTAAAATGTTTAGTCGACCTTAGTTTTAAGACGGAAGAAGCAGATTTTATATTTTATTGTTCAATGATTCAAAATTTTCATGACGTGTGGCGATATATATTGACATGTTTCTCGAAAATTAATGCAAAAACGTTTTTCAAAGAGAAGCAGCTTCATTTTTCAATTCGAATGGGCCAAGTGGAATCTGTTAAAGCAATCGTAAACGAACTAGCAAGTGAATATAAATCGGACCCTTTTGCTAAAAAATTAGCTGTTTACATCGCTGCTGAAAGTGGCAATGAAGAAATATTAAAAATTCTTCTAAACGCTCGTTATCCCATTGACAGTCTGTTTAAATTTATAAGTCCTCTTCACGTTGCAGCAACATTCGAGCACCCGAGATTAGTAAAGCTTCTCTTGAAAGCTGAAGTTGATGTTAATTTGCAAACTGAGCATGGTCTCACTCCTTTACATTTCGCAGCATGTGCAGGGCAGTCAGCAGTAGTAAAATTTCTCCTTGAAAATGGTGCTGATCCCTTCATATCCAGTTCGTTCAGCGGATCAGCATTAGAAACGGCCTTGAAGCTATTTTCACCCTCGTTTTCTTGCAGACCTATTTCTCCATTAGTGTTTGAGGGTTTGGTAAAAGTGACGGAGTCACTAATTCAGTATTCAAAACCTGAAAATATTAAAAACCTAGTTCCAGAAGCAGTTCGAATAAGAGTTTCAAGTATCAATAATTCAAATCCAAAGTCAAATGTACTGCCATCGGCCGTATGTGATTCTGAATTTCGTCCTGAAATCGTTAGATGCCTTTTTAATTATCTAAGTGATGAATTAGTTGAATATTCTTCAGAAGAAATGTTAAATAATCCGTTTCCAATAGGACATGCGAAAGAATTGTTACATCTTCTGATAGATTATAATGATTCCAACTGGTGTTTTCGAATCAGCATAAGTGAAAATGAGATCAATTACAAGTGCCAATTGCTCCTAACTAGTTACTCTAGAAACATTGATGGTCTTTTAAATACTGCAAGGTCAATTATCTCGAATGAGGATTGTGATGGATACAATAAGGCACACAAGGAGGGTAACACAGAGTTTGTAAAATTAATAGTAGCGAGGTTAGTGTTGTTAACTGCTAATTGTTATCTACCTTTAATTGCATTTTGTTTAAAGAATGATTTTAATGATTGGCGAGAGATGTGTACAAAGGAGAAAAGGGTCATGCAAAGGACGAAAGTTAGTAAAAATCTTAAATTCACTTTCCATGATATATTAACTAAATCAATTGATAAAGTTGCAATGTACGCGAGCAATAATGATTTTTTAAAAGCAATCGAGTCTTCTCACACAAAATTTCCGATATATGCTGATTTTTTGAAGGCAATTCTCGAAATAGCAGAAAGAAGAAGAAATTTCATCAACGACTGTGTTAGTTTAATGTTTGATTTGGTTCAAAACCGTCATAGAATTCGAATTTCAAGAGCTGAAATCAATCAGATTTTCAAATATCTCTCAATTGTAGATTTGCAAAGATTTTCAGCAGCCTGTTCCTAAAATGTAATTTTAATAGGTACATTTAAGGCAAAGAGTAATTTTTGTGTATAATTTGTTATGCAGTTTCCTTCTACGATGAAGAAATTTTAATTTAATTATTTGTTTCCATCAATATATTAAAATGTAATTTAATCTTCAATAGTAATTATTATTAATTACTATTTACGTTAATTATAAAGTTCAAAATGGATGTATATATATTGGAATTACATCGTTGACATAATTTTAAATCAATGTTTTGTACGTCAGAACATCAACATTAACTATAGTTAAACGCTTATTAAAAGGTTGTTTAAAATATTTTAATAATTATGATATTGAATCAAAAATGAGCTTTTATATACCTCAGTGAGGCCTTTATTTTTACACATATGAGAATCTGTAAACAATAAACGTTTTATAAAATACTTAATACCTTAAAATTGTTCTTTTCTTTTTGTCAGTAATTTGTTTTCCTGTAATTTCCAATAACCCTCTCATTTTAGATGTGTTTTAAAATTGTCATATATTTTTTAAGGCTTTCATTTGCATATATTACACTGGAATCTTGTTTAAACAAAAATTGCTTATACGGAAAATAGAGGTCCGGAGACTTATCAATAAATTTAAAATATATAAACACACGATCACACCTTATAATCGAGGTTCCAGTGTATATAAACTTTGAATTTGAAGAACAGCAAACTGTTACCCACACATTATCAAATGAGGCCTTGGATCGAATAACTCGCCCGACGCTCGAAGGCACGCGCTAATACCAGTCGGGTAGCAGTGAGTGGCCCAGAGGCGCTCACTGCTCACTGACTGGCAGTTGCGCGTTCCTCCGAGCGTCGGGCGAGTTATTCGATCCAAGGCCTCAAATGTTTCCTGCGAAAGTTAAAATTAACTTGAATGCAACGTTCCGAATTCTTAATTATGAAACTTATGAAATTTTAAAGTTGAATATTTCGTTTTGTTTATTAATTAATTAATTGGTTTTCAATTTTTCAAAGTATATTATAGATTCAAATACTTTGCATGCGGCCTCTCAATTGCATTTACATATTAAATACATTCATTTAGTATATTATTTTTTAAAGCTTTAGATTTTTAAAAGTCTAATATCTCCGGCTATAATGAACGAAAAACTTTCAAATAAGAAGTCAAAAGATCCACATTAAATTGTGAGGTATTAAAGAACGTTGCAAATTAAATTAACAACATAAAAATTAAATAAATTCAGAATTGGTGTTATTCTTATTATGCATGAAATTTTACTGCAAATCAAAACCTTATCAACAATTAGTAACTACTAGAGGTGTGCAAAAAGCTCGACTAGCCGAGCTATTATTGGATAATAGAGAATTAAACCATTTAATTGAGTCAATTAATTTTTATTTAATTCAATTAAATTTTTTTTCAGTGTAGTAGAAAATAAGACCAAAATGGATTATTTTAATCATAACTGGTGTTCATTTAATTCTAGATGGATTAAAGTTTTGCAGATTATATTAATTTATTCTCGTATTATTTTAGCACATTAAGATTAAATTAGAAATGCCAAAAAATATAGTTTAACTTTATGAAATGGGTTGAAAATACTTTCATTTCATGTCCTCTGGGGAGACTTAAAATTGTTGAAAATTTTGAAGCTGGAAAGAGCTATAGCTTTTTCTGGTTTTGAGATATTGAGGCTAATTTAATTTTAGTACACACACACATGTACGGACAATTTTCAGAAACACGTTTTTTGGACTCCTGAGGTCAAACTACATTGAAATATGTCAAAAAATCACAATTGAAAATTTTTACCAATACAACCATATTAAAAAAATAATAACAAAACATAAGAAAATTAATCAAAACTTCTGGTGATTTTGGGCAGTATTTCTTAAATACTTATTTACCTAATTTTATTAAATATTAAAGTTTTAAATATGAAATATTAAAATATGAAGTGTTAGATTTCTCAGAAATATCAAAGCCGTTCTATAAAATTATGTCAGAGAGGATGAAAAAATCACGAATCATCAGAGTCACAAAAAGGCATCAGAAAATCGAAAAAATAATCAAAATGTCTGATATTTTGTCATGATTCTTCATTATTTTTTTTAGTATGCAATCTTTTCTCTATTATGAGTAAGCATCAAGAATTTATTTAAATAAGTGATACAAACATTCTTATTTTTGTTACAGAATATTTAATTGGAGCTGTTTCACCTATTCGGGATTGTAGATAACTATCAAAGCTGCAGTAAAGTGTATTCGTACCAAATTCTTCAATACGCTGCCATGGATAGTTCAAATGATTATGATGATACTTCTGACTACAATGAGTTGTTTCTTGCAGTCCACAATGGAGAATTGGAACTTGTTCATTCTCTGCTCGAGAAATATTCGGCGACAGAAACGATACGCGGCAGGACGTTGCTGCATGTGGCGGCTGCAAGAGGACATGCAGAAATAGCAAAGACACTTTTAGGTAATGGAGCCACTATTGGGGTACAAGATATTAAGGGCAATACACCGCTTGATGTTTCATTGGCGAAAGGAAACGTTCAAATGGCCGAAATTCTTTTTCAACATGGTGCTGTTTTAAGTGACAACGATTTAACTAACATGGAACCTCTTCGTAACGCAGTTTCAAAAGGGAACTTTGAAATGGTAAAGCTACTCATGGCGAACAAATGTAACATAGTCGATGTTCCAAATGATGGCGACTATTTTCCCAAATCTTCTCTTAAACTTGCAGTGTCATCTGGTCGTTTGGACATTCTTGAATATCTCATAATGAATGGTGTAAAAAACAGCAAAACAGTTGAGGAAGATAAACTAGACTTATTTATAATAGTTATTTTCGAAGGCAGTTTGGATACTTTAAACTTTTTAGTCGATATTGGTATTAAAGTACAAAACTTAGATGACGTATTTAATACTACATTTAATTTGTGTCGTCATGACATGTGGAAGTATTTAGTAACAAGTTTGTCGAAAATTAGTGCAAAAACGTATTTTAAAGAAAGGCAGCTTCATTTTTCTATTCGAACGGGCCAAGTGGAGACTGTCAAGGCAATTGTGAATGAACCATCAAACGAATATGAATCGGACACTTTCGCCAGAAAATTAGCCGTTTACATTGCCGTTGAAAGTGGCAGTGAAGAAATATTAGAGATTCTTCTAAACGCTAATTATCCTGTTACTGACAGTCTGTTTAATTTTATAAGTCCCCTTCATCTCGCAGCAACATTCGAGCACCCGAGACTAGTGAAACTGCTATTGGACGCTGGAGCTGATGTTAATTTGCAAACTGAAGATTATCACCGTACACCATTACATTTCGCAGCAACTGCAGCGCAGCCAGCTGTAGTTAAATTTCTTTTAAAAAATGGTGCTGATCCCTCTATAACCTCTAAACGCGGTGAATCGCCGCTAGAAACGGCTTTGAAGGTTTATTCAGGCATAATTCATGTATTAATACCTGTTACTCCTTCAGTGTTTGATGGATTGGTAAAAGTGACGGAGATGTTAATTCAGTATTTGAATAGTGAAACCACTGAGGATTTATTTCACTATGCAGTTAAAATGAGAGTTTTATCAAGTATCAATAATTCAAAACCAAAGTCAGAAAGACTAATATCTGCTGTAAGTGATTTTGTATTTCGTCCTGAAATTGTTATATGCATATTTAATTATCTAAGTGAAGAGGAAGTTAAACATTTTTCTGAGACATTTTTATTTGAAGAAAGTGATTTATCTCATTACCCACCAGAGTTGTTTAAACTTTTTGTGGAATATAATATTGATTTGAAATCGTGTTTTGATATAGAATTATACACTAGCATTAAAAATATCAAGCACCAATTGCTCTTAATTGGTTACTCAAAAAACGTTCCTAATCTTTTAGACACAATTTCAAAAATTATTAATGATTACGATTACGATGGAGATTACTACAATGACGTAGAGAAAAAGAATATAATAGAAATATTAAAATTATTATTTTGTCGTTTAGTATTGTTAATTACAAAGTGTGATCGAATTGAGCTTGAGGAATGTGATTTAATTGATGTTATTGATTGGGTAGAGAAGTGTTTAAAGGAGAAAAGGGTCATGCAGAGGACGAAAGTTAATAAAAATTTAAATTTCACTTTCTATGACGTATTAACGAAATCAATGGATAAAGTTGTAGGGTACTCAAACAATGAAGATTTCCTCACTGCAATAAAATCTTCACAAATGAAATTTCCGATATATGCTGATTTTTTGAAGGCAAGTGTCGAAATAGCAGAAAGAAGAAGAAATTGCATCGATAAGAGCACGACGTTAATGTATCGTATGGTTAAAAAATGTTACAAAATTCAAATTTCTACTTCTGATATTCGTCACATGTTCAAGTATCTCTCTATTGTAGATTTGCAAAGATTTTCAGCCGCTTGTTCCTAAAATGTAATTTCATGACAAATAATGCAAAGATCAGTTTTGTTGAATAATTTAGGATGTATTTTCCGTCTATGTACGATGAAGAAATTTTTATTTAAGGATTTCTTTCCATCAATGTATTAAATTATAATTTAAATTTTACATATTAATAATTATTATCACATTAATATTTCAGAGTTCAAATTTATAGATGTATATTTGCGATTACATCGTGTTAACTATAAGCTTTGAGCCATTGTTTTGTACGTCGAAACATATAAACATTAACAAATTATACGCTTATTAAAAGTTTGTTTAAAATATTTTAAGTGATGTGACATTAAATAAAATATAAGCTTTTATTATTTTTAACCGCGTCAGTGAGGCTTTTATTCTCATAGAGAATACATGAGTTTATAATAATTATACATTTCATAAAAAATCTGAATAACCTTAAAATTGTTTTTAGATTTGAATTAATTAATCTATTTGTCAGTAATTCCTCTTTTCCCGTAATTTCAAATAGCTTTTAATTTTTAATATGTTTTAATTAAGGAGGAATGGTATACCTAATCGGGCCAAAAGTTTGTGACATTTAGGGGAATTTGTAATTTTGTTATTTAAGCTACATATAGCAGTTTTTCTTATTGAAATCATAAAAGTAAACATCAATGAATATTAAAAAGTATATATTAAATAGGGAAAAGATAATAAATTAATCAAATTAATTTTTTTTATAAAAGCAGAAAATAATTTTTGTAACTGTCTGTACGAATTTGAAACCTAAGAAAATAAAAGTTACTGAAATTCTCTCAAGATTATTTTCGGATTTATCGAGTGTTCCATTGCAAACTTTGAAAAAATGCTATTATTACGTATATATGTGTCTTATTATGCTGTAATATTAATGTTATTAATTATAAACATTGTCAAATAACAATTTGTAATGAGCGTTTAATCGTGACAACCTCGCAATGCAAATAGTTTGTTTTTTGATCGTTGGTAACAGTGTCAAGTGTTATGATTTGCATTTCTGTGGTTAAAAATAATGAAAATTTGTCATTTTTGGTACCTTTGGCGCCATCTCTTGGTTCTATGTACCACTAAACAGCTGTCACATGTGAGACTTTATATACAGTGTTGCCACGTTTTCTCTGTTTGTCTGTCATAAAATTAGTTTTCTTCCAGAAACTAATTAATTACTTTTAAACTAATTAGTGAATAAAAAAGAACCTTCGTGATTAATAAAGCTTAAATCTTGACCTTCAGGATAGAATTTTTACAAAAAATTCTGATTGTTTTAAGTATAAAATTTTTAATGATAAACATGCAAATTCGTGCTTTCTCCATAAGAGGTAATGTTAAATTAAATAATTTATAACTTGTAAACTATTTAGTGAAAAGTTCTGAAATTTGGTGGGTCATTTTATTATATAAAAGCAAATCATTTCCCAAAATATCAAAAGATTCTGAATGTTTTGAATTTCTATACCATTCCTCCTTAATTTGTATGTTTATAATCTGTATATGCGATAAAAGTGCTTTTTATACATACCAGAAAATCAAATCAAATTGATGAGAGTGAAAAGAACAACAATATCTACCTATCTCTTTTCCACTCATGATTTTCTGCTTTCGGTGGACGTATTCTGCTTACATGGGATCGCACCCTAAGGGGGTCCAAGGACCCTATTATTCTTTATAAATTTAATTAAGTGTATAACAATTAAATTTATTTGTATGGTTCAACATAGAATCGAATAATACTAAAATAATACATATTGTATGTATTATTCTATGTTGAAAGCACTATTGGAAATTAGATAACACGGTTTAGTGTTTTTATTTTAGAGCAATTCAATTTCAACTGTTGTTAAGGTTGTGAATACAATAATTATACTGCGTAAGTAAAATATATATAACTTAATTGGACTATTTTTGAATTTTTGATATTTTAGCTTTTGCATACATTTTTTTAGACTCTGTATGTTGAATAAAATTTAAGGACAATTAAAGGGCTACATAAAATAAGGGGACGAACGCGTGGTTGAAAGGGATAATATCAGTCAGGTAGCAGCGAGCGGCTCAAGGCCTGTCACTGCTACCCGACTGGTAGTATCCCTTCCAAGCCTCGCGTTCGTCCCCTTATTTTATGTAGCCCTTCAATTGAGAAAAAATTAAAAATATGTATAATTATAGAAAATAGAACTCTCATCATAAAAATGCTCATAAAAATGTGAATTTCCCCTTTTTAAAGAAAAACACATTTTCATTAGCACTAGTTTTATAATTGTTTCCAAATATATTGTAAATGTTGAATTAATTTTATTGAATCAAATAATTATTTCATTGTATCAAAAATAATTAATGAAAACTAATTTTTGTTTTATGCAATTAAACAGAAACTTTTAATATTATGGTAAAAATTATACAAACATAACCTGAAAAATGATTTTTTCTCTCTTAAATTTATTGTTGGTATATTTATTTTCAGCTTTGGCAAATCAGTTGATACCGGCGTTGGACACAAAAAATGAGCCGTGTTTATTCAAAGAGTGCCAGATTCTTTCCGAATGAATGCTGCATTTGCAGATCGAGAGAGAAATTAATAAGATGTGAATGCAACATGATTTCCTATTGTTCAGAGGATCATCGACAACAACACCAATCAACACACAAGGATTTTTGCAAAGTAGTAAAAGAATTGTTGAAAATAAAAAGAATAACACACATTCACGAAGAGCTTATTTTTTTAATTGGTTCTAAATGGACTACAAAAAAAGAAGAAATCCGATATGAAATCATCAAGAAACTGGGAAGAGGTTTAAGTCCACTGGAAACGGCAATGTGGAATCGGCCTCGAATTTGTTTCGTTTGTCACGAAACAAAACAAGTGGATTTAAATAATTGTCCACATTGTCCAGTAGCGACTTTTTGCAAGAAACATAAACATGATGAAATTCATGATCAAAATTGTAAAGTAATGAGCACATATTTAAATATACTAACAACGGCCAATGCATTAAATATTGATTTAGATTTTCTGTCGTCTACTTTTCCATTTGTTGGAGAGGGTTTAGTGTTTCGAGTAATTGATAATCTTACGCATACATTTAAATTAAAAGGAACGCAAATAACGAGTTCCAATTCTAAATTATCCAAAAGTAATCTGATACTTTTTACTGACATTGCTTCTAAAATTAATAGTGCTTTAAATACAATACACGACACGATTCCAGAAGAATTGACAATTCATATCGATGCCCTTTCCTCTAAACATGTAATTACAAAAGAAAATTATTGGGAGTTTCTCTTGCATCTCAATCCGCAGATAAGAAAGTTGAAAATTGTCATCATTCAAACAGAAAATCAGAACAATTCCAAGAAGTCTCTTTGCAAAACTTGTCATTCAGAGGGAAAAGAATTGATTATTGAACATTTGTCAAAATCCTACGAAGACTATATTCTAGATGGAAATTATCAAAAACCGGACCTTCTGTTTTACGTGAAAGTCGACGATGAAAGTAATTCCGAAATATTAAAAAAGTGCAGCGAATTTAGTTGTCCCATTGTGTTGCGATTTGAATCAAATTCGAATTTTTGTAAAACACAACATTTTCTCTTGTGTAAAACAGCAAAGTTTGGATTTATTTACGAGGGACAAATAAAAGCACCATTCAGTACATTATCCTCTATTGAAAACAAAGACTATTTTATAATTTTTCAATCGAAGGGAAACGAAGTACTTGAAAAATCTTGTGATACAGCTACTGGCGAAATCACCGAGAAAAATATTGGTACAACTTCAACTGAAATTCTTGTTGATAGAAACAGAAACAAGGAACAAAAAGTCGTAGATCGTGTGACAATTTCTCCATCGTCATCATCGAAACGTTCCTTTGCAACTATTTCCGAAGCCGAAGAAGAGAAGAATAAAAAATCAAAAACAGAAAATTGTAACAATTGTTCAAAGTCTATCGATAAGGAAAATTTTGATCCAAATGGCGACGAAGGAAAACTCGCCAAAGATAAAGTTAATTCTTCTCAATCGTATCTAATCGAACATATTTCGTATCTTAAAAAAGAAAACGAAGGCTTACGACAACAATTAGATTTATCAATTAGTGAGGTAACAAAATTTCAAACAAAATTTGAAAAAGTTTCTTTAGATTCGCACAAAAAAGATGAGTTTATAAAGAAAATGTTACGCGATATTGTGGGGGTCGACTTTGGTGCCACTACAATTAAAGACTCAGATTCATTGTGTGAAAACAACAACGTCTAATCCGTATTGAAAAAATGACTCCATTTTTATTTCTTTAAAAGGAATCTTCTAGTTTTTATATTTTTTTGAATTTAAAATTCAATTATTACTTTCTTATTTTACATCCCCGTTTACTGTTTCAGTGACTAGTTGGAAAAATATTGTTAAAAAAATGTGATGTATTATTTAATGAATACAATTAGTTTTACTTCGGTTTAAAAACTTGAATTAAATTTTAATTAAATTTAATTAAATTTTTATTTAACACTTCTGCATTAAAAATTCAATCACCTTATAATGTTTTTGTATTTCTTTTTTATATTTAAACTAAAATTGTATTTTTATAAAAAATATTTAAATATTATAACTGTCATTACAGTTCCAATAAATTTTTATAAAGAATCAATGTATTTTTCTTTTTTTAGAATTTATTAAAATTGTGATAAAATTTCTCTGCATCATAAAGAAATTCATATTTTTTGAAGGGTCCTTGGACCCTAAATATTGTTACCTTATTCTTTATAACTAAAGACCATATTAAAATAATGGAGCACTCACAGCTCTGCCTGCCTGCGCAGGCAGTAATTGGAGTAAGAGAGAAAGTCAATTAGAGTGAAAGAGACAGTAAATTCAAATTTGTATTGCTGCCTACTAGCTGTGAGTGCGCCTTAAGAGTTATGGTTATCTCAATTTGTCTAACAATTCTATGTTTGCAAAAAAACTTTAATGTTGGATTTTTCGGTTTCTTCTCTATTGTTGTTAATTTTTATTGTTAAATGTTAATTGAACGTTTAAACCTGTAAGTAAAATATGAGTAAACTTTTCTGTTCTATATTTTCACATTTCTTGAAAATTCCGTTGTTTGTCTATATAGAAAATTCATAAATTTAGTTTATCAATTAAAAAAATACAGATTTTCTGAAGTGACATTTATATTAATTTTCAATAACGTATAAATAAATATTATTCCAGAGGGACCTTGACAAAAGTTTATTTTCGTTTTATAAGTTTCTGAATTTATACAAAATACAAAACTTAGCTGCGGATATTATGACTTTTTCGACTATATTTTCAAAAAAAAAAAAATTTTTTTCGATTTATTTTAAAAAATTGTGACTTTTTCTACTTTTTTTTTTACAATAATTGCAACAAAATACCATATTTTTAGTATAATTTGCAACTTATTTCGATTTTTCTAATTAAATTTTCGAAATAATATACAATTAAAACGATTTTGTAAAATTTGATTGAAAACAATTGATTTTTTTCGAGTATTTAAATAAAATTTTTGAAAATCAAATTTTGAAGAATTTTAATTGCAAAATTTGAAAATAATTGAATTCTAAAAAATTGTAATAAAAATAAATTTAAGTGTAATATATTGTCAATATTGCAATGTTATTGTCATTATTTCTACTACATTATTCTTCTAAACTGTATAATTACTTTTTATAAATAATTAAAGACGAAACAAAAACTAATTGCACACAAAATTTAAATTTTTTGATACGTAGGTTATGTTTGTAATTTTTTGTATGAAATTACACAAAGGGGATTAACTCTCAATACAAATAATTAATATTAAAATCTTCATGACAATCAAAATAATTAATAAAAGTTAAATTTGGTATTTAAAAAATTAAATAAAAACGTTTAATTGAGGTAAAAATAACACAAATATAACCTTACAGCGATTTTTTTCTAAGGTAATTTTCTTCGGAGCGTATCATAAATAATCTCACAAATTTTAACTTAAATTTAAATTATTTAAAAAATTAAATATTAGTAATTAACTTGAAAGATTTCTGTTATAAGTATAGCTAAAGATATATCAAAACAATTTTAATTTTGGAACTGGAATTTTTTTAAAAATGGTCTGGAAAACTTGGATGTCATGGAATTTTAAAAATCTGTATTTTGTGGCAATTCTACTGAAACTATTTCTGACTTTATAATTTTTTATTTTCATATACCTAATATAATTAAGAACTTTGGTAATAAATTAATAATAAATAATAAGAAAGAACAATTTTTCTTCTTAAATTTACTGTTGTTATTTATTTTCAGATTTCGAAAAATTAGTTGACTTACCGTTTAATCCATAAAAGATGCCTATTTATTCGAAGAGTGCCAGATGCTTTCCGAATGAATGCTACATTTGCAAATCGAGAGGAAATTTAATAAGATGTGAATGCAGCACAATTTCCTACTGTTCCGAAGATCATCGACAACAACACCTATCAACACACGAGGATTTTTGCAATGTAGTAAAAGAATTGTTGAAAATAAGAAAAGTCACTCATATTTATGAAGAGCTTATTTATATATTTGATCTCGAATGGGATACAAAAAGAGAAGAAATCCGGAATGAAATCATAAAGAAACTGGGAAGAACTTTCAGTCCACTGGAATTTGTAATGTTGCAATGTCCACGAATTTGTTTCGTTTGTCACAAAACAAAACAAGAGGACTTAATTGATTGCCCACATTGCCCAATAGCGAGCTTTTGCAAGAAGCATAAAAAAAGTCAATTTCATGATCAGAATTGTAAAGTAATGAGCACATATTTGAAAATATTAACAACTGCTGATGAATTAAATACTAATTTAGATTTTCTATCCTTTTTCTTTCCATTTATCGAAGAGAAAACTATATTTATGGGTATAGACGCTCTTGCACAGATATACGATTTTAATGACAGGGACGAAGATAGTTTAGAATCGAGATTAACAAAAATGAATCTCATTGATTTTATTGACGTTTCTTCAAAAATTCACAATGCTTTACAAGAAATACACGAAACGATTCCAGAGGAATTGACAATTCACATCGATGCCCTTTCTTATGAACACTCAATCACAAAAGAAAATTATTGGGAATTTCTCTTGCATCTCAATCCGCAGATGAAAAAGTTAAAAATTGTCATCACTGCAATTCAAAATCGGGACAATTTAGAGACGTCTCTTTGTGAAAATTGCATTTCGAACGAAAAAGAACTAACTGTTGAATATTTGTCAAAATCTTACGACGATTACATGCTGGATGAAAATTATCAAAAACCGAACCTTCTGTTTCACGTGAAAATCGTCAATGAATGTAATTCCGAAAGATTAAACAACTGGAGTAAACTTGATTTTCCCATTATGTTGCGATTTGAATCAAATTTAAATTTTTGTAAAACACAACATTTTCTCTCGTTTTCAAGAGTAAAGTTTCGATTTATTTATGCAGGTCAAATAAGAGCACCATTCACTACATTATCCTCAATTAAAAATAAAGACTTCTTTATAATTTTGCAATCAAAGGAGAACAAAGTGCTTGAAAAATCTAGTGTTGCAGTAACGGACGAAATCTGCGTGGAAAAAAATGGGACAATCACGACTGAAACTGTTTTAGTTAAAAATATTGATTCCATTCTAAACTGTGCTGAAAATATAATTACAGATAATGTAGAAGACGCTTCGAAAATTACTCCGTTGGAAGTTCATACGTCAAATGATGAACAAATAAAGGAACAAGAATCCGAGGATAAAACACTTTCTCCATCGTCATCATCAGTTTGTTCTTTTGTAATTATTTCAGAACCCGGAGCAGAGGAGAAAGAAAGAAAAGAAGAGGAAGTCGAAAAAAACACTGCGATTGAGAATTCCAAACCTGAAGAAAATGATAATTGTTCAAAATCAATTCACAACGAAGCTTCAGATACAGAAGACGTCGAACAGAAGAGTGACGAAAAAAATAATGTGGAAATAGAAAAGCGCGAAGCAGAAGAAAAAAATGAGAAACAACTTTGTGCCAATTTGGAAAATGTCGAAAATTCTCAAAATAGTCTTTCGCAATCGTTTCTAATCGATCACATTTCATATCTTAATAATGAAATCGATGAGTTACGAAAACGATTAAATGCATCTGTCGAGGAGGTGGCAAGACAACAAATAAAATATGAACAAGTTCTTTCAACTCAACTTCGTTTAGACAAAGAGAATAAATTAATGAGGAAAGTTTTATGTGATATTGTGAATACAACTGCTGATATTGATTCAGTACTTAAGAATAAGTCTTAAAATCACCAAATAGATAAATACTTTTTTGTTATTTTTATTAAAAAGAATATTCATACATTCGTTTTGTCTTGAATTTAAAATTCAATTATTATTTTCTACTTATATTTATATTTAACTGATTTTATAATTTCAAAAACTGTTAAAACAATCTAATTGTCATTATATTTCGAATACAATGTTGTTGTAAATTTGCATTTACTTCTAATTTAATTTTGTACTAAAGTGTCATTATTTTTGATAAATAATTAAAGAAGCAATGTTTATAGAAAACCTAGAAAACAAATGTTTATTGTCATCCAAAGAAAAGTTCCCTTCTTCCAAAATTGTAATACTTCGAAATTTTCCTTGACGTATCTCAAAATTAAATCTTAAAATATTACTATACTGTCTTAAATCTTTACAATTATTTGTCTTTGTTTTCAGTGAAAGCGAATTTAAAGATTCTGAAAATAAATAAAAATTGAGTTAAAAAATGAATACTTTGTTATTATAATAAAATTGTCAAGTAATTTTTAAGTTTCATTTGAATTTAGTGAAGGACTAGAGACTGCAAATGAAAATTATAGAAACTATTTTTATTTATTTATATTATTAGTTAATTGGTTTAATAATTAATTTGTGACGCGCCCCCAAAAAACGAATTATAGTTTAATTTGACTTTTTGTTTGTTATACTATAGATATTATTATTTATAAACTCATGTATTCTCTATGAGTATAAAGGTCTCACTGAGAGTTAAAAAAGAAAAAAGCGTATTTTTTATTTTTCACATTACTAAAATATTTTAAACACACTTTTAATAAGCGTTTAATTTGTTAATCATAATGAGCCGACGTATAAAATACTGATTTAAAGCTTCAAGCTTAGTTAACGATGTAATCGCAATATACATATTATACATCTATAAATTTGAACTCTTCATAAATAATGTAGTAATGTTAATAATAATTATTATTAAAGATTAAACTACTTTTCAACACCTTTATGGAAATAAATCTTTAAATGAAAATTTCTTCATCACAGAACAAAAAATACATAACAAATTATTCAACAAAACTGATTTTTGCGTTACTTGTCATAAAATTACGTTTTAGGAACAAGCGGCTGCAAATTTTCGCAAATCTACAATAGAGAGATACTGGAGAATGTGACGAATATCAGAATTAGAAATTCGAATTTTGTAGCATTTTTCAACTAAACGATACATTAATGTCGTGCACTCATTGATGAAATTTCTTCTTCTTTCGGCCATTTCGACGTTTGTCTTCAAAAAATCAGCATATGCAGGAAATTTTATTTGTGAAGATTTTATTCCAATGAGAAAATCATCGTTATTTGCGTACATAGCAACATTATCAATTGATTTCGTTAATACATCATAGAAAGTGAAATTTAAATTTTTATTAACTTTCGACTTTTGCATGACTCTTTTCTCCTTTAAACACTTCTTTCGCCAATCAATAAGATCATCAATTAATTCATGTTCTTCACAATCAGTTAGATTACAATCTTTGTCCAACAATACTAAACGACATACTAATAATTTTAATAAATCTATTTTAATCTTCTTCTCTACGTCATTGTCGTCATCTTCATCGCAAGAATCAATAATTTCCGTAATTGTATCTGAAAGATTACGAACGTTTTTCGAGTAACTAATTAAGAGCAATTGGCACTTGTTATTTTTATTCCAAGTGTTTATTTCTATATCAAAACATGATTTCGAATCATTATATTCCATCATAAGTTGTAACAACTCTGGCGGGTAATGAGATGAACCACTTTCTTCTAGTAAAAATGTCTCGGAAAAATCTTTAACTTCCTCTTCACTTAGATAATTAGTTATGCATCTAATAATTTCAGGTCGAAATATAAAATCACCTACAGTCGATATTAGTTCTCTTGAGACTGGCTTTGAGTTATTGATACTTGATGAAACTCTTATTCCAACTGCATGTGCAAATAATCTTTCATTAGTTTCACTATTCAAATACTGAATTAACATATCCGTCACTTTTACCAATCCATCAAACACTAAAGGAGTTACAGGTATGGGATAATACGAGCCTGAATGAACCTCTAAAGCCGCTTTCAACGGTGATTCATTAAATTTAGATGTTATAGAGGGATCAGCACCATGATTTAGAAGAAATTTAACTACAGCTGGCTGCGCTGACATTGCTGCGAAATGCAGTGGTGTAAGGCGATAATCTTCAGTTCGTAAATTAACATCAGCTCCAGCCTTCAAGAACAGTTTCACTAGTCTCGGGTGCTCGAATGTTGCTGCAAGGTGAAGAGGACTTATACATTTAAACAGACTGCCAGTGACAGGATAACGAGCGTTTAGAAGAATTTCTAATATTTCTTCACTGCCATTTTCAACGGCAATGTAAACGGCTAATTTTTTGGCGAAAGTGTTCGATTCATATGCGTTTGATGGTTCATTTACCATTGCTTTGACAGTCTCCACTTGGCCCGTTCGAATAGAAAAATGAAGCTGCTTTTCTTTAAAATACGTCTTTGCACTAAGTTTCGACAACTTTGTCACTAAATATTTCCACATGTCATGACGACACGAATTAAATGTATCATTAAATACGTCATCTAAGTTTTTTACTTTAATACCAATATCGACTAAACATTCTAAAGTATCCAAACTGCCTTGGTGAATAAGTGATCTAAATAAGCATAGTTTATCTTCCTTAACTGTTGCGATGCTTTTTACACCATTCTTCACGAGATATTTAAGAATGTCCAAACGACCAGATGACACTGCAAGTTTAAGAGAAGATTTGGGAAAAAAGTCACTATCATCATTTGGAATATCGACTTTGTTACATCCTTTCGCCATGAGCAACTTTACCATTTCAAAATTTCCTTTCTCAACTGCGTTACGAAGAGGTCTCATATTTGTTAAATCGTTCTCACTTAAAACCGCACCATGTTTAAAAAGAAGTTCTGCTACCTGAACGTTTCCTTTCGCCAATGCAACATCAAGTGGCGTTTTTCCCTTACTATCTTTCACTCCAATAGAAGCGTCATTGACTATAAGTGTCTTTGCGAATTCAGGACGATTATACAAAGCTGCATAGTGAAGTGGTCTTTCATCCTTGAGATTTCTTGCGTTCAAGTTACTATCTTCTAAAAGAAGATTGAATGCCTCAGGCTGGTTTTCGCTTATCGCCAAATGCAGCAGTGTATTACCATCTCCGTCTCGCTTTGTGATGAACATTTTTGCAATCTCTAAATGTCCCCTTGCAATCGCCACATGCAACAATGTCCTGCCGCGTATCGTTTCTGTCGCCGAATATTTCTCGAGCAGAGAATGGACAAGTTCCAATTCTCCATTGTGGACTGCAAGAAACAACTCATTGTAGTCAGAAGTATCGCCGTAACCATTTGAACTAGCCATGGCACCGAATTGAAGAATTAGATCCAAGTACACTATACTGAAGCTTTGATAGTGATCTACACTCCCGAATAGGAGAAACAGCTCCAATTAAATATTCTGTAACAAAAATAAGAAAGTTTGTATCACTTATTTAAATAAATCCTCTTTGCTTCCTTAAAGAGGAAGGGTTCAGTACTAAAAAGATAATGAGGAATCTGATAATTCATAAATTTTGTCATTTTGTCTGACATAATTTTATAGAATGGCTTTGATTCTTTTTAAAACTCTGGCACTTCATATTTTAATATTTAATATTTAATAAAAGTAAATAAGTATTTAAGAAATACTGTCCAAAATCACAAGAAATTCTAATTGAAGGGTTTTGTGCAGAAACAGCATAAGTCCATAATTCGAAATTGTTCAGGAATCAATAAAAACTGTTTTTCTCGTAAATGTTAAGATTTTTTTTAAATCGGCTTTTTGCATTATATTCTACTATAACCTATAAGTTAAAAAATCCAATATGATTAATTAATTATCTACTTAATATAAAAAATTAAAAAATAAATTAACATTTGGACTTATGCTGTTTCTGCACAAAATGAAATGAAAAACACCGAAAATTTATTAAATCCAGTGAAATATCAAAGTTTTATGAAATATTTAATAACATTTATTTAAAATATGAAATTTGGATAATTTTTAGTAATATTTTATAAATAATAAAATTGTTTTAAGAATAAATTCAACCAATTTTCAATATTTTCTAATTTTAAAATAATTCAGTCACCACTGTCACTTTTTGCTTCCCATGAGTTTTTTTATTTATTATAATATAAGCTGTTTAATATAAATTATTAAAATACGTCAAGAATATCACAAATAAATATAAAACTTATCATGGACTTGTGCTGTTTCTGCACAAAATGATATTTTAATTATTTTTTTTAAGGGTTTAGTGTTTAGTCACTTATGTAATATTTTACCAGATTGAAAAGCTTCATTTAAAGATAAATTTTCAATAAAAAAGTGATTTTCGAAAAAAATGGACTTATGCGGTTTCTGACAAAACGCTTCAATTGCTTTTCCGATGTTTATTATTTTTTTCAATTGTGGTTTTTTGACATATTTCGAAATAATATAAGTTAGTTAGCAATTAACTTACTAACTAACTAACAATCTAACTACCAATCTAACTAACTAACTTAGTTAGGTACTAACTTACTAATTTAGTGAGTTAGTTATTAAATTAATAAGATAGTAATGGCTGTTAGTTAGGTAGTTGGTAATTGTTGACTTGGTTTGAATTTGCAGTAAAATTTCATGCATAGTAAAAATAACATCAATATGATTTTGTTCAATTTGTATGGTGTTAATCTAATCTGCGTGTATCTTTTGAGTTTCTATTCTAACGTTTTTCGCTATTGCAGTCGAAAATATTAAACTTCTAAAAATCTGAAACTTTAAAAAATAAGATTTATGTAGAACTTTAAAATATATACTAAATGAATTTATTTAATATGCAATTATAAATGGGGGACTTGAAGCAAAGTATTAAAATATTAAAATCGCGTGAATAAATGATAAAACTAAAAATACTGTATTATTTGATAAAGTATTTCATAAAACGCATTATTACTTACAGGTTCTCATAAGTGAATATAAAAATAAAGGCCTCACTGAGGGATGAAAAAGCTGATTTTTTATTCAATGTCGCATTATTAAAATATTTTAAACAAACTTTTAAAAAGCGTTCAATTTGTTAATGTTAATGTGCTGACGTACAAAACATTGTTTTAAAGCGCAATGCTTACTCTCTAAAACTGAATCAGTGAAAATTCACTTATTGAAAGTGAATATTCACTTATTTCAAACGTTGTAAGTCGTCCTCTCTGAATTAGTGAATATTCACACATTACATGAGTGAAAAACAGTTCACTTATAAAATAAGTGCAAGATTCACTTCTAAATAAGTGAACTGTTTTATGTAGAAAAATTAGCAATCCTGTAACACAAATAATGACAATATTGTTTCAAAACAATAAACTGTATATCTGTAAACTCTTTATAAATTTTTCAATATAACATATAATATAAAATATGGAAACTGTGGAGCTAACAATGTTACATTTACTAGTCAAAAAGTATAAAATAAAAGTTTTTTTAAAGAAAGCATAAAATATAACCTCAAACTTATAGAGACATGAAAAACTGTGTATACGTAGACATTTACAGATGAAATATCCTTATCATTTAATTAAATTGTAGGTGCAAATAATTTATATTTTTTTAATAGTATACTTATACTAATATAAAAATGTTTATAATTACGTATATTTATTCATTCGAAAACCGGTAAACTTTTCGACGCACAGACGCTCAGAATGACGCAATGTGAAACAACGACGCCAAGTGACACTGACAAACGAATAAGTGAAAAAATCACTTATTTATGAGTGAAAAATCAATTTAACTTATTAAATGTAAAAATTTCACTTATTGATGAGTAACAAATAAATTTAACATATTATATGTGAAAATTTAACTTATTTATAAGTGAGAAATTCGTCCACTTACGAAAAAAGTGAAATTTTCACTGATTCAGTTTTAGAGAGATAGTTTACCGTGTAATCTCATTATACAGCTATAAATTTAAACTCTAAAATTAACGTGATATTAGGTAATAATTATTTATAAAATTTAAATCATATTCTATAACATTGATGAGAAGAAATCCTTAAATGAAAATTTCTTCATCGTAGAAGGAAAATTCACAACAAATTATACATAAAAACTGATCTTTGTCTTAAATGTATTAAAATTACATTTTAGAAAAAAGCTGCTGAAAATCTTCTCAAATCTACAATTGACAAATATTTGAAAATTCCATTGATTTCAGCTGTAGAAATTCGAACTCTATGGCAGTTTTGAACCAAATTTAACATTAAACTAACACAATCGTTGATGAAATGTCTTCTTCTTTCTGCTATTTCGGCATTTACCTTCAAAAAATCAGCATATATCGGAAATTTTTTATCTGAAGATTCGATTGCTTTTAAAAAGTCACAGTTGCTCGCGTACATTGCAACTTCATTTGTTGATTTCGTTAATACATCATAGAAAGTAACGATCATATTTTCATTAATTTTCGTGTTTTTCATGTCCACCTCCTCTTTCAAGCACTTGTCTCGCCAATCATTAAGATCATTCTCTAAACAAAATTCAATAAAAGGTAGATAACAATTAGTAGCCAACAAAACTAATCGTGAGACTATCAACTTTAAAAAAACTATTTGACCATCTATTTCGGACTCTTTGTAAATATTACCATCTTTATACCAGATAATGTGCTTTGCAGTATATAAAAGATTATCAATGTTTCTAGAGTAACTAGTTAGGAGCACTTGGCACTTGTACTTATTCTCAACATCATCTATTCTGATATGAAAACACCAGTTGAAATCATTATATTCCATCAGAAGGTGAAACAATTCCGGTGTCTGTTCTACTGGAAACGACTTATTTACCACTATTTCAGAAATATATTCAACTAATTCATCACTTAGATAATTAAATAGGCATCTAATGATTTCAGGACGAAATTCAGAATCACGTGGGTCCGATATTATTTCCTTTGATTCCAGATTTGAATTATTGTTATTTGCAACTCTTATTCTTACTGCATATGGAAGTAGGCCTTTACCATCTTCAGTTTTTGAACACCGAATTAGCGTCTCCGTCACTTTTACCAAACTCTCAAAAACTAATGGAGAAATTGGTTTGAAAGAAACTATGGACGAATATAACTTCAAAGCCGCTTGCAACGGTGATTCACTGGATTTAGAGGGTTTAGAGGGATCAGCACCATTTTCAAGGAGGAATTTCACTACTGCTGGCTGCGCTGCACATGCTGCGAAATATAATGGAGTGAGACCATCTTCAGTTTGTAAATTAACATCAGCTCCAGCTTCCAATAGCAGTTTCACTAGTCTCGGGTGTTCGAATGTTGCTGCAACGTGTAAAGGACTTGTTTTCTTAAATAAACTATCGACAGGATAATGAGCATTCAAAAGAATTTCTAGTATTTCACCATTGCCACTTTCAGCAGCAATGTAAACAGCCAATTGTCTATCGAAAGCGTTCAATTTATATTTATTTCTTGGTTCGTTTACGATTGTTGTAACAGATTCCACTTGGCCCATTCGAATAGAAAAATGAATCTGCTTCTCTTTAAAATAGGTTTTTGCATTAATTTTCGAGAAACATTTTAATAAATACTGCCACACGTCATAGATATTTATATACATTGAAGTATAAAATACAGAATCTGCAGCTTTCGTCTTAAAACCAAGATCGACTAAATATTTTAATGTAGCCAAACTACCGTAGCCCGAAGCAATTGCTGTAAATAAGTGTAATTTATCCTGATTAACTGTTGCGCTGCTTTTTACCCCATTCATTATGAGATATTCTAGAATGTCCAAACGATCGGACGATACTGCGAATTTAAGAGAAGATTCAATATAACTGGCATCATCTTTTGGAACATCGACTTTGTTACATCCATTCGCCATGAGCAGCTTTACCAATTCAAAATTTCCTTTCCTAACTGCGGAACGAAGAGGTCCCATGTATTTCAAATCGTAGTCACTTATAACAGCACCATGTTTAAACAAAACTTCTGCTACTTTAACGTTTTCTACCTCCAAGGCGACATCAAGTGGCGTTCGTGAACAAAGGTCGATAACGTTAACAATGGCGCCATTATCTATAAGTGTCTTTGCGAATTCAGGGCGGTTATGCAAAGCTGCATAGTGAAGTGATGTTTCACCATTTTGATTTCTTGCGTTCAGGTTACTCTCCTCTAAAAGAAGATTGAATGCCTCAGGCTGGTTTTCCCTTATCGCCAAATGCAGAGGTGTATCTCTAATTCTGTCTCCAGAAGTGTCGTTGCAATCATTTGCAAGATCCATGGTAACAAATAGAAGATTAAGATTCGAAGATAGTTTACTGTCACTTTGGCTGTGATTTGCAATCTCAAATAGGAAGCACTGCTCCACTTAAATATTCTATAACAAAAATTTGGAAACTGTAACCTCAATGTACCCAAAAATGTAAAAACATGAAATTTAGGGTTTAAGGTGGTGAAAAAGTTTGGATAACAGAGGTTCAGATAATTGAGGTACAACTGCATAGTAATTATATTTTAGAAAAAAATAACTTTTCCCATTGGCTTTTCTAAATGTTATAATTCTCACATTATTAATGAGGTACGTTCATCATTAACATCTGCATTTGCTTTAGTTATTGAAGGTAGGTATGATATTTTTGTGTTAATAACTTGTCACTATTTTATTTACATTTTTTATTTATTACAAAATATCAATTTATTGGTGAAAATTTTGATATTAAAATAGTGAATTATAAAACAATAATCATTTTATAAATTATCCTTCATTACACAGGCACAAAAAAAATAAAAGTTGAAAAATAAAATACATGTCTTATAGTATTTTTGCTCGCTGAAAACAAATATGAAGTCAGAAGTGCTCCATGACCCTGTTTTTTCTAAATCGAAAAAACTATCCTTATATAGGTATAAAAATTCAAAGTTTAGAGTAAAAAATTGAAATAAAAGATTTTTTTTCAAAGTCGAACAATATATTTATATATACTTCTCTTACAACTGAAAAACACCAGAATTTTATGTTAAAATTAAAGAAGAATATTCTTAAGAGAGTGAAAATTAGACTACAAATTATATATTAAATAAAAATTTAAACGTCATTTTTCTTTATAATAATATCCTAATTTAAAAATATTTTGTAAATTGATCTCAAACATACAGTATAGAGACCACATTATCTATTTCCATATTGAATGCACGCGCTTTAATTATGGCGCGCAACATAACCTCTAATTACACGTTATTGTCGACGCTGTAATTTCATAATTTGACGCTTTTGATATATTTTTTATTGCTTTAATTTGTTTAAATAATTAATTTTTATAAAGTTTTTATTGTTTTATTATCTAAATAGCACGAGCTTTTAGTTTAATAAGTTTTAAATTTATACAAGACTAATTTCGTCTTTCAACTTTCAGTTTTCAATTTCTTTCAAGAGAATCATCTGTTTACATTTATACCTATTTGTTGTAATTCTTAGCCAAAATTGTAGAATTTTAATTTTAATAAGTTGATATCATCTTAATTCTTTATAATTAAATTTAATTCTAAATATTTATTCACATGCATTTAAAATGTGTTGTGTAAAAATGTCAAAAAAATACTACGGATCAAGTTTTTGTGACATTTTAACATTACTTATTTATTATCAAAATCTATTTAAAGAAACTGAGATATAAATTATAAATATATAAAAACTGAGATATATTTATTATATAATAAATACATAATTAAATTAGTTTCTATTAAAAATACTAACCATGATTAATGCAACATATCAACATATCAACATATCGCTTTTATAAACTCGACGATTTTCCGTGACGAAACATTAAACGAATGATGGCATTTTACAATGTTTGGATTACAGAAACCAAGACTTTTTAAATTGTACTTATTTTATATAAGTATCTAATTACAATTTATATCATTTGAATTGTAAATCAAGAGGCAGTTGAAAACATGAAAACATTTAAATAACCATTTATAACCAGAAATGTATAAACCGCAATAGAATGGAAACTTCAGCTTCTTCTTCTTCTTCTTCTTCTTAGCCATAGAGTGTGTAAAACACTATATGGTGACGTTGGCAACGTACTAGCCATTTAAGGCTTTGTACATACAGCCATGATCTGTGTCCAGGGATGGGTATGCAACTGTCTGAAACAAATTTAAAAAAAAAAAAAAAAAAAAAAAAAAAAAAAAAAAAAAAAAAAAACGCGCTTCATCTCGCTTGCGGTGCGCTCCGCAATCGCGATATGTTGTCCATCTCCCCCAGGCAGGATAGGCCAGGGGGAGAGAGACAACACAATTCGGACACAGGCGAACCTCGGAGATTCGTAAGCGGGAAAATAGATAATAATATTATATAAGGAAAAATATAAAATAAATAAGTAAGGCAACAAACGATATGAATAAATCATAGGCAGAATTAAATTTTTAAATTGCAGAGTTTAAGAAATCTAAAAATGGGCGAGACAATTCTAGTAGTAGGGTTTGTTAGAAATTGAGTACTGCAAAAAGGGGGAGGACAGTTTAGAGCTTTTGAGAATGACTTTATTAAAGAGGTACGATGAGTATTGAATTTAGGGCAAGCCCAGAGGACATGGTCCAAGTCTTGAACAATTTCAGGGTTGCAGGAACATCCCGGTGAGGCGACCAAGTTTTTTCGGAACATGCTCTCGTTTAAGGAGTAATGGTTGCTCCTCATCCTACAGATGGAAACTATCCATTCTCTGCGTTCGACAAATGAGTGAAACCAAGGTTTTTTTCGGCATTGGTAGAATTTCTGTGTGTATAAGATACCTTTAATTTCGCCAACTGCTCTGAAAAATTCGTCGCAATTGATTTTTAATTCTAGGCGCGGTTGGCTGTAAAAATCCGAGAAAGGGAGGTCGATGTTAAGAAAGGTACCATTTAATGCCGCCTCTTTGGCTGTTTGGTCCGCTAACTCGTTTCCCTCAACTCCCGCATGACCAGGTGTCCAAACTAAGTGCACCTCGCGATTGAGTTTAGAGAGTGTAAAAAGTCTATTTCTGATTAGAAAGACAAGGGCGTTTTTAATGTTAGCAGGGTTTTCAGAGGCAATACTGTGCAAAACACTTTGTGAATCTGAGAAGATAACAGATTTTGGGTAATCCTGGGAGAGAATGTAATCTAAGCAATACAGTATAGCAATGGCTTCGATAGAAAAAATGGATGCCAGATTAGGTAATTTCCAAGAATGTAAAATATTATGTGAGGTACAAACAAAGGAGCATCCAGCTGTAGCTTCCGATTCAGTTTTGGAACCATCCGTAAAGAAGAATGCAAAATTATTAAATTTATGACGGGTTAGATCGTTGAAAATTGCGTTTGGAGCCGGGTTTATTTTTACTGTATTTCCTATTTTGAAATCAACTTCAGGAATAAAGAGGTGGTCCTCATAAGGGAACTCGAAATAAGGATGTAGAAATGATTGGCGGATTTGAGATTTGAAATTTAAGACTTTTTCGTAAGCGATGATTAGAATAAAGGTATTTTTGATTTGGTAGGTGTTTTTTTGTTGGGTGGAAATCCATAGAGCTCTAAGATTGTTGGGAAGAGGGTGGGTAAGGTTTGAAAAGGTCTTAATTAAATATCTTTTGGCTAGATAACAGAATCTTTTTCTTAAGGGGGGTTCACAGGTTTCGGCTAACATGACATTTATGGGAGTGCTCCTCCTATAGCCTAAGGCAAGTCTGAGAGCCTGATTACGGATTTTTTCGAGTTTGTCAAAATATTTATGGCGTTGGAAAGTGTAGGTATGAGAACCATATTCATATAAGCTTCTAATCATTGAACGAAAAACCTTCAAAAGAATATCAGGATCAGCACCCCACCAGACGCCTCTGAGCACCTTGAGTATATTGAGTACTTTTCTAGATTTATCCGCTAAGTATTTGAAGTGATCGTCAAAATTAAATTTAGTATCTAGATTTAGGCCTAGAAATTTAACTGAGTTTGATGGAAATATCATTGTATTATTTATACTAATAGTCAAATTCGGGTTGTCTGTGTCCAGTCTAAGTCTGTTAAACAAGACTAATTTAGTTTTATCAGGGCATAGCTCGAGGTTTCTGTCAGATAAGAAAATTGAGATTATATTTAGGCAATTTTGAAGAATGGCGATACATTCTGTTGCGTCGTTGGATCTGCAAAGTATTGCAATATCATCCGCGAATTCAATTAAAATGCAATCATCAGGTATGATGGATGATAGTTTTCTGGTATATATGGAGTAATTAACAGGACTGAGGACACTTCCTTGAGGAAGGCCTACAGTGTTAATTCTGGGTCCAATAAATTCGCCATTTATTTTAAAAAAGAGTTTTTTATATGCAACAGAATTGTAGATAAATTTAGTTATCGATTTTGGGATACCTAATTCTCTGAGATCTTCAGCCAAAATACTCGGCATGACGCTTGGAAAGGCTCCTTTCAAATCTAGGAATAAGCCAGCCGTTATCTGACGGTTGGCAAAACCGGTCCACACCTCCGTCGCTAAGATCGCTAGGTTGTCCGCACATGATCTGCCCTTCCTGAAACCGAATTGGGTGGAAGACAACATAAGGTTGTGTTCTAAATGCCAATTAAGTCTCGACTGGATTAATTTTTCCATTAGTTTGAATAAACACGAAGCTAATGAAATTGGTCTGAATTTTCCTGGAGAGGATTTAGGAATAAAAAGGATCAGAAATTCATTCCAAGACGGTGGAAATGAAAATGTTGTGAGAATTGAATTAAAAATGTCCAAAAGGGCGGATCTTGCCTTTGGAGGAAAATGTTGGATAACGTTATTATCGATTTTGTCAAGGCCTGGAGAAGATTTGAGTTTTAAGGAGGTAATCGCAACTCTGAGCTCTTCTTCAGAGAATGGGTGATCAAGAAATTCGTTGGATCTGAAGACATTGGGAAATTGCTCACGAAACACAGTGGGCGGACAAGACTCATCGATTAGGCCGTGAAGCTTCGCCACCACCTCCCTATCAGCTGAGCAGGAAGCTGTAGCTGGTTGAGTATAACGATTTTTAAAAGACTTAATAGTTCTCCATATTCTAGAGATTGGAGTACGTCTATCGAGGGAGTCACAGAATGTTCTAAAGGAGTCTCTTCTGGCTTTGTTGAATGTCTTTTTTGCGCAGGCTTCCGTTTTTTTTAAAATGATGTAATTCTCCATGTTAGAGACTCTCCTGTAGGTTTTTAGCGCTTTTTTCCTTTCAGAGACAGCCGAGTCGCAAGTCTCGTTCCACCAGGGAGTGGGAATGACAGGTCTTCTTGGATGATTGGTGTTGAAGTTATGAACTCTATTTTTGGGCTGAGGACAGGCCAATTTTATCGCCTCATCCACGCCTGTGACAAAGAGGCTGTAATTATCTAGAACATTCGGGTGGGGAGAGTTAGAATTGAGACTAGAGTCTTCGATAAATTTAGTTAGATTAGAAGAGAAAGTAGGCCAAGAAATGTTTTTGAGTTTGTATTTGTGAGAAGAGAACGTTGAAATCGGTACTGTCACACCTAGACTGATGATGACTGGAAAGTGGTCACTTCCCAGTGTGTCGTCCCATGTATCCCATGTAGCAGCCAGAGAAAGGTGAGGTGAAACAAATGTGAGATCCAAAACGGAATTGGCAAAACCCGGGCGATTCCTGAAGGTTGGATTTCCGTTATTCATGCAGACGAGATCAGCAGAATCTAAGGAGTCACGTAGTTCTTCTCCATTATAGCAGTTGCGGGTGCTACCCCATGAGGTGTGGTGGCTATTGAAATCACCACCAATCAAGACCGCATGATCGTTGATTGAAAAGATAGAGTTAAAAAGATTGGTCCAATGAGCGCTTGAAATTTTGTTATCAGGAGACGGAACTCTGTAAAGTGAAACGATTAGCAGGTCTCCACCAGAAGATTGAACGGATATTGCTAAGGTCTCAAGACTGTTCTCGACGTTAGGTATTGAATTAATCCTGGAATAGCTAATGCCACTTCTGATAGCAATCGCTAGTCCACCTCCTCTATTAGACACTCTGTCTGATCTGATTATGTTAAATCCCTTGAGGGAAAAGTGTTTGGATGGTTTTAGAAAGGATTCCGAAAGAAGAATTATGTCTAAGTTGTTCGATATATTTGAAAGGTCGCCTTTTTTGTTTAAGACGCCCTGGGAATTCCATTGCATGATTTTGAGATTATTTTGTAGGGCCATTATTGGAAGAAGAAAGTAGTAATGATAAAGATGAAATGCTATTCGAGATGGTGTTAACCAGATTGAAACTTTCTTGTTTTGCTTCTGGGGAGTTGGAAGCAATTGTACTAACTAGAGTAGTTAGGATTGACAGAATATTATTAATTAAGTTGATTGGATCGACAGATGATGTGTCGAGATTTTCTGTTGTTGGGTTTGAAGTTTGTGATGAGTTGTTTTGGAGAGCAAATCCGTCAGGGAGTGATATTTCTGATCTCCCGTTGTTGAAGTATTTTGAGATTGGCGAGGAAGTATTTTTGCGTTGTAGTGATTCGGGTTTCTTTTGTTTAGATTTAGAATGGAGCTTTGCAGGAGCTTTAAATTGAGGTGTTTGTGTAATTTCATTATAGGAGCGAAACGTTGGAAAGGGAGCGTGAGAGGTTGATGGAGTTGGTAAATCGTTTAGATTAGGGTAGTTCGAAAAATTAAATGATGGAGACGAAGTAGGAGATTTTGAGACATCAGGTGTGTATCGATTCGAGTTTCGGTTGCGCGACCGTAGAGCGGCTTTGGCTTCAGAAAAAGACAAACCATGTTTGGATGCGTATTCTCGAAGTTCCTTTTGAAATTTGAACTCAGTGCACACATTGGAATTGGCTGCGTGGGCCTCGGAACAGTGGATGCACTTAGGAGGATTTGATAACTCCGAACATGGAGATTCTTTCGAATTGGAATGGGCACCTCCACAGTGAGAGCAACGCGGCGATGATCTACATTGTGAGGAAATGTGACCAAATCTGAGACATTTATGACACATTTTAACTTGCGGAATGTATCGAGATACAGGTAGGGATGCTTTGAAAAGAGCAACTCTTTCTGGAAGATCGATACCTGAAAATGTGACAAGGACGGAACGAGAAGACTGAAGTTCGAATTTACTTGTTTCTACGTTTTTAACTTTTCTATTTAGTCGACGTACTTCGATAATAGTAATCGAGGTGTAAGGATTTCCCAAAAATTCTAGGTTTTCTTTTATTTCGTTTTCAGTAATATCCGTGGGAATGTCTCGAATAACGCCTTGGCAAGAGCAAAAGTTTGCCGGAATGAACGCTAATAGTCCTTTGTCTTTAAGGCATAGTGACTCATTTCATAGTGACGCAAAGTTTACTAACACCATTTGATTTGATATCTATGATTGAGTTTCCTAATTGGGAGGAACGCGAATTAATGATACGGCCAAAAGATAATTTGTGTATCTTTTCCTTAGCGTTTGGAGAATCTGGGTTTTGTTGAATAAAAACTTTGCAGTTTCCTTTTTGCGAGATTGGATATCTGCGAGTGGCATCCGGGCCCTTACCGGAAGGATTTTTGTTCGTACTATTTGGGGCGGGGGGCTTCTTAGTACTGGGGTCGTTTGATGTCTCGACATCCATTTTGGAATGGTCTGAAAGAGTGGAGCTCGAAGAGTCACTCCTGAATCGTTTGTTGCTTACCTGGTGTTTGTAAAACAAGAGAGCATCTGCAATTTGGGCAGTCTCTTTATCTACAGTAGAGCCATTCGAGTTTTCGTCTCCGAGTTGACCTGTGTCCGAAATAATGTCCCCCTTCGGGCTTGAGGACATTCTTTTTTCCTTGATTTTTAGACGCTACGGGGTGTTCGCCTTGCGCATGCGCGCGCAACGCGTCTGTCTCGTCGGCCACAATGGCCCACGCGACAGGTTATTTTATCGACGAAGAATAACGATTTGATTAATAGGAAAACACTACAGCACAATACTCTTAAGAAACAACGTCTGCAGCGCTCGGGCTTGCAGGAAGTAGGTAATACTTTTTCACGACGCGAACTAAAGAACCACAGAGAGCACACGATGTTACCTCTGCGGCGGTAGAAGACCGAATCTCAACTCGGAAACTTCAGCTGTGATAACAAAACGGGCTGCGCAGGCGCAGATTTCAAAATAAGGCTGTTTTTACAAGTATGTCAACAATGCTTAAAGGTGCATTTGCACCTCTGTCGGATGAAAAAATATGCCGACAAATATTGAACTCGCGTTCACACCAGTCACAACGGTCACAACTCACAACCACATTGCAGTTATATTTGTGTTTCTGTGTTAAGTAATTTATTCCATGTTGAAAGGTTTACTGTCATTGTCAGTGAATTTCGTTACTTTATTAATAAAATTCTAATTTGTAATTGCTATTAATAAATAATAAACAGTAAGTAAAATACGCACATAAAACTTAATTTGATTTGTTTAATATATTTTAAAACAAAAAATAATTGCTCAGAAAAATTAAACTTTTGCTAAAGAGAAAATTTTCAAATCTCAATTATTTATGAAATAATTTTGAATTTTAAATTCTAAATTCAATAAGAATGATAAAAGTCAATAAATGTTTCATTTTTAAGAATAATTTAATGTTAACCTAAAAAAAAGAAAATATTAGGAAATAAAATTATTTTTTCTATTCTCTTTTAACTTCTGAATTTGTAGTTTCTAATTTTTAAATTTATATTTATACATTTTTATATAATTTAAAGAACTTAGACAATAAAATTCGAAAAAAGATAACTTCTTTTTTAATTTACTATTTTTTTTATTTACAGAATTCGAAAAACAGTTCGATATACACTTATCGTTTGACACAAAAAATGAGCGATATTTATTCAAAGAGTGCCAGATTCTTTCCGAATGAATGCTACATTTGCAAATCGAGAGAAAATTTAATAAGATGTGAATGCAACACGATTTCCTACTGTTCAGAGGGTCATCGACAACAACATTTATCAAATCACGAAGATTTTTGTAAAGTAGTTAAAGAATTGTTAAAAATAAAAAAAATATCACACATTCACGAAGAGCTTATTCATATATTTGATCTCGAATGGATTACGAAAGAATCAGAAATTAATAATGAAATCATAAAGAAATTGGGAAGAGCTATGAGTCCACTGGAATTGTCAATATGGAGTCGGCCTCGAATTTGTTTTATTTGTGATGAAACAGAACAAGAAGGATTAATTAATTGCCCGCATTGTCCAATAGCGAGCTTTTGCAAAGAACACGAAAGTGATAAAACTCATGATGAGTATTGTAAAACAATAAGCACATATTTAAATGTATTAACCTTTAGAGGGCCGGAAAATTTTTAAAAATTTTACTAGTTTTTTAATAAGTAAAATTAAATAAAAAGTCAATTCGATGAAAATAGTAGTGAAAATTAATGGTGGCCACTATAGTGGCCACCCCGGCCGTCTCAAGGTTAACAACGGCCGAGGAATTAAATATTGATTTAGGATTTCTATCGTCTAGATTTCCATTTACTGGAGAGGATGATCAATACGAAGATATAGATTGTTTTACAATGACGTATAAAACATGTGATATGGAGGTTCATGGTAAAGAATCGAGATTATTAACAATGGGACTCATTGATTTTATTGATGTTACTTCGAAAATTAATCAAGTTTTACTAAAAACACACAACACGATTTCAGAAAAACTGACAATTCACATCGATGCCTTTAGCTATGAGCACGCAATCACAAACGAAAATTATTGGGAATTTCTTCTGCATCTCAATCCGCATATAAAGAATTTAAAAATTGTTCTAACTGCAACCCAAAATCGGTCCAATTTAGAGACGTCTCTTTGTCCAAATTGTCATTCAAAGGAAAAAGAATTAATTGTTAAATATTTGTCAAAATCTTACGACGATTACATGTTGGATGAAAATTATCAAAAACCGGATATTCTATTTTACGTGAAAATCGCCAATGAATGTAATTCCGAAAGATTAAACAACTGGAGTAAAGGGATCGTCCATATATTACGTAACACTTTTTGGGGGGAGGGGGGGTCAAGCTATTTGTTACGATAAGCCAAAAAAATGGCGCTAATGTATGTAACAGCGTGTTACATGGGGGGAGGGGGGGGTCAAAATTTTCAAAAATTAGCGTTACGTAATATATGGACGGCCCCAAACTTGATTTTCCCATTGTGATGCGATTTGAATCGAATTCCATTTTTTGTAAAACACAACATTTTATCTGTTTTTCGACAACAAAGTTTCGATTTATTCACAAAGGACAATTGACAACACCATTCGCTACATTGTCGTCACTTGAAAACAAAGACTTTTTTATAATTTTGCAAACAAAAGAGAACAAAGTTCTTCCTAAATCTTGTGTTGCAGTAAAGGACGAATTCTGCGAGGAAAAAAATGGGAAAAACACGACTGAAACTGTTTTAGTTAAAAATATTGATTCCATTCTAAACTGTGCTGAAAATATTGCAGATGCTTCTAAAGTTACTCAGTCAGAACCAAAGGACAAGTGTCATTTGATTCCGACGGATAATTCTCACAATTGCGCCACTAACGAAAATTCTGAATTTGAACCTGTAGTTCATACATCAAATGTTGAACAAAAATCAGAAGATCGTACGATACTTTCTCCATCCTCATCTGTACGATCATTTGTCATTATTTCGGGACCCGGAGAAGAGGAGGAAGAAAAAAACTCGAAAACTGAAGAAAATGAAAAATTTTCAAAGTCTGTCGACAACGAATTGCTTGATTCAAATGAAGATGGACAAAAAAGTGCGGAAGGCGATAATACGGAAAAGAATTTAGAAGAGCGGAAAGAAAAGGGAAGAGGAAAAGAAGGTAATAAAAAAATTCTCGTCAACTTGGAAAGTTTCGACAACAAGGATGTAGTTAATTATTTTTCTCAATCGTATCTACTCGGCCATATTTCGTACCTTAAAAACGAAAACGAAGGCTTACGAAAAGAGTTAAATTTATCATTCAATGAAGTAGCGAAACTGCAAACAAAACTCGAACAAATTTCTTTTGATTTAAGCAAAAAGAACAAATTAATAAACAAAATATTAAGCGATATTGTCGATACTACAGACACTGAACTTGAAGACACAGATTCATTGTGTAAAAACAACTAAGTTTAATCCGTATTTATGTCTAAATTTTTATTTCTTTAAAAGGAATCTTCTATTTTTTATGTTTATTTGAATTAAAAATTCAATTATTACTTTCTTATTTTATATCGCCGTTTACTGTTTCAGTGTTTTGTAAAATATTACTAAACAATGTAATGTTTAAGTATATATGTAGTATAATGAATACAAACTTTCTGCAAGAAAAATTTAAAAAGCGTCACATTTATTTCAAATAAGTAATTAATTTATAATATAATCTGAATTATGTACTTTAAGTATTTTATACCAATTTAACTTTTCTTTTATACAATATTATTGAAATTATGGTTTTTTCAGTTGCACGGGAACATAGGTTTTTTATTTTCAAAAATATTAAGTTATTTATTTATTCTAACGAAATTATATTGTTACGGAATTATTTATTTTATTTATTAATATTATGTAATGTTAATTATTTAATTAATTATTATCAATTTTAATTTATACAATTTTTTTTATTTTAAAACAGATAAGTGCACGCATGCATTTAAATGTAGAGAAAATTTTCTTAAATTCTCCGGAAGGAGAATATTCTCGAGAATATAACCGGATTTTAAATTACCGAGAATTTTGCATCTCTATGTTTGTCATTCTGTGTTAATTCATTATTTCGCAATTTCATTTTTCATGTTGAAAGGTTTAACTAATAACCTAATAATATTCTAATTATTGTTAATAAACTGTTGAAATGTGAGTAAAATATATACAAAATACATCAACTTGAGAAGAGAAAATATTAAAGGAAAAAAGAGGTAACTTTTTTATTTTCTTAAAAATAAAGAGTTTCAATTCATTTTTCATTGGTTAGAAATATTCGCTTCGAAATATTCAATATAGGTAATATTGAATCAATTAATTTTGTCCAGAGCAGTTGTATTTTAATTAATATTTTTTCTGCTAAAAATAAAATCAGGAATAAAGAGAAAACGTCAGAAATTTTGATGTTTTGTGACTACTTTGACGTTTCCTGAAGCTTATGGTTAATTCTGACTAAAGGGTTTTTTATGCTCCTGTTGAATCCTGATGTTTATGGATTGTGATTATTGAGCATTGAAATTTTTTTTTTAATTTACAGTCCCTCACCGAAATATAGTCGGTAAATGTCTCTAACCTAATTTTTATTGCTCAAAAGTTTTGCAATTTTAAAATTTCAAGTAAAATTAATATAAATTTAAAATCTAGAAATCTCTATAATTACAAATATCTAAAATTTATTATAAAAAACATTTTTTTAAGAAAACTGTAACGTATCTCGAAAACCGTAATTGATAAATAAAAAATAAAGATATCATTTTTGAATTTAAGTTCTAAAGGATATATTGCATACATAATAAGAGCATATTGTTGGATGAATTCTAAGTCTATGAAAAACAAGTATATGATGTTTAAATAAATATAAACAAATAAAAAGATTGCCCTTTAATATGTCGATCAGTTGACCTTTTTCCAGGTAAAAAACTGTGTCGACTTTGTATAAAAAACCTAATTACTTTTAAAGCTTTCTGATTAAACATGACTCGAGCCTGACGTTCTGTGGCTGCAATAGTGTACACCAATAATATAAATATACCTATTAAAGAACTTTGGTAATTGGTAATAAATAATAAGAAAGAACAATTTTTCTTCTAAACTTAGTGTTGTTATTTATTTTCAGATTTCGAAAAATTAGTTGACTTACCGTTTAATCCATAAAAGATGCCTATTTATTCGAAGAGTGCCAGATGCTTTCCGAATGAATGCTACATTTGCAAATCGAGAAAAACTTTAATAAGATGCGGATGCAACATGATTTCCTACTGTTCAAAGGATCATCGACAACAACACCAATCAACACACAAAGATTTTTGCACAGCAGTAAAAGAATTGTTGAAAAGAAGAAAAATCACTCACATTTATGAACAGCTTTCTTATATAAGCATTCTCGAGTGGGATACAACAAGAGAAGAAATCCGGAATGAAATCATAAAGAAACTGGGAAGAACTTTAAGTCCACTGGAGAATTTTATGTTTTATTCTCCACGAATTTGTTATTATTTCGATTGTTGCGAAACAAAACAAGAGGATTTAATTAATTGCCCGTATTGTCCAGTAGCGAGCTTTTGCAAAAGACACAAAAATGATAAAACTCATAAAGAATATTGTAAAACAATGAGCACATATTTGAAAGTATTAACGACGGCCGAGGAATTAAATATTGATTTAGATTTTCTATCGTCTGCTTTTCCATTTATTGAAGAGAAATATCAGTCCGTAAATATTGATGATCTTACATTGACGTATGTAACAACTAAAACAAACACATTCGGAGTGCTCTCGAAATTACATTAAGTTTTTCTCATTAATTTTATTGACTTTGCTTCAAAAATTAATAACGTTTTACAAAAAATAAACGACACAATTCCAGAGGAATTGACAATTCACATTGATGACCTTTCCTATTATTATTCAGTAGCAAAAGTTAATTTTTGGGAATTTCTCTTGCATCTGAATCCACGGATAAAGAAATTAAAAATTGTCATGACTACAATTCCAGATCCATCTGGATTAAAGACGTCTCTTTGTAAAAATTGTCATTCAGAGGGAAGGAATTTTATTCTTGAAGTTTCAAAAAAATCTTACGAAAATTACATGCTGGATGAAAATTATCAAGAACCGGACATACTGATTTATGTTGAGATCAATATTCAAAGACTGTCTCAAGGATTAAATAAGTGGAGTGAATTAAATTGTCCCATTATTCTGCAATTCGATTCACACTCCGATTTTTGTAAAGCACAACATTTTCTCTCGTCGTCTAGAGCAAAGTTTCGATTTATTCACGAAGGACAACTGAAGACACCATTCAGTACATTATCCTCAATTGATAATGAAGATTATTTTATAATTCTACAATCAAAGGTAGACAAAATACTTCAAAAATCTGTTTGTTCGACAACTGGCGAAATCAACAAGAAAACAAATACACCTGCTTCATCGTCATCGAAACGTTCATTTGTGGCTATTTCTGAACCTGCAGACGAGGAGGAAGGAAAGAAGAATAAAAAATCAAAAACTGAAAATTGTTCAAAGTCCATCGATGCGGAAAATTTTGATCCAAATGTCGAAGAAGGAAAAATTGCCAAAAAGAACGATAAAGTTAATTCTCAATCATATCTAATCGAACACATTTCGTACCTTAAAAACGAAAACGAAGGCTTACGACAACAATTAAATTCATCAGTTAATGAGGTAACTAAACTGCAAACAAAACTCAATCAAGTTACTTCCGATTTAGAAAAAATTTTACGTGGTATTGTCGATTCTGAAGAGGCACTACAATGAAAGACACATACGAATTAGTCGTGTGTGAAAAGAAGAAAAATTTGAAATGTCGCAAAAATTCCCCCATGGTTATATCTTTAAAAAAGATTCTTCTAATTTATATTCTTTTTTGAATTTAAAATTCAAATATTCTTTTTCTTTTATTCTCTTTAAGATTTTTAAGGATTTAAAATTTGAAAGAAGGTTGAAATGAAATGTAAATATCTGTCAAGGATATAATATTATTATTATTATTTCGATATAAAAGAATACTTGTCTAAATTCCATTTAATGTTTTATTTTTTATATTTAAAAAGGAATTTGTAATTCTATAAAAATATTTTTATGTTATTAAATTATTTTTAATAAATCTTTTTCGAAGACAATTTTTAGAATTTACTGTGGGTGTTTAACTATTATTTTAAGAATAATAATTATTAATAAACTATTTAAAATTGTGTAAGGGGAATTTCTGGTGCAGAATTGGTATAAAACACTACACTTTTTTAAACCCCTATTTGTAAGAACTGTATTATAGTTATTGCAAGAATTTTTGGAGCACGTCATGTTTTCGAATAATATTCTAATCTAAAAGTGCAAAAATTGTGTATTTTGGCCATATTTGAGGTTATATGTAACATTTAATTTTTTAAAAAGGTTGGTTCGACATCTGAAAGTACTATTCCTCTCCTTGAAAATGCATTTTGAAATGTTAAAAAATCTTTTGAAATTTTTTGGAATTTGGTAAATTTTATCAGTATTCGTAATATTAAGGTAATCGGAGTATAAAGTTTTAAACAAAATGTCGACCATATTGGATCCGCCATTTTTAATTTTGAAAAATGTGAAGGCAGTTTCGTAATCGTTTATTAGAAATTACAGGAAAAGAAATAACTGACAAATATAGATGAAAACAAGTTTAAAGTTTCAGATTTTTTATAAAATGTATATTATTATTATAATAAATTCATGTATTCTCTATGAGAATTGTAGTCAGAAGAATCGTCGTAATCTTTTGAACTATCCATGGCAACAAATTGAAGAATTAGGTCCGAGTACACTTTACTGAAGCTTTGATAGTGATCTACAATCCCGAATAGGAGAAACAGCTACAATTAAATATTCTGTAACAAAAATAAAAAAGTTTGTATCACTTATTTAAATAAATTCTTATTATGTACTTTCTCATTATAAAGATACTAAAAAAAATAATACGGAATCATGACAAAACATCAGACATTATGATTATTTCTCAGATTTTCTGATGCTTTTTTGTGAGTCTGATGATTTGTGAAAAAGTTTTATAGTATGGCTTTGATTTTGATGCTTTGTGAGAACTCATTTCATAAAGTCATATTGTATTTTTTTTTGCATTTTTAATTTTGTGAAAAAAGTTTCTTAATCCACACTTTAAGAAAAATATTAGGAAACTAAACTGTTTTTCTTTGGTTTTGTATTTAATTTTAAGACGCATCCTTTAACTTCTTATATAATACGTTTTTTGTTCATTGTAGCCGAAGAGATTAAACTTTTAAAAATCTAAAAATTTTAAAAATAAGACTTTTGAAATGTTAATTAAAAATGTAGGAGGATAATTCTCCACGTAGCGCAGAACTTGATTTTTTCCATGTCGCGAAGGAAAAATAATAAATAATTTTCATATATTTTTACCATTCCAACGTAAAAAGATAATTTATAAGTTTAGAAACAAAACTAAAAAGTTCCCTTTGAGTCTAATAGTATGCATAATTTTTCTTAAATAAGCAATTTTAAGACTGAAAACGTCAAATTTTGACCTATCCCCATAAAAAGTTAAAAAAAAAAAAAGTTAAAAAATTAATACTTTTAGTAATACACAATAATAAACACAATTATTATTGTCATTTTAGTATCGTATATTTTAGTATCAAATAAGCAAATAAAAGCCTTAAAAAATATGACAATTTTAAAGCATACCTAAAATGAGAGGGTTTTTGGAAATTACAGGTACTAACAAAAACAAAAAAACAATTTTAAGGTATTAAGTATTTTATAAAACGTATTATTATTTACAGGTTCACATAACTGTATAAAAATAAAGACCTCACTGAGGTATAAAAAAGCTCATTTTTGACTCAATGTCATATTATTAAAATATTTCTTAAACAAACTTTTAAAAAACGTTCAGTTTGTTAATGTAAATATACCGACGTACAAACATTTGTTTTAAAGCATAAAGCTTAGTTAACGGTGTAATTTTAATATACATTTATAAATTTAAACTGTGAAATTAACGTGATCTTAATACTTATTTATAAAATTTAAATTATATTCTATTACATTAATAAACATTAACATTATTATTACATTAATTTTTTCATCATAGAAGGAAAATGAATAACAAATTATTCATAAAAACTGATCTTTGCTTTAAATGTATTAAAATTACATTTTAGGAACAAGCTGCTGAAAATCTTCTCAAATCTACAATTGAGAGATACTGGAAAATGTGACGAATTTCAGAATTAGAAATTCGAATTTTGTAACATTTTTCAACCACGCGATACATTAACGTCGTGCTCTCATTGATGAAATTTCTTCTTCTTTCTGCTATTTCGACATTTACCTTCAAAAAATCAGCATATATAGGAAATTTTTTATTACAAGATTCGATTGCTTTTAAAAAGTCATTGTTGCACGTGTACATCGCAACTTTATCAATTGATTTCGTTAATACATCATAGAAAGTGAATTTCAGATTTTTACTAACTTTCGCCCTTTGCATGACCCATTTCTCCTTTAAACACTTATTTCGCCAATCATTAAAATTATTCTTTGAACAAAATACAATCAAAGGTTGATAACAATTTGAGGTTAACAGTACTACTCGCGATACTATCAGCTTTAAAAAAACTATATTACCCTCTATGTGGGCCTTTTTGCAATCATCCGTATACAAGTTAATGGTCCCTGCGGTATTTAAAAGATTACCAATGTTTCTAGAATAACTAGTTAGGAGCAATTGGCACTTGTAATTATTCTCATCATCACTTAAGCGGATTCGAAAACACCAATTAGAATCATTATAATCTATCAGAAGGTGCAACAATTCTGGTGTATGTGCTAATGGAAACGGATCATCTAACACTTCGTTAGAACAATACTCAATTGATTTATTACTTAGATAATTAAAGAAGCATCTAACGATTTCGGGACGAAATTCAGAATCACTTTCGTCCGTTGTTAGTCCATTTGACTCTGTACTTGAATTCTTGATTCTTAGAACTCTTATTCTAGCTGCATATCCAACTAGGCTTTTAATATCTTCGGTTTTTGAATACCGATATAGCGTCTCCGTCACTTTTACCAATCCCTCAAACACTGACCAAGAAATAGGTCTGGAAGAAAACATGGGTGAAGATAGTTTCAAGGACATTTTTAATGGTGCTCCGCTGAACGAATTGGATTTGGAGGGATCAGCACCATTTTCAAGAAGGAATTTCACTACTGCTGGTTGTCCTGCACATGCTGCGAAATGTAAAGGCGTTAGGTCCTGCTCAATTTGTAAATTAACATCAGCTCCAGCTTCCAATAGCAGTTTCACTAGTCTCGGGTGCTCGAATGTTGCTGCAACGTGAAGAGGACTTGTAAATTCAAACAGACTGTCAATGGGATAACCAGCGTTTAATAGAGTTTCTAATATTTCTTCATTGCCACTTTCAGCAGCAATGTAAACAGCTAATTTTTTAGCAAAAGGGTCCGATTTATATTCACTTGCTGGGTCGTTTACGATTGCTTTAACAGATTCCACTTGGCCCATTCGAATTGAAAAATGAAGCTGCTTCTCTTTGAAAAACGTTTTTGCATTAATCTTCGAGAAACATGTCAATAAATATCGCCACACGTCATGAAAATTTTGAACCATTGAACAAAAAAATATATGTTCTGCCACTTCCGTCTTAAAACCAAGATCGATTAAATATTTTAAAGAAGCTAAACTACCGCTATTCCTTGCAATTAATGACAATAAGCCTAATTTATCCGCATTAACTGTTGCGCTGTTTTTTGCCCCATTCTTCAAGAGATATTCTAAAATATCCATGCGACCGGACGATACTGCGAGTTGAAGAGAAGATTTTGAATAAATATCATCATTATTTGGAACATCGACTTTGTTACATCCGTTCGCCATGAGCAGCTTCACCATTTCCAAATTTCCGTTTTCAACTGCGGAACGAAGAGGCCACATATATGTCAAATCGCTGTCACTCAAAACTGCACCGTGTTTAAAAAGAATTTCAGCCATTTGAACGTTTTCCTTCGCCAATGCAACATCAAGTGGCGTTTGTGCTATATGATCACTAACGTCAATAATGGCGCCATTATCTATCAGTGCCTTTGCGAATTCAGGGCGATTATAGATGGCTGCATAGTGAAGTGGATTTTGGCGAAAGGAATTTTTTGCATTCAGGTTAATTTCCTCTAAAAGAAGTTTGAATACCTCAGGATGGTTTTCCCTAATCGCCAGATGCAGTGGTGTATCTCTAATTCTGTCTCGCTTAGGGATGAACAGTTTTGCAATCGCTGCATGACCTCTTGCAGCTGCTACATGCAACAACGTCCTGTCCCGTATAGTTTCTGTCGAAGAATATTTTTCGAGCAGAGAATGAACGAGATTTAAGTCTCCATTGTGGACTGCGAGAAACAGGTCATTGTACTCAGAAATGTCGTTGTAATCATTCGTAAAATCCATGGCAACAAATAGAAGATTTAGATTCGAAGGTAGTTTTCTGTTCCTTTGGCGATGATTTGCAATTCAAATAGGAATCATTGCTCCACTTAAATATTCTACAACAAAAAGTTGAAAATGCACCCTTAATGTACCCATAAATGTAAAAATATGAAAATTAGGGTGTAAGGTGGTGGAAAAGTTCTGATAAAATATTTTTCAGTTCGGATAACAGAGATGCAGATGATCGAGGTACGACTGTATTAGGGGTAACTGCTTATATTCTATTAATTAAAAAATAAATTATTGGTAGAAAATCTATTATTAAAATATGGTGAATTATAAAGCAATAATCACTTTAGAAATTATACTTCATTATGAATGAAGAAAATGAAGATTTTTGAATCAGTCATAGGTCAAAATAATTTTTTTCAAGGTCCATTTTTAGGGAACTAATTTTCAAAATATTTGTTATTTATAATCGAGTATAATAGTGCATTTCAAGTAAATTTTTACTTACTGTCTAAATTTGAATTAGTAAAAATGATTACTAATTGATTTAATGACGTCATTTTTGGTTTTGAATTAGTAAATTTTACTAATAAATAATTATTTCTACTAATTTTTTTAGTGAAATTTACTAATTAAAAAGCAAAAAGTCAGTCGCTAATTCAAATTAGAAAACATTTTTACTAATTCAAATTTAGAGAGTAATATAAACAATTTTATAAATTCTACATACAAAAGTTATTCATAAATAACTTTAAATACAATTTATTAATAAAATATTAGAAATATAAAGAACATCGATTTAAGAGACATCAATCAAAATTGTTTTTAAATAATTGAATTTTTTTGCGAAAAAAAATTATGCAAATTCTATTTTAAATAATTGATTAATTAATTAATTAATTGATTTAATTAATTTTTTTTTCAATAATTGAAAGTTTGTGTAGAATTTTTTAACAACTTTTGTTTAATAATTAAATTCTTTTCGAAAATTTTATTAAAATAGTAGAATATTGAAAACCATTTCGAAGTAAGAAAA